TCGTTATGAACTCTTATCAGGACAGAGGCCAGGCAGGAGAGGGAAGGTATGTTGATGTCTGCCGATGAGTGTGAGCTACTTTTGCTCCTCCCTGGGAAAGAGACAGGTGAATTGATAGAGGCATTGGTCTCAATCTCCGTTATTTCACCGTTCACTCTTGTGGGAGAGTGAGGAGGACATTGTGTGGACTCCCTTTTGGCTCTTCCTTCCCTAAGAACCCTCAATGCATTGGCAAAGGTGCCGGCCTGAGCAGGCTGCTGGCGGCGACATCCACCTATCTCCATACTTGGGAGAAACCCTGAAGCCCATTGGGACCACTGCAGGTGGACTTGGCCACAGTGCCATCCACTGCTTGGCCTCCTCTCTAGGGACAGAGGGCCATGCTACCGCCCACTTCCTCCTAATAGGGTTTTTGGTGGCACATTTGTACTTCTCCTTTCCAATTTGGATGCCTTTTTTTTTTTTTTTTGAGTTCAAATGCACTTTATTTTTAGACAACCTATTGGATGCTTTTTAATTCTTTTATTTATTTACTTCTTACCTGATTGCTCTAGCAGGGCATTCCAGTTCTGGGTCAAACACGAGATGAAAGCAGGCATTCCCCCCATCCCACCCCCCACCTTTCTTTTTTTTTTTTATTATTATTCATCTGTTCACATGTACATACATTGTTTGGGTCATTTCTCCCCCCACACACCTTTCTTAAGGGAAAGTTTTCAGTCTTCCGCCACTGAGTGTGATGGTACCGTGAGATTTTCATGTCTTTCTTTTTGTTTGGCAGTACTGGGGTTTGAACTCAGGGCCTCAGGTTAGGTAGGCACTCTACCACTTGAGCCACTCCACTCAAGTGCTTTTCAGTGTTGGGTACTTTCAAGAGAGGGTCTCTTGAACTATTTGCCTGAGTTGGCCTCAGACCGTGATCCTCATGATCTCTGTCTCCTGAGTAGCCAGGATTTCAGACGTGAGCCACCAGCACCTGCCTCATGAATGTCTCTTATCAGACTGAGGAAATTTCCTTCTATTTCTGGTTTGTTGAGTTTGTTTTCGTCATGAAACTCAGCAGACTCATGTCCAAAGGCTGAGCCCCAAGAGCAAAGGGGGTCTCACCTTATGTACCCTTGCAAGAAGGTTACAGAAGCAAAAAGCAAGGTCTAATCCAGATATGGTTATATTTAATTTTAATTTTATTGGCTACTTTATCCTAGTGCTACAGAACTTTCCCCCTCCCGATGCTACATGACCCTCTCCACGTTCAGATTTCTCAGGTTTTATCTCTCTGCTGTGCCATCCCTGCCTCCCTGCTGCCTTATCAGGACTCAGGCCTAGTCTATTTTCTTCTGATCCTCCTCCCTGCTACACACACACACACACACAGTCCCAGCTGGCGTGATGTGGAACCCTTTCAATGACCTGCCGAACATGGTTTCCTGGATTTGGTGGGGGATTTCTACACCAATGCTCGTAAGAGACACTGGTCTGTAAATTCCTTGTGGTGTCTGTGCCTGGCTTTGGTATCAGGTAATGCTGACAAGGGGCGGTGTTACTTTTTAAATGTTTCCTAGAATTCACCCATGAAGCCCTCATGTCCAGGACTTTTCTTTGTTGGAGTTGGGTTGTTGTTGTTTTTAGCTACTGGATCAAGTAATGGCTCTCTTCAGACTTTCTATTTCTTCATGAATTAGTCTGCATGGGTTTCGTGTTTCTCGCATTTTTCTATTTCATTGAAGCTGTCTAATTTGTTGGTTCATAGCACCCCTTTATAGTCTGTTGCTTGTTTTCTTCCTTACTGGGGATTGAACCCAGGGCTTCGCACATACTAGGAAGTTCTCTACCACTGAGCAGTGTCCCCAGCCACCCTTTTTCTTGAGACTGGATCTCAAGTTTGAGCTGGCCTCAAAATCATGGTGCTGCTGCCTCAGACTCCCAAGGCTAGGATTGCAGGTATGCACCACCACACCCAACCCTGCCGTCACAAAGTCCTTTCCATCTCTGCAGTCAGCAGCCTTCCCGCTTTTATTTCCATGCTGAGTAATTTGCATCTCCTCTCTCTTTTCCTTTGCCCATGTGGTGGAAGGGTTTCAACTCTGTTGATCTTTTCCAAGAGCCAACTTTTGGGTTCATGGGTTTTCTCTATTATTTCTGTTCTCTAGTCACTTACCTCTGCTCTAGTCTTTATTTCCTTCCTTCTGCTATTTTGGGTTTTGTTTGGTCTTTTTTCCTAGCTCCTCAAGTTATAAAGTTATGCTGTTGATTGGAGATCTTTCTTCAGTAAGGTGAGAATGTGGGACTGTAATTTCCCTCTGAGCACGGCTTTTGCTGCAACCCGTAAGGTTTGGTGTGTCGTGTTTTGTTTTCACTCCTCTTAAGTGTTTTCTAACTTCCCTTGTGATTTCTTCTTCGATCAATGGCTTGCTTGAGAATGCGTTGTTGACTTTCCATAATCCTGTGGGTTTCCAGTTTTACTTTTGTGTCTGATTCCTAACATCCCCTGACTGATGCCTGTTTCTAAAAATTAGGCAGGGCTGGGGGCGCGGCTCCATGCTGGAAGCATGTTTAGCTCGTGCAAGGTTCTGGGTTCAGTTCTCAGGACTGCAGTAAAAACCCACTGAGACTCTATGTGTGGTCTAACACCCCAGACGAACCCCCCCCCACCGTGAACTTGAGAAGGCGTGCAAGGGTCGAGTGGGTTTATCTGTTAGCTCTTCTGTTTCTCCACCTCTATCTGGTTCTGTCCACATCGGGGAGTATTGTAGCCTACAGCTACTATTGTACAACTGTCTTTCTTGCTTCAATTTTGTTCAATTTTAATTCATGCATCTTGATGGGTAAACATTGGGTGCATCCATTTTTATAGTTGGTTGGATTCTTGCCACATTGAACCTTTGGTGATATTTAATATCCTTCTTGGTCTCTTGTAATCCACTTTGACTTGAACTTTGTTTGTTTCATCTGTCTAGTAGCACAGATACCCCTGCTCTCTCTGGTTACTATTTGCTGGAGTATCTTTTTCCTTCCTTTTATTTTCAATCTACTTGTGCTCTGAATTTAAAGTGAGGGTTTTGTAGATACTTGATTACATGTTTTTATCCATTCTACCAAACTCTGTCTTTTATTTATTTATTTTTGATAGAGGGTCTCACCATACATCCCAGGCTAGCCTTGAACCCTCAATCTTCCTGCCTCCTACTGCAGAGGGGCTGGGGGCATAGCTCAGTTGTAGAGCCTGTGTGAGGCCTAAGGTTCATTTAGCCACTCAGTCAGCCGTTTTTTTTTTTGTGCTGGGCATTTTCGAGATAGGGTCTTGTGAATTTGCCCAGGGCTGGCTTTGAACTTTGATCCTCCTGATCTCTGCCTCCTGAGTAGATTGGATTACAGGAACAAGCCACTAGCACCCGGCATTCAATCTCTGTGTTTCGATTGGGTAATTTAGTCCACTTACATGTTTTTCGCAGTGCTAGGGACTGAATGTTGGGCATCAGGCATGCTAAATGTGTTCTGCCACTGAGCTGTGCCCCTGACGCCATGTGTATTTAGGGTACAGGTGACCCCTGAACAGCATGCATTGGAACTGCATGGGTCCACTTACACATGGTTGGGTTTTTAAATTTTTCAACAATTTCCCAGGTGGTGTGACACTCAGGAGGCTGCCGCAGGAGGATGGAGAATTTGAGGCCAGCCAGGGCTACATAGCAAGTTCCAGGCCAGCCTGGGCTAGACCCTGTCTTAAACAGTGCCCCCCACAAAAAAAATCTGCAACAACCTGAAAAAAAGATGAACCACATAGCCTAGAAAAAATGAAGAAAAATGTACATCATGGATGCATAAAAAAGCAATCCATCTGGGTGCCGCACCTGTAATCCAGATGTCTAGAAGACAGAGATCAGGAGGATCATGGTTTGAGGCCAGTCTGGGCAAAACGTTAGTGACATCCCTTCTCAACTAGTAAGCTGGGCATGGTGGTGTGTGCCTGCAATCCCAGCTACACAAGAGGTGTAAACAGGAGGGTTTCAGTGTAACCAGCCTGGGAAGAAAACATGAGACCCTATCTGAAAAATAGGTAAAGCAAAAAGGGCTGGAGGAGTGGCTGAAGGGGTAGAGTGCCTGCCTAGCAAGCATGAGGCCCTGAGTTCAAACCCCAGTGCTGTCAGAAACAAACAAAAAACCCTAATCCCTCACAACTGTTGCTTGTTTTTCAACAATACATCTAACACAGAATGACACCTGTAACACACAGGTGTGTGTTCACAGACTGTGTTATTGACAAGGTTTTAAGTTTTGGGGGAATCAAAAATGACTTGTGGAGTTTGATGGGCAGAGGGAGCTGAGAGCAGCCCTAGAGAACCCCAAGTAGTCCCTGCCCACCGCCAGCCATGCCACCATCACCCCCTGAGAGGGGCTACAGCTGCCACATGTGGCCCCAGTCACTGCCTGGCATCACAGACTCCATGTGGCCAGGAAAGCCACACACCAATGGCACAAATGCTGCGGGAGGGGGGGAGGGGACACATACAAGGAGGTCATCACAACAAAGGTTAGGAGCAGTTAAATGGCTCAGTGTAAGAAAGGGATATGAATTCATCAGCAGGACACAGACTGCCCGGGCAGGAGAAGGCAGGAGGACGTGTGGTCGGAGGGGGACATGGGGTCCATGCTGTGGAAGGAGGAAGGGTGTGGGGGAGCTCCAGTTCAAGGCAGTCAGTATGCAGCAGACCCTTCTCACGTCATCAGGGTCCTCTGGGCGACAGCTGCAGAATTACCAGGATATCGGGAGTAGGAGGAAGAACAAGGGATCACAGAGCTTACTGAAGACCAGGCCCAAATGGCCAGCCTACCTCAGATGGAGGCTCCCCCCTTGCCACCTGCGGAGACCCCCTGGGCGCCAGCCACAGAATCTGAACCTCCCTGTGCAGAAGGGACGCTGGGTGCTGAAAACCAGCGTGCTGGAGAGCCTGGTGGACAACCAGGTGGACCAGTGATGCAGTGTGCTGGAGTCCAAGACCATGTTCTGCCCTCCTCAGTCACCAGGGGACTGCAGTGAGGACGAGGAGATGAGACCCAAGGTCAGCAGCCCCTCAGTGGTGGTTCTGTGGCATCCTCAGTTCTGACGCTAAGTCACAAGAGAGCAGAAAGAGAAGCTGCTGACCAAGACCCCGGAGGTGGAGGGGGGCCTGGCTGAGCAAGTGCTGGCCGGCTTACCATCCCCACTGTCATCCTTCACCCAGAAGAGGGGACTGTGAAACCCCAGAGGTGGGAGCTGAGGACCTGCTTCTTGCCGTGGGCCAGAAAACTGGAGCTATGTGCATCTCCTATTCAGCCGAGTTTTAATTATTTTTACCTAAAGATAGCTCTTTGGGGTAAAGAGATTTTTTTAAAGCCTGGCTTTTCTCAATACACTCTTTTTTTTTTTTTTTTTTTGCTGTACTGGGTTTGAACTCAGGGCCCAAACCTTGAGCCACTCCACCGGCCCTTTTTGTGATAGGCTTTTTCGAGATAGAGTCTCACAAACTAATTGCCTGTGGCTGGCTTCAAACCTAGATCCCCCTGATCTTTGCCTCGAGTAGCTAGGATTACAGGCGTGAGCCACTGATGCCTGGCCTCAATACACTTTTTAAAGTTTTTAAAATTTTTTCATGTTTGATCAAATTGAGATTTTTGGTTTTGTTTTGAGACAAGTCTTGCTATATATAGCCCAGGCTGGCCTCAAACTCTTATTTTGGTGTTAGTGGGGTTTGAGTTCAGGGCCTTAAACTTGCTAGGCAGGCACTCTACCACTTGAGCCACTCCACCAGTCCTTTTTTTTATGATGGGTTTTTCGAGATAGGGTCTCATGAACTATTTGCCCGGGCTGGCTTCGAACCCCCGATCCTCCTGATTTCTGCCTCCTGAGTAGTGGGATCACATGGTGGGCTGTCTTGAGCTCTTGGTCCACCTGTCTCCAGCCCCCAAATGCTGGAATGATAGGTGTGCACCACGATGCCCGGTTCAAAGGTGAGATTTTAAAGAACTTAATTACGACTTAGTAATAAAAGCTTGCAAGTTGATTATTTCAAAAAGTCAACAAACTGAAGGACCTGCAAATAAGGGTATTAATCATTAAGCAATTATTTATAATTAACAATATTAATTAAATAATTGTACGAGTTCTCCATTGTGCGAGGGCTCAGTGCCCCAATGCCAGTGGTGTTCCAGAGTCAGCTGGATGGAGCCCCTTCTGTCGCTTCGCTTTCCATTTTCTGCTTTTTTGCTTGTCTCCTTTTGTGTTTAGGTTTTTTTTTTTGTAAATAGTAAAATGTTTGCATTTCTTCCTCATTTCCTTTGTGTGTATTCTATAGCTGTCTTCTTTGTGCCTACCATGGGGATCACATTTAATACCTGAAAGTTACAACCTTCAAGTTTGAGCTATAGCTGTAACTACAACGATACATGAAAAGGTTGCCTCCTTGACAGCTCGGTCCCCACCTTCTCAGTTGTCCATGTTGTGAAATTGCATCTTTATACATTGTGTGTCACAAAGCATTGTGTACCGTTATTTTAAACACATTGGTGTTGAGTGGAGAGCAGAAGGGGCAGTTAAGGACCAAAGTAATTCTAGTAACACTAGGTTGGTTTTTTTATAAATGGAAAGGCAGTTTTAAAAATCCACCGGAAGCAATCCATTCCACGGGCCACAAGCTGTCTTCACTTCAAAACTGTGGAGGGCATCACGATTTGTGTGTCATCCTTGCACAGGGGCCACGCTAATATCGTGTTGCTCCAGTTGTAATGTAAGTGCTGCCACAGTGAGTGCTTAGTGCTAGCTTTTAGACTAATAACTCAAAAATTGCACCATGTAGGAAACAAAGAGGGAAGTTACAAACTGGTTTTTTTTTTTTTGAGGTACTGGGGTTTGAACTCAGGGCCTATACCTTGAGCCACTCCACCAGCCCTTTTTTGTGATTTTTTTTTGATATTGGGTCTCACGACTATTTGCCCAAGCTGGCTTGGAACCATGATCCTCCTGATCTCTGCCTCCTGAGGAGATAGGCTTTCACTATGTAGCCCGGGCTGGCTGGTTTTCAAAACTCAAGATCCTCAGCCTCATTGTCCCAAGTGCTGGGATTACAGGTGTGCCCCACCATGCCTGGCTAAAGCTGTCTTTATCACTGTCACGTATTTACCCTTACAGACATCTTCACTTCTTCCTATGACTTTGAGCTACCATCCGAGTGCCCCGTCATTTCAGTGCAGGGCTCCCTTGAACCCACATTCTTGCAGGTAGGCCTGTGGGTAGCAAACTCCCACATCTGTTGTTTATTTGTGAAGGTCTTAACTTCTCCCTCACTTTTGAAGGATGGTATGGCTGGATATAGGAGTCTTGGTTGACAGCCTTTTTTCTTTCAGTTCATGTCTTTCACAACATTTGGGAAGCTTTAGCTTCCTGTACCCTCTCTGCTCCCATGTCCTGTCTTCAAATGCACGATTTCTTTGCCTGATGTCAGTGATTGTGACTTTCAAGCCTTTTTGCTTTGGTTATTTTCTGATAGGGTTTTCCACTTTTGCCTGGGCCAGCCTGCGCCATGATCCTTGCGTAGCTGGGATGACAGGCACACACCACCATGCCCAGCTTTTCACTGGTTGAGAGCTGGCCTTAGGCCATGATCCTCCCAATCTCCACCTCCCAAATATCTGGGATTACATGTGTGTACCACTTCACCCTGACTCATTTCTAAGTTTGAAGATAATGGCTTGGACTCCGCCATTAAGCATCATGTTTGCCAAGGGTTTTTGGTGGTTATCCCCTATCAGATTAAGACTAAAGAAAGTTCCTTCAGGGCTGGGGTGTAGCTCGGTGGCACAGCGCTTGCCTTCAGTTCCCAGTTTGTGAAGAACTTTTTAAAATAATAAATGTCGATATTTTCTCCTCCTATGAAGAGGATCGTACACTTTTCTTATTCCTTTGCTGATCTGGTAAATTGCTCTGCTACTAGTCAGGCTCTGCAGTGTCAGGGGTAGAGCAGGAACACAAAGTCGCCATCCTGCTGGCTCCAGCCCTCTTGTCAGGACTGAGGACGGCTCCTTAACTGGGCTCATTTATGCACCCGTGGCCTGTCCTTCCCATGGCCTGGTTTCCTCCCTTCCTGGGTCAAACCTTCCTTTCCCCGTATTCTCTTTTGGTTCCTTTTCTGTACAGTTCTAGTCAGTTCCATAGTCCTCTAGCATAGCTACATTCTTTTGGAGATCTCTCTCTCTCTCTCTCTCTCTCTCTCTCTCACTAATTATGGGTGCTTGACCTTCTCAGGCCCTGTGGGAGAGTCATGCCACTGACCAGTGCAGTGCAGTGAAAGGACTGACCAGATCCCCCTCTGACAATGGAAGGGATGCTGTCCCCTGTACTGTATTGGGGGAACAACTCGTATCCACATCATAACAGACGCCATCTCTTTTGACAGAAGCAGCCAATAATAACCAATGGAGGCTGCAAATGTTCAGTTTTTTGGTTTGTTTGTTTTTTTTTTTTTGGTACTGGGGTTTTGAACTCAGGGCTTCATGATCGCTAGGCAGGCGCTCTGCCACCTGCGCCACACCTCCAGCCCAATGTTCAGTTTTCTTACGTTTCGGCTTCTTGAGCTACAACTCCTTAGGTTCATCACATACCTCCTAGTCCATCCCAGAGGACTCCACCGGACACACAGACGTCTGTCTGAACAACCTGGTTTCCAATCCTTTTAGCCTGTACATCCTTCACACCCTCTACTTTTTTCCCCGGGGAGGAGTAAGGAAGACAGGGTCCCACGACGTAGCCCAGGCTGGCCTAGAACAAGTGGTCCTCCTGCCTCAGTCTCCTGAGTGCTGGAATTACAGGTGTGTGCCGCCACACTCGGCTCACACCCACGGCCTTTAAGCCAGTTCCACAGAGTTTCGTTTGATCGTCGTTAAGGCGGTATGTCACTGCTGGTACCAGTGAGAATCTGCCAGGGTGGCTGAGGTCCTCAATATGAGGATAACCGCCTGCTTCTCATCCAGGCTCTGTGCTCTGTTGAGGGCTCTCTGCTCCAAGACCTTGAAGACAGAGGGGCCACTGCGTGTTCTGCCTGTCCTGGGTCAAACCTCATCCCACAGCTAAGCCCCTAGCAAGGGCTGCTTTGACACATAGCATCTTCACGAACATTCATTCAACACACTTTGCACCTTCTACTGTGATTTCTCCCGTGAGCATAGGCTATAATACAGTGTGCCCCATGTTCTCTAATATAGGTATCTCTACACTTTTGTTGTTTTCTTTCATTTCAAGCTTACTTGAATGTGTTAAAAATGTATTCTGTATGACATAAAGTGCGTGATGGGTGTCGTCTATTTTAGTAACTCTTCCATGTGCACTTCTGCAGGGATTGGGTTCAATTCTCTATGTTAGGTTGAGTGTGTGAATCATGTCAGTCTTCTGTAATTTTTTTGGTAGTACTGAGGTTTGAACTCAGGACTTTGCAGTTGCAAGGCAGGTGCTCTACCACTCTACAGACTGCCAGTCCAAAATTCCTGTATCCTTGCTAATTTATTGATCTGATTGTTCTGAAAATTACTAAGAAAGAGGTGTTAAAATTTCCTATAATTGTAGACTTGTCTGTTTTTCCTTTATATATTTTGAAGTCCTGTTATTACATACCTAGTTTTATAATTGTTTTATCATCTTGGTGAGTTGATCCTCCAATCATTTTGAAAGACTTTTTTCTTTCATTAGAAATGCTTATTTCTTTAAGTTTTATTTTGTCTGATATTAAAATAGCTTTGTTTTAATTGATTATTGAATAAAATATACTTAATTTATTGTTACTATCGCTGTATCTTTATTAAAATGTATTTGTCCCTCTCTTTCTCTCTCTTTCTTTCTTTTCTCTCTTTCTTTTCTTTTCTCTCTCTCTCTTTCTTTTTAGACAAGGTTTAAAACAGGCTGGACTTGAACTCTCCATCGTCCTGTCTTAGCCTCCCTACTGCTGGGATTACAGGCATGACTGCCACGCCCGTGGAGCTGTGTGTCTTACAAGCAACATACAGTTTTGAGTGCAGTGTGACAGTCCTTGTCTTTTACTTGTGACTTTTTTTTCTATTTGTCCTTATGCCTTTCTCCTCACTTGACGCTCCTTTCTACTTTTTTTTTTTTGCCTTCTTTTGACTCCATTAAAATGTTTTTGTAGATCTGGAGGCGTGGCTCAAGAGGTAGAGCGCTTGCCTAGCCAAGCACAAGGCCCTGAGTTCAAACTCCAGTTTGCCAAGATAAATGTTTTTGTTGTTCTGATTTTTCCTCCTGTTAGCTGTTATGTGTAAATTTGTATTTTCTGTTACTGCACCACAAATTGCCACAACCATGGCCACTCCACACAGTGCTCATTGAGCATCTGTTTCTGTGGCTCAGGACCCTGCATGACTTTGGTGTCCTGCTCTTAGGCCTCGAGGCTGTCCCTGAGGTGTCAGCGGGAGGTGTGTCTCAACAATAGGCTCGTGTTGGGGAACAGTCCACTTCTGGGTCCATTCGGATTGCTGCAGCCCTGGCGTCTGGCTGGCAGTTGGCCTTCCATAGCTCCCCGTCACGTGCCCACCCACAGGCCAGTGTCGATGGTGTTTCACACATCGTGATCCTTTCATTGCATTTCACTCTGGTTTGTGGCTGCCGGTCCCATTTGTCACTGTGTCCCTTCTGTCTGAAGAACGCCTTTTGTATTTCCTTTAGCATGCATTAGCTACTGCTGAACTCCCTCCAAATTTTATTTTTGTCTACAATTTTGATTACCCCTTTGAAGACAATGTATTTTTCTTCTTTTAGCAAATATAAATATTTTTTCTCTCTTTGGTTCAGCAAATTGCATGTTGTGCTTTGGTGTATGTGTGTCTGCTTGCGTGCTTGTTTTTGTATTTAACCTTCTTGGGCTTCATAATGAGTATCAAAGCTGTGACTTGAGGGCTGGCTCAGTGGCTCAAATGGTAGAGCACCACCTGCCTAGCAAATGGCAAGTGTGAGGCCCTGAGTTCAAACCCCAATACTGCAAAAAAAAAAAAAATGCATCAAGTCACTTTTTTGGGGCAGTACTGAGGTTTGAACTCAGGGCTCACATCTTGAGCCACTCCACCAGCCTTTTTTTGTGTGTGTGTGACGGGTATTTTTAAGACAGGATCTCACAAAATAATTGCCCACTCTGGCTTCGAACCGTGATCCTCTTGATCTCTGCATCCTGAGTAGCTGGATTACAGGCGTGAGCCACCCGAGCCCGGCACGTGATGTCTTTTGTTAGCTTTTAAAATTCTCTTCAAATGCTGAAGTTACATGTGCGACTCCAGTTACGTCTGCATTCCGTCTTTCCTTTTGTCTTGCTGTCTTTATTGCGAGCATTTTCTTTTGTGTTATGTTATAGGTCTCCTTCTGGATTTAGCTGTGCCTATTATGCTGGTAAACTTATCCAATGAGCCCTTCATTTCAGTTTTCTGTCTTTACACTCTGTGACATCCATTTGGTCATTTATTGTTTCCCATTCTTTGCCGAAACCTCTCATCTTTCAGTCCATTGAGCATCTTAATCACCATTATAAGAAGTCTATGCCTGAGAACCCAACACTGGCTCTCTCTGGGCGTTTTCTTGTCTTTTTCCTTAGTTGCCTGAGTGTTTGGGGTGCTGGATGTGCATGTGAAACATTTGGAGGTGTGCTAAAGTTCTGGGAGAAGGTGGAGTTGTGTGTGGCAGGCAGCAAGGCCGAGACAGTTCCACGTTGCTGTGCACTGAGGCGGGGGGAGGCTGGGCTCCCTCTCCCGGAGGGTCACCGTGTTTCTTGGTGGATGTAGCTTTCAGGATTCCGACCCAGCCAGGCCTGCTAGGTGTACTGCAGAACACTCATTAAAATTGAGCGTAAGATACGTGACGAGTAACTTTTTTAGTGTATGTCCCCAAATTGTGTCTTTATTTTTGTTAGCTAAAGCCCAAGCCTTTCCCAGGTCTCAGAGCACAGACTCCACCCCCTCCGCCCTGGGACCTGCCAGGAGCCCTGCTGTGTTGTTGGTTCACTGCACATTGATGCTTTTGTTTTTGGCATTGGTGGTCACTGCAAGCCAAATCCTGCTGCTCACACTGGGGCTACGCCTGGGCACCCTCCGCCAGGCCCCATGATCCCTCACTTCCGCCTTTCCCTTGCTTGAGACCAGCCTTGAGACTGTTCGTGTTGTCTGTCTCTCCTATTGCTGTCATTTCGAACGCTGCTCTGGCCACGGCTGAAAGCAGAACTGTGCGTAGTCTTCTTGGACTACTTTCCCCCTCTGGATTTTGTAAACAATGATTCTTTGTCTTTCAACATTTACCACTGCAAAAGACCTTAGGAGAGCCCAACTTCTCCCTTGCAGTGATTTGCTTTTTCTGCCTGGGTGTATGAAGGACTTTTTTTTTTTTTTTTTTTTTTGAGATTCAACAACTTGACTGGGTTGTGTCTGCTGCTGGTTCTTAATGTGCCTTCTACCCTATTTGTTTGTACATTTTTATTCCTTTGTCTTAAGATTCATTTCAGGATTTTCTTTCTTTTTCTGTATTTGAGACAGAGTCTCGCTCTGTTGCCGGGGCTGGTCTTGGCATGAGAAGGGTCACTTTGGCCTCCCAGGTAGCTGGGATTGCAGGCAGCTCCACGGGCCTGGCTCCACTTCTGGATTTTCTTATTTTCTCTCTGCATGTTTTATCTTCCTTCTATCATCAGCCTGCGTCCTGGAGCACAGCATTAGTTACTTGTGTGATTTTGTCGTCTGTGCCTGTGCTCTGGCTCATGTTCTACCTGTTTCTGCTCCATGTTTCTTTGTTCACTGGGGTGTCAGGGACCTCCCTTCCCTCACTCCTTGCTCTTCTGGCTGCCCCTGCCCGTCCTGTCGGGTCTGTGGAGCCGCTGCCTCCTTGTCTTCACTAACCCTGCTCTTCACTTCATCCTGACATTTCATTTATCCGGTCTTGGAGCCCTTGTTTCATTGAATTTAGATTTTTATGGAGTCGTTCCACACATAAAGGACTGTGGACATCTGGCTTCCTTGCTTGTTTTCCTCCGGCCTGGGCTCTCGGGCTGTCTTCTGATTGCTGTTACTCCTCACTGCAGAGAAACGGGCCCTGAAGCGCAGTGAGCTTCAGTGGTGCACCTGGCTTCACTTGGCCATTGACCAGCAGGGCCGCATGGCCCAATCCGCCCCTTCTGGGAAGTCGCAGCACCAGGCTTAGCACTGGGACCTCTCCCAGGACAGGCCATCGGGCTCCACTAGGCCCTGGACGCTGGCCCCTTTCCTGAGTCCAGTGGGCTGAGGGCTGAGGCCACTGAGACCCTCCCCAGCCTGGGCAGTTTGGACCTCTGGATGCGCTGGGGCTCAGGCAAAGGAAGTGAGTCCAGCCCATGTCTTTCCAAGCTTTGGGCTCAGTGGGGATTTTCAGGGTCCGGGGAGAAGGGAGTCTTCCTTCTAAGACTGGATCCTCACCGACCTTGGCTCCCACTCCACAAACCTCCTTTGGTCTCTGATGGTAGATTATTCTTGCTTGGCTGTTTGTGGATTTGCCGTCGAGACAGCATCTCCTTCTGTTGCCCAGACTGGTTTAGAGCTACTAATCTCAAGGGATCCTGCTCCAGCCTCCAGAGCGTTGGGTCTACGGGGGCCTCCCCCACCCCTCCCAGCCTCTCTCTTTGGGCATCGTTTGGGTCCTTTGTGTAGGTGGGACTCCAGCAGTGTGTAAATGGTGGCTTGGAGCACCCACATGGGTCCTCTCCCCACCCCAGAGCCCACAGCGGAGGACCAGGCGGCCATTATCATTCAGTGTGCCTTCCGGCAGCGCCTGGTGAGAAAGGAGCTGGCTCACCGTCAGCAGGAGCGCCAGGAGTACCTGGAGGAGATGGAGAAGCTGCAGAGAGAGGTGAGTGGGCCAGGCCCGGGGAGAGGGAGTGTCAGGGTGGTGGGGCTCCCACCTCAGAGGTGGGCGACAGTGACCTCCAGCTGTGGACAGCGACCTTGGGCTGTGATCAGTGACCTTAGGGTTTGGAGTAGTGACCTAGACTTCAGGGAGACCTTGGGTTGTGGATAGTGACCTCAGGCTGTGAGCAGTGACCTTGGGCTGTGTACAGTATCCTCAGGTCTGTGGATGGACAGTGACTTTGGGCTGTGGGCTGTGACATGGGGCTGTGGACAGTGGCCTGGGGCTGTGGATAGTATCCTCAGGACGGGACGGTGACCTGGGCCACACCTCGCAGGCCTACCTGGCCCTGGTGCGCCGGGAGCAGGAGGCGGCGCGGCGGCAGCGCGAGCAGGAGGAGGCGGAGGAGCGCGCGTGGCGGGAGGAGCTGCAGCGCCGCCGCCGCCTGCTGGACGCGGCCTTCGACGGGGACCTGGGCGAGATCCGCACGGTCTTGAAGGAGGTCAGCTGGGCGGGGCGGGGCGGGGCCGGGTGGCAGTGGCCGGGGGCCGTGTGACCATGGGCGGGGTGGGCGGGGCTAGCGGGGGGGGGGCCGGGCACTGGGCGGGGCTGGATAGCAGTGGGCGGGGAGGACGGGACCGTGGGCGGGGATAGTGGGCGGAGCCGTGTGGTCACGGGAGGGGCGGGGAAGTGGGCGTGATGGGGGCGGGGCCGGCGGCGGTGACTCCGCCCCCGCGCGCAGGTGGAGCAGCTGCTGACCCGCGAGGGCGTGGGCCACGACGAGGTGGGCAAGGCGCGGCGGCTGCAGCGGCGCGTGGCCATCGTGGAGTGCGCGGACAGCCACGGGAACACGCCCATGTCCGAGGCGGCGGCGGGCGGGCAGGCCCTGGCCATCCAGCTGCTGGCCGAGCTGGGCGCCAGCCCCAACAGCAAGGTGGGCACCTGCAGGGCCGGGGTCGGGGGCGCGGGCGGACGGGCGGGCGCGGGGGCCAGGTTCAGGAGCCCCTCCCGCAGGGCGCCTTCGGCCGCTCGTCGCTGTACCGCGCAGCCTTCGGGGGCCACCTGGAGGCCGTGGAGGTGCTTCTGAAGCTCGGAGCCGACCCCCGCGTGTACGCGGACGACGGGAGCACCCCCGAGCAGGTGCGGCTCAGCCCGTCCACCTTCCAGAGCCCGGGGTGGGAGTCCCCAACCATCCCACCACTGCCAACCCTAAACCGCAGTGCCGTTTGCGGTCAAGGTGACAGCCATCTCCGGTTGTTTGGTTGCCACTGTGCGGGTTTTGTCTTACCTCTCTAACCTCAGGTGCGGGGCACCTCTGCTCTCACTCTGTCCCTCAGAGCCAAGCCCCGAGCTCCAGCTCAGCCCCCTGGAGCTGCCTCAGTGCCAGGGACAGTGGCCGAGTTAATGGTTTCTGGGGAGGGTTGCTGGGCCGGTGGGAGTAGGGCTGAGAAGCCAGGCCAGGAAATGCCTCTACCTTCATTTCCTTTAAGTTAACTGAATTCGAACCCAACTCACCCCCACCCCAGATCTGGCCCCCAAATCTGAGGCACTGCCAGGAAATGGCAAAATGGGTCTCAGTCCTGCTGGCAGACTCTTGCTTCCACTCACCGCCCCTAGTGGGGAATGCTAGGGTCTTTGCCCAACCTGGGACCCCAGCCCTAGGCACCACCCCCAGACTCCTCTCCTGTGGATGTTACTCTGGGCCTGGCCCACTCCCCTCTTCTTGTCTGCCAGGAGTCCTCTGGGTGATGGGTGTAGACTGCCGGCTCTGAGATGCAGCGGCTGCAGGCAAGAGTCTGGGGAGGAGGTCCCAAAGGAGCTGCTGCGTGGGGCGAGGGGGGGGTGTGGACAGCCACAGGGACAGTCGGCTGAGGAGTAGTGGGGGGAGAGGGGTGACTGTCAGCATTAGATGTCAGGAAGGATGGTCATCCTGACCCCAGTGCGGGAGCCACTGGACATCCACAGGCCAAGAAATGAGCCTTGTCCAGAACCTCACACCTCACACAAAGCTAACTCAAAATGGATTTGAGATTTAAATGTAAAACTTCAGAACTTTTAGACAAGCAGGAGAAGATCTTTAGGACCTAGGGCATGAGGAAATGTTCTTAGATACAACACTAAAGGCACATCCGAAGAGAAATAAATACATCTGACTTCATTAAAATGCAAAACTTTGGTTCTGGCCAGGTGCCTGTAATCCCAGCTACTCAGGAGGCAGAGATCAGGAGGATCACAGTTCGAAGCCACTCTGGGCAAATAGTTTGTTTCACCCTATCTCGAAAAAACCATCGCAAAAAAGGGCTGAAGGTGTCGGCCCTGAGTTCAAACCTCAGCACTGCACACACACACACACACACACACAAAGAAAAACGAAAAAAAAAAAAAACCAAAAAGAACACTTTTGTTCTGCAAATGACCCTGCCAAAAAGCCAAGCCATAGGTGGGGAGAAAAATATTAGCAAACCACACACAATAAGCTGCCTTATTCTCCCGAATGTGTTGCATCCGGTTTTGATTAAGCACAGTCAAAAAATAAAAAAATAAACTCCAAAAATGAAATATTAAATTCCCCAGTGCATATTTCACAGCTCAGTGGATGTGGAGATGCTCTCAGTCAGTTCTGTGTGATTGCCAGGAGTGAAAAGCTGTCTCCTCAAAGAAATGGTGCCCAAAAGCAAGGTAAAAGTTAATGTGCTTAATTTAAGTGACAACATGAGAATCTGAGATTTGCTGAAAAGCGACATGTCTTTAGCAGAAGTTGGGCAGCTTGAAGGGAAAAATGAACAAGCACCGGTAGTACAGAGCATGTGTGGGTTTTCTCAATGGCGTTCTCCTTGGAACCATTGATCTGCGGAGAGCAAGGGTCTGCTGTATCTGACACAGGAGACGTATCTAAAATACAGAAACAGTTCTCAAGTCTCAGCAGTAAATAAAACACCCCACCCAGTTCTCCAAGGAGCGAAAGACAGGAAGAGAGCTTTCACTGAGGCAGGAATAGTGACCCACAAACAGGGGAGGAGGCCTTCGGCATCACATACCTGTGACCACAGCCGAGGGGGACAGCAGGAACAACACCCAAGGCTGGCAACGGTGTAGACAAACACACCTTGCTGGCAGAAGTGTAAACTGGCCCACCCTTCTGCAAATAGGCAGTTTCTTAAACTAAACATACACTTACTGTGTGACCCAGCAATTACACGCTGTTTAATTTATTCCAGTAAAACGAAACCATGTCCACACAAAAATGTGCACAGAAATGTTCACAGCCCCACACTGGGAAAGCCCAGCTGTCCTTCAGTGAGTGAAAGGTTGCTGTCGACACTCAGCAACACAGAGGTTGGAGCTGGGGATGCACTGGGCTCCCAGGGGGAGCTATGTGGGGATAAGCCCATCTCAAAAGCCCATCTCACGTAACATTCTGCAAATGATAAAATCACAGAGGTAGAGAAGAGATAGTGGTTTGGGGGGAGGAAAAGGGGGAAAAGGGGAGAGGGATGGGTGTGAGTGTTCAGGAAGGGCAGGAGGGAGCCTGGGGGTGGTGGGCAGTTCTGAACCTCGGTTGTGGTGTGGTTCATACGTCTGCGTGTGATGAAGTTGTACACACACACAAACAAGTGCAGGTGAAGCTGTAGAAATGCAGTGTGACCCGTATGAGCTGCACTGTGTTGACATCCTGTCCCACGTAAGTCATCGTCACTAGGGAACCTGCTGAGGACGGACCCGTGGGAACACTATGCTAGTTTTGCAACTTCCTGTAAGCCTGTAGTTACTTCAAATAGAAAATTAACAAGATTGCCAAGCATGCAAAGAAATATAGACAATAACCCAGAGTGAGAGAAGCACCAGCCAATGAAAGCTGTCAGAAATGGCACTGAAGAACTGGTAGGCAAGGACACCGAGAGTTGGTAGCACTGCCACCCACAGGGACCCCGAACTCCTGGTCTACAGCACTGGTGGATTAATGGCAGATGCAGCTTAAACATGGAAAAAAGTGGCAATGTGAAAAAAAGAACATCCTCAAATATATATATTCAGTATTTTAGTGAATTTTTTCTTCTGAATCTGTTTTTTGGAGGTACTTGAGGCATCCCACCAGCCCTTTTTTTGTGTTGGATAGTTTCAAGATAGGGTCTTGTGAACTATGTGCCCGGGGCTGGCTTCAAACCACCATCCTCCTGATCTCTGTCTCCCGAGTAGCTAGGATTACAGACATGAGCTACCAGCACCCAGCTGAATCTGTATTTTTGAAGTAAACAATTTCCTAAATTGCATCCAAAACATGCAACAACTTTTTGAACGCTGTCTCTTTAAGCCACCAAGAGTCTGCAAGGCACACAGGTTTTCTGCTAATAGCAAAGAGAGCTTTTGATGTTTGTCTAGAGTCAAAGTTCACAGCTGATGGGTTTTCCCCCATAAACACATCACCTGTCAGTCCAAAGTATTATAAAATGACACCTCCATTAACCTATAGAGACATTTTTAATGTCTCTATAATTATTTATAATTAATTTCTAAGATATTTTTTAGAAAACACTGAAATTCTAGTGATTAAAAAATTGTAATGTCTAAAATAAAAAAATACCCTGGAGGGGCTTAATGTAGAGGTAAATAATATAAATTTGATAGCAATAGAAACCATACAACCTAAAAACACACAGAGAAAAAGAAACCCATGAAAAGAGCATCAGTGAGCTGGGGGAAGTTTCGGGAAACCCCATGCATAGGTAACTGGAGTCCAAAGGGAAGGAGACAGCAGAGGGACAGAAAAGACAGCTAAAGGGCCAGGGACATAGCTCAAATGACAGAGCGCCTGCCTAGCAAGCCCAAAGCCCTGAGTTCAAACTCCAGTATCACAAAACAAAACAAGACAAAGACCTGCACATTTCCAAATTTGATGAAAAATATAAACCCACATTCTCCAAAGTCAACACACCCTGAGGCCAAGAAGCACAAAGAAGACTGCCAAGACACAGCACAAAGATTTTCTTAGCACAGTGATGAAGGGGAAGCTTGAATGCATTAACAGGAAAGACAGCATCTCTCCACAGAGGAACAAGAGAAGGAGCAAGCAAGGAGGCAGTGGAGAATGTATCTAAAGTACTGAGAGGGTCCCACTCTGTGAGCCTGGATTTTCCTATCACTGATAGTGGCTTTCAAAACTGAAGGCAAGCCGGAGCTGGTGGTACATGCCTGTAATCCTAGGCTACTTGGGAACCGGTCCAGCAAATAGTTCATGAAACCCCATCTCAAGGGGGAGAAACCTGGGCATGGTGGTGTATGCCTGACATCCCACCGACATTGGGGAGTATAAATTAGGAAGACTGTGGTCCAGGCTGGTCAAAAGAGTTGGTTAAGAAGCCAACAAAGGGGGCAACACAGAAGTTTTTAAAAATACCCAGTGCAGGGGCTGGGAGTGCAGCACAGTGCGGGAGGCTCCGGTTCGATGCCTAGCACCCCGTGCAATACTCAATCCAAAGGAGTTGGAGAAGAGGGAAAGGAAAACAGCAGAAGGGACAGGCAGGAAACAAATGGCAAAGGCATTTGCTCATCCAGATCGATAATCCCACCGGATGTGGCTGCCCTGTGCACCCCACTTAAGAGCAGATCGTCATTTTTATTAAAAACAGTCAACTAGCTTCTGTCTCCAGGAAAAGACTACACACAAAGATACACGTCGGTGAAAACTAAAAGGATGGCAACAAATACGCCAGAAAGTACTAAGGGAGTGGGAAGGGGAGGGGCTGGGGACGCGGCTCAAGTGATCAGTGCTGGCCTCGCAAAGGTAGGGCCTGGGTTTCATCCCCAGTGCTGCAAAGCAGGACAAAACAAAACCAAACAACAGAAAGAGTGCTGCAGGGAGATAATGGAAAAATTTAAAGAGGATTAAAGCCGACCGGGGCTGGGGCGTGGCTCAGTGGCCATGCTGCCTAACCTGTGCAAGGCGCTCGGTCTGGTCCTCCAGCATGGCAACACACACACGCAGTCCCAAAAGAAGTATCCTAACATCATCATTTAATAATAACAATAAAGGGATCAGTTCATCAAAATAACATAAAAGTCCTGACTCTTCATGCAGCTAGGATCAGAGCTTCAAAACAATGAAGCGAAAACTGGTAGAACAACACGGTGAAATTACCAAGGCCACAGCTATTCAAGCGATTCCAACACGCCTCTTTTAACGGTGGATGAAACACTAGTTACCAGCAGTGATGGGGAAGAACTAGAGGGAATGGGCGCATGGATCAATGGCACAGTGCTTGCCTAGCCTGGGCGAGGCCCTGGGCTTTACTCCCCAGCACACACACATGCAAACACACACACACAACACCCTCTGGAGCCTGTCTGGCCCCCCATGGTCCGTCACTATTCGCTGTCACTGTCATCCAGTGTTCTTCCCAGTCACTGATTTATTCTTTCTTCAATTCACAATTCTCTCACTGACTTACCCATCTACTCGTTAATATGCCAGTCCTACCCCTGACACCATCTTTAAATGGTATCACTTATTCTTGTATTTATCTATCAGTTCAGACATCTTCCCATTCATTCATGCTGTTTTCTTGATAGAAAATTCTGAGAAAGCAGGGAGCTTGTTTAGTCCCTAAACCACACAATTGCAAGCTCCCATGTCATGTAGTGCTGTCACCTGGTGGGTATTCAGACACTTGGTTGAACAACTGGACTCATCCATCAACTCATCCATTTGCTTAGCTAGCTGTCTACTTACTTATCCATACATTCAGTTTATCTGTCGTCCATTAATTTTTCATATATCACTATTTCATTCATTCATTCAGTTAGCCCTAACCCAACCTTTATTTTGTCTTTTTTTTTTTTTTTTTGGTGGAATTGGGGTTTGAACTTGGGGCTTTAAACTTGTAAAGCAGGTGCTTTACCACTTGAGCTGCACCTCCAGTCCATTTTGCTATGGGTCTCACTTTTGGCCAGGCTGGCCTGGACAGCGATTCTTCTATTTCATTTTTCCCACCATTGCTGGATAACAGACTGGCACCACCACACTCAGCTTTTCTCTGTTGAGATGGGGGGTCTTACAGACTTTTTTGCCGAGGCTGGCCTGGAACCAGCCTCTTCCTGGTCTCAGTGTGCTGGCTTGGGATGACATGCACATGGCACCACACCCAGATGTCCCTCAGTTTAATTTTAAGATGTGAATCCATCAACTCATTCATATATCTGACCACTCTTTGTACATTTAGCTAATCAGCCACTTATACCTCTGTCACTGTCTGGCCATCAACTTCTCTACGCCTTGATTTTGCACATCTTGAACTTTTTTTTTGGTAAAATACAAATTACATGCTGGACATCCCACAGACTGAAGTTGTGTGGCTCTGTGACTTATCACAAAGGAAAGGCCTGGTGGAAACCATTTGAGTCAGGAAATGAAGCATTTGTTAGAGCCCCGCTTCTCCACCAGGTGACCACATCCAGAATCTTACAGTGATACCTTCCTCACTTTTCTGTACCTATCCTTTACTGCATCTTTAAATCACCATTCACCACCTTACCATCCATCCATCCACTCACTCATCCACCATCTGCCCTCATCCATCCACCCACCCACCTATGCATTCATCATCCATCCATCCGTCCTTCCGCCCACCATCCATCCATCCTTCCGTCCTTCCGCCCACCATCCACTCTACCTCCATCCGTCCTTCCATCCGTTCATCCCTGGGCACCAATGCCTAAGCCTGGTAGCTTGTTCCACTGTTTTTGAATTTCATGTAAGTGAATTTATATGCCTTATATTCTCTGGCATCTGGCTTTTCCTGTCACAAGTTATGTTGTGCGATTCAGTCTTATTACCTAGAGCTGTAGTTTGAAAATTTGCAGTGCTGTGTAGAGTTCCTTTATAAGGAAGTCCAGGGGCTGGAAGTGTGGCTTAAGCAGTAGAGCACCTGCTTTGCAAGCACAAAGGCCTGAGTTCAAACCTCAATCCCACCAAAAAAAAAAAAAAAAGTCCACAATATCCATCCATTTTCCTGTTGATAGATGTTTAGCTTCAGAGTCAACCATGATGATGGTGCTGCTGTGAACAAGTCCTTTTTTTGTGGTAGTGGAGGCCTTATGCGTGCTAGGCAAGCTCTCTACTTTTGAGCCGCCCTCACCCTTGTCCTTTTTGCTTTTAGTTTATTTTCCAGATAGGGTCTCATGCTTTTGCCTGGGGCTGGCCTAAAGGCACAATCCTCCTACCACCACCTCTTGGGTAGCTGGGATTACAGGCATGAACTGCCATTCCTTGTGCTATGAACAACCTTGCCTGTGTCTCTTGGTGCACACACGCACAGTTTTCCAAAAATGGTTGTACCAGTGTATCCACTCCAGTTAGCAGTACTGTAAATTATCCAGCATCTCTGCGGACGTGGGTGTCAGTCCTGTTCAGTGCAGATGCATGGTGGCTGAGCAGCACCCTGCTGCAGTTTTCACTTCCATCTCCCTGGTTACTGATGATGGTGGAAATCTGTCTCATGCTTGTTCTGGCCATTGAGACATCTTATTTATTTATTTATTTATTTATTTTAAAGTGCCTTGAAGTCAGTGACTGCTTTTCTCTTGGGTTGCCTGATTTATTTTCCTTGCAATCTGTAGACATTTGAATGTTCTCAGCCGAGCCCTCCCTGTTATATGCAGTCCTTGCTGCCCTTTCCCTCTCTCAAGGGCATCCTTCACGGGAAGAGTCTGTATCCTCAATTGGTGCCCATCTCTCCTTCCCCTCTGGCCAGTGCTCCTGGGGTCAGCTCCAGTCTCTCCAAACATGAAGACATTTCTTACACAGTTCTCAGCTCTTTCTACTGAGATCTACAACCCATTTGAATTTGATTTTGTGAGTTACTTCTTCCTGTGTTGTGTGACTTGTTAACTAGGTTGATTTTTTGTTAGAACACACCACTGTCCTGTGTTTTGTAAAAGATCGTGTGCTCCATGCTGCCTACTTCACTCTGTCAGATACCTCTGTGTCAGCTCCCTGTGGGGTAGTGATGCCTGTCTGTCTGTCTTGGCATCAATCCCAGTGTCCTGGTTCATAATGAATCTTGTACCAGGCAAAGCAAGTTTTCTCCCCTTGTTTTACTTCAGGAGGGTTTTAGAAAGTTCTCTGTAATTACCTCTCTCGTTTCTGCCCTTATTCTCACACTCCAAGTGTGCAAACGCCGTAGTTCTTCACTTCAGTTTCGCTCAGGATGGATATGCTATGGGACAAGCACTGCCCAAACCTCCATGACATCGAATGAGTTTATCTCTTGTACTACATGTCCACTGAGGGCTAGCAGGGACCTTCTGCTCAGCGTAGGCCTTTAGTGACCTGGCTAACACGTCAGCCATAACCTTGAATAATGGACCCGAGGACAGGAGCTGCAGAGGTCTGGAGCAAACAGCTCCTGCTTGCTGCTCATTGGCCAGACCTGGTCCTCTGGCATCTCCTGACCACAGGTTGGTCAGGAAGGTTGATTTTGTCCAAAGTCTGGAAGGTGGAGAGATGGACACATATAATGATCAGCACTTGTAAAACCCACAGTTTTTTAAAAACCTTTCTCCCTACATTTTCCATCATTTCATCTCAGTTTATTCTCTGTTTTTTTATGACATTTTTCCAGTTCACTATTTCTATCTTTAGCTGTATCTAGCTAGTTGATGAATATATATACTGTATTCTTAATTTTGATTTTAATTTCCAGAAACTTTGTTTTATATATATGTATACACCGTTGTACATATACGTACACATACATGTGAACACACACACACTGTATGTCTTCCAGCTCTCAACCATTCTCAATCGAGTTTTCCATTTCCCTTATTTTAAAAAGTCTGTAGCTTACAACTCCAGTTCCTGTGGATCTGTTCTGTCACCTAGAGTTGCTACCGGTTTTTCTTTATACTGTCTTCTTGGCTCCTATGCCTTTTTATTGTGTCATATTTTTTATCACCTTTGTTTTAGCAGTACTGGGGTTTGAACTCAGGGCCTCACACTTTCTAGGCAGGTGCCTACCACTCCACCAGCCCTATTATGTCATATTTTTAATCTGTAAAAATAATTTGAAGCCCAGCAAAATAATATTATCCCGCACCAAGGACCTAACACAATTTTGCCATGCATCAGACTGCTAGCAGTCTGAGTCTCCCCCAGTGTCAGGGCTTCAGAGACTTAAAGCTGAGCTGAAGTCCCTGTGGGGACAGTTCTGGGTCCCTGTTATTCTGAGGGTGCAGTCCTTACAGCCTCCATCCAAAGTGAGGGTTGCAGTCCTCTGTTAACCCATAAATTGCTCAATGGCCCCCCACTCATTCGCCCATCTGTGCATTTGTCAATGAAGCCGCCCACCTCTCCTGTCTCTCGCAGTCGGTATACGAGGTGTGCGTTAACCCATCCATCCGTTCATTTGCTAGCCCAGCTGTTGGACCAGTTGACAAAATATTTGAGCCTGGGGGAAATCCTTGAACAAAACAGAGTCCATTCCGTCACAGAGCTCCCACTGGTAGGAGGCAACCCGCAGCCAGTCACACGACAGTATGATAAGTACCACGGGAAATGCGCAGAGTGGAGTGGGCGTAGGGCAGGCAGGACAGTGGTTGTAATTTTAAGAAAGATGGCCACGGTGGACCTCCCCGAGGAAGTGACGTGCAGGAGAGATCTGGAGGTGAGGGCACACATGCTCTGAGTATCTGAGAAGCTTCCAGACAGTGGCAGCGGACGGCCCAGAGGGGAAGAAAGGAGACTGTGGCTGCAGGGGAGTGAGGGAGAAGCAGGTGTGAGGAGTCCAGGATTGGAGGCTATCAAGACAGGACAAGGGTGGCAGTGGCACACAGCGAGTCTTCTTCGGGCAGCACGGGCAGGTCTGCAGGCAGATGTCAGCAGCAGTGGGGGGGCTTAGCTGTGAAGGGCGGTGTGGCCTGGGGTCTCCCTCGGGGTGTCCTAGCTGTGGCCAGCAGATATTGGGAGCAGTTTTGCAGGGTAAGTGTCTAAATGTGTGCTTGTTTGGGAAAACTTGAGTTTGGCTCTGGGGGCCTTTGGACCAATATCCTAGCCGCCGTGAGGAAGTGAACAACATGGGGCCAGTAGACAGGGGCCATCTTTAATCCCATTAGCATATCACAGGTCTGGAGAGGTGCACTTCCATGTGTCAGCCATATCCCCAGCCCTCCAGGGGCCCGCTGCCCTCCACGAAGCCCCTTCCTCATCTCTGTCTTCCGTGGTCGAGTCAACCAGGCTTACTCTGGCCTTGACATCCCTGTCCTCGCTGTAACCCCATGAGCATCACCCTTGCTCTACAGCCAGGCACGGGAGTTAGCAAGTCGGCTGGCAGCAGGGCTCTGAATCCAGCTGCTGTACCCCTTTGTGTGTCCCTGAAAGGTCAGGTCACTGGGGAGGGGACAGCTGCTGCTGGGGGAAGTCTGGGTCTTGGCCATGGGGTCATGGTTCTGGGTCCAGGAAGAACCAGCCCTGTGGGTGCTGTGGCCGTCCTGGACCCTGGCATTCTTTTCTCTAAGATGCTCAAGTCCCTCCTTCCTAGGTTGGACAGAAGGCTCAGAACACACACGGTCCAAGTACCAGACAAATACCCTATTGTTAGGTAGCCTCACTGGACGCGGTGGTCAGTGTGCTGCAGTCATGGGATCTGAGCCTCACGGAAGCCATGCTCCAGAACATGGAGGCGGAGCAGCAGCGCCGGGCCCAGGAGGCCCAGAGGCACAAGGAGGCGGAGGCTGAGGCTAAGCGGTGCTGGAGGTTGGGGATGGGTGGTGGCAGAGAGCTGCGTGTGGGGTTGTCTTCTGACAGGGCACATTCCTTCCCATCCCAGCCTGAACCTTAAGGTACAGCAGCTGACCAAGGAGCAGCAGCAGTGTCACAAGGAGGTGAGCTGCAGCCTCTCACTCCCTTGAGGGAGGGTGGGCTGGGGAGAGGCTGCCCTGGTTGGAGGCCATGCCAGTTTCTGCAGGGAACAACTCCCGCCCAGCTGCAGCAGGCCTACTGCGAGCTCAACAGGAGGATCACAGAGCATAAGTGTGAACGGAAGTGCACGGGGAAGACGGAGGTCACGCTGCAGGTGACCGTCCCGCTCTGCACCAGCCCAGGGGTTTGCCTTCCCAGACCGGGGATCACAGGCTTCTTTTCCTCCCAAGTCTGGGGAGGTACCTGGCAGCAGTGGGCTCCTTGGGGTAAAGGTGGGGCTGAAAGGAGGCCCTGGCAGGCACCTTTGGTTTCGGGGCATCCCTGTGCCAGGCGGGTGAAGGCTCCTCTATCAGGAGCCATTCTGAGCACAGAAGGTACAGGCAGATGATGGTGGCGTGGCCCCCTGCTCCAGGCCATCAAGGACGCAGAGGCCCAAGTGTACAGGCTGCGGCAGGAGGCACAGAAGGCTGAGGAGACGCTGGCCATGGCCAGGCTAGAGCTTCGGGAGCAGACCCAGGAGGGTGGGTGGGGCTTCAGAAGGGAGCTGGGTGGCCGGAGAGGAGCGGCCCAGGGAGGGGTCCAGAGCTGGGCTCTTGGGTTGGTTGCACCCTAACACCCTCACAGAAGAAGAGGAGGTTCCGGCTGAAGTGCCAGGTCACCGAGCTCCACGATGTACTGATGAAGGACATGGGTGATTGTATCCGCGTGGATGGCCGGTCAGTGCTGTCGGGCTGGGTGTGGGTGAATCAAAGTGCCTTGGACAGCGGCGACCTGGTGGGTGCCCTCAGGTGGCCTCTTGTTATTGATCCTTCGGGCCAGGCGGCCACCTTCCTGCGCTACCAGGACACCAACTACGTGGATACACTGGACCCAGAGCACCTGGGACCAGAGAGGATCCGGCTGGCTTTGCTGGGGGCACTCAGGTGAGGTGAGTCAGGGCACGCAGACTGCCCCAGTCTCTGTCCACCCTCAGTGGCTGCACCCACAGGTACGGGAAGCCACTGGTGTTTGACCTGCGTGAGGTGGACCTATTTCAGGTGGTGCAGAGGCAGCTGGAGGAGGTGCAGCCAGGCCTGGCACAGGCGCTGCTAAGCCGTGGGCTGCTGGCACAGGAGGGGTACCTGTCGCTGCTGAGGCCCTCGGACGGGCCAGAGTACGAGCCCGCCCAGTTCCAGGAGGCGCGGCTGGAGCACTTCCGCCTCTTCTTTGTCACCCGGGTTCAGTGGCCGCCTGCGGAGCAGCTGCAGGTTCTGCTACCTGTACGTGTGCAGCTGCCTAACAGAAGTTTCTAGTGCAGCACCCCAATAAAGCATGTGCACCGTATCTGTGATTGCATGTACAAGTCCATGGCCCCCGCCAGTCTGGGCCTCAGCTACAGGACACTGGGAGGACAGAGGCCTGGGTGGGCAGCCCTGGGCACCCGTGCCTTGTAGGGCAGGAGGGGTCAGTATGGTGGGTGGGTGGACAGACAGACGGGAGGTAAAACGTAGTCAATTTTATTCTCCTTAAACCACAAAATAGAGTCTTTGGTTGTACAAACATCACTAGTTACAGTCTTGCCAAGAGATTCTGGCTTGGGGAAGGGGGCAGTTAGAGGCCAGAACTCTTGAGGGGGGGGGTCTCTTTAAAATGCTAATACCCAAGTTAAAAGACTTGGGGCAAGGGTGATGATGGAGCTGGAGGACCCCACCGCAAGTCTGAGGGGGCACCCAGCCCTAGGAGGGCACAGGGCCCAGGCCTCGGCGCCCTGGCCGTATGGCCCGGCGGCTACTGCACAGTGTCACATCTTCAGGACCCAAGGCACTGGGTGAGGGCCTACCCAGGAGCACCAGGGCCACCTCTCCATCCTCTTCTTGTGGACCTGTTGGGCAGAGGCAGGGAAGATGTGAGCCAAGTGTGGCCTGACACCCTGGGAGCTCACTCCCAGCCAGGCGCCAACTCACCAGGGCTGGGGGATGGTTCCAAGGACCTCAGCTCCTCGACAAAGTCTGGTGACTGTGATGGGGACAGGGGCTGGTCAGGGCTGGTCCCAGACTTGCCTGAAACCACCCACGTGGACTTGGCCTGGCTCAGAGGCCGACAGAGCACAGGTCGGGTCAGGGCAGAACAGGCAGAAAGAAAGGCGGGTGGGAAACGCACGGAAAGGGGTGGGCAGAGACCCAGCGACAGGTAGAGAGGCGCGAGCGGGGACTGGGCCCATGCACGTGCTTCAGGGTCAGGGGGCCACCAGTACCTGGATGTCATAGACCGGTCTGGAAGAAGGGAGGGCTGCAAAAGCCCTGTAGTCAAACTTCTTTCCAGACAAGGGCTTGAAAGGACAGCATGAGGGAGAAAGAGGCAGAGACAGTGCGAGGGAGAGGTGAGGGCGGAGAGTATGAAGTGGGGTGTGGGAGGGCGATGGCTGCAAGCTCCTCACCAGGCGTCCAGGGGAGGTGCTGGTCTGAAGGCCGAGGTCTGGGGGCACAAGGAGCAGGTGTTAAGAGAGGCCCATACAGCAGGCAGAACCCTCCGCATCCCCCTCATCCCCACTGACCTTCCAAGGGGGTAGGTGATGGGGTGGGCGCCGGTGAAGGGGCCTCCGCCAGCCGCTCCAGGGGCCCTCGCTTGCCCCGGCCCTCCTGGGACTTGCTGAGGACCATCTGCGCGCGCAGAGCGTCCTGCTCTAGAGACTTCATCCTGCAGGAAGAAGGTGGGCGAGGCTGGGCGGGGCCCGGGCGGCGGCGGGCGGGACCCGGGCGGCGGCGGGCAGGCCTGGGTGGGCTCACCTGGCCGCTCTCCACAGCGCCCGCTTCTCCGCCTCCAGGGCCCGGCGCTCCGCCGGGGACAGGGCCCGCTCGGGAGCTGGCAGCTCAGGGCTCTGCATGCGAAGCCGCTCCTGATGGCGCCGCTCAGCTTTGGCTGTCCGCACCGGGGCGCCGCCTCCCACGGGTGGCGGGGACGCTGGGCTGGACCTGGGGAACCCGACAGGGCGCATTATGGGTGTGGGGAACTCGGTGGGCAGGAGGCATCGGTGCCCTCACCCTCCCGCCCTCACCCTCCAGCAGACCCGGGGCCAGCCCAGGGGGGCTCGGCCTCCTGCTGCTCTTCATCCGGGGATTCCCTGTCCAGGACGAGCCCTGCTTCTGGCCCTGTGTTCTCAGCCTCCTCCCGCAGCATTTGCACCCTCTTCTGCTGCAGCTTTCGGGCTGTGGGGTGGAGAGCAGGTCAGGCCATGCCAGGCTGTTCCATCCGATCCCTTCCCACCACCCGTACCCCTCACCTTCCTCTTCCTGCATCTTTCGCAGGTCATCAGCACCCACCAGGGACACACGCTTGGGGTGGCCCTCAGCCTGGGGCAGCCGCACCTCCAGCTCAAAGTACTTCTGCCGCTCCCGGAAAGACAGCTGCTCTGGGGAGGCCGCTGGCCCAGGCATGGAGGGCTGGCGGAAGCGGGGCCTGAGACTTGGCTGGTGTTCTCCCTGGGGACACCCACACTGGGCACCCTCCCCACACTCAACACAGCATACCTGGGCAGCACTGTCCTCAGGAGGGTGTGCAGTGGGCACAGCTGCAAAGGCCCTGTAGGCCTGCTTCACGTTAGCAGGTAGCTCATCCGGGGAGGGTGGGGAGGGTGGCTGGGGAGCAGGGCTCCTGTGAGCTGGGCTGGGCAGCTGTCACCATGTGGCCACCACCCACTCAGCCACCAGCTGTCCCCACTGACTGCAACTGACCCCCACCCACCATCCTGCTGCAGAAGGAAGCTCTGTCACCCCCACCCCTGCAGGACAGGACACTCACAGAGCAGGGACCACCTCTGCCCCTGGGAGCCGGGGAGCCCCTTGGCCAGGCCTGAGCCAATGGCTGGATCACCCCCGGTTTTGTCTGCAAAGGGCAGGGGTGGGGTTGGGGGTGGGGTCAGAGGAGAGCAGGATCAGAGGTCCAGGAAAGGGGGAAAGAGATAAGACAGAAATGGAGCCAAGGTTGGCAGCAGGGATAGGGTAGACACTCACCCAAATGACCCTGCCTTGAGGAGTTGAGCTGGGTTTCACGTGGGCCCTGTGCCCACCCCCACCCTGCAGTGCATGGATAGGGTGCCCATGGCCTGACCATCCCCATGCAGCTGGCAGGGTGGGGGCCCCAGAGGACCCACAGACAAGAGGGTCAGTGTGCTGGCAGGCCCTTGTGGTGCTGGGTGTGGGCATCAATCCACATCTTGAGGACTCAAGCCCCTTCAGCACAAGCGCAAGGCCCTGCTCTCACCAAAGCCAGCTCTGGCCACAAAGGTGTCCCCAGGAGGAAAGCCTGTCTCCTGCCAGGGAGGCCTGCACCCAGCACCTTTCTGTAGCCTCTGTAGGGACCTGTGACGAGGCTGCTCACCTGCTGGTTGCCAGGGGAGCAGGGGTCCTCAGCCATTTTCCCTCCGGTCATCCCAGATGGTCCCTGGAGGAGCAGGGCAGTGGGTAGGGGAAGGGCCTGGCAGGGTTGTGTCCCAGGGAAGGAGGAACAGGGTTGACAGAAAAGCTGCCTTCAATTCTCTGACCTGACCTGGCCCAGGGACATCACTTGGCCACCAAATGGGCTTCTCCCCCACCATAAGGCTGGGTGTGGGAGGGCATTGTCGGGGGCCCGGGCTAGGCAGCTGGGTGCCTGCTCGCAGCAGTGGGGCACTACCCAGCATGCAGCCCTGAACTGTGCAAGGACAGCTGGGGACAGACAGGGACAGACCTATATGAGACAGCGTCGCTAGGGCCCAGAGAGCCCATCTACCAGCAGCATGCCTCGAGCTCCAGTGTGGCCTCCTAGTCTATGAGCCAGGGAGGCCCCAACCCTTGCCAGCTACCCACAGCTCTGTCCCTTCTCCATCAGAGGAGTGTGGGCCTCCATTCCTCCTAGGGACTTCCCTCTTGGAGCAGAAGGAAGGAGGGCTGGTATCTAAAAGCCCCTCAATGGGCTGCTTCTACCCCCAGGCCCCACCCAGTGACACTGCAGTGTCCTGGCCAAGTCCACCCCTCAAGCACTCATGTTCCTGCAGATTCTCCTAGTGGGGCTGGGGGTGTACCCTCTGGGAGTGTTATTTATAAATGTCTCTTGAGGAGGAGTAAGGACTGAATGTCCTCTTTGTCTGTCCACAGGCCCACAACTGTGGTGTCCTGGAGGCCACCGTTAGCCTAGGCCTGCGTCCACCCCCAGCACAGCTGCTAGTGCCATGCCTTCCTTACCCAACGGGTCTCCATCACTGCTTGCAGCTGCTCCAGCCCATCCACCCTATGGAGGCTGTACACACCCAACCCATCAGGTGCCCCAATGGCTCCTTGGACTTCCGGCTGCCTTTGTACCCTGGTAGACCCCCTGCCTGCAGCAGGCTGAGCTCAGGTTCTCCCATATGCAACTGCTTGGAGTGTATGGGGAAGGGGAAAGGGGCCAGGGATTTCAAAGAATTCCCCCTTTGCACTCTATGCCCTCAGCTATGAGGGACCATACCACTGCCTCATGATTGAAGTCAGGAATTAAAGGCACAAAGAATGGGAGTTGTGGCTCAGTGGAAGAGCATTTGTCTACCACGAATAAGACTCTGGATTCTCTCCCCTGCAAAAACCAAAAAACAAAAAAGGACAAAACATTGTTGGGCCAAACTCTGGTTGAGGCACACCTGCAGAGTTACCCTGCATGGTGGCCTTGGCACTAGTACTGGAGACGGAAAGGCCTGAGCTGGCTGGCAGGGCCCCCAGGTGGAGAGAGTCAATTAAGGCAGGATGAGACCCACAGGCAGGCCAGTCAATGGTGGTGACAGACAGACCAGGCAAGGTTGCAACTCCGCACACATGGCACTCACCCTCTGCATGCCACCAGCACTGGGCACAGCAGCCAGGGCACGATAGTCCAGCTTCAGGGGCTCTAGACTCCGTCCCTGGGAAGCAGAGTGGACACAGTGCTGGCAGATGCTCTGTGCCTGGGGTATGGCCACCCAGGGCTCAGAGCCAGACCCAGGTAGGACTCACTGTTGCCTCTGTAGCCTCAGGCCCCCAGTGTGGGGCCTGACCAGGCAGCTCCTTCTCCTGTAAGCAGAGCAGACACAGTCAGGAACCAGCAGCTCAGGCTCCTAGCCTTGGGCTCCTGGCCACTGTAGTCCTGACCTTGCCTGGGCCCTCAGGGCTCAGCTCCCGGTCGATGGATGAGATGCTTTCCAGGCTGTTCCTGTGGCCAATGCCTGCTGCAAAGGGGTTGGCAATGACACCTGGGGATACCTAAGAGGAAAGGAGTGAACTGAGGGTAGGGAACTTGCTGGGAAGGTCCAAACTCCAGGGCAGGTTGAAGCCTAGGCCAAAGATAAGCCAGTGGCCCACAGTGGACATAGGAGATCACATCCCACCAGGCTGGTCAATCAAGTGTAACTGTCCCCAGCTTGCCCAGGGCACAGGACTGCAGCACCTATCTGCATGTGGCAGAATTGTAAAGCAGGGTGGCCACACTGCTTGGCAGGGGTGCAGAGAAGGGCGACTGTAGTCACCCCAGGAACAACGAAGTGACAGACAGATAGGATAGGAGCAGGAAGAAAGTGAGCCACAGCAATGTGCTCATGCAGAAGGACGCTCCTAGATGGACAAGGGGTATCTGGAGTGTGCAGAGGGTGGGCAGAGATGAGACACGCTGAGAGGGAAAGTCTTCTAGTCCTGACCCTCAGGGCAACACCGCCTGTCAAAATCCAAAGACTGGGAGTCTGCAGAGGGAAGGTGTGTAGGGGTTGCCAGGCAGGGTAAGGGCGTGGGGCCTGGGTACAAAGTATGCTTGAGTTAAGGGTAAACACAGGTGATTGAAACATGGGAATGGTTGCTTCCATACCACAAGGCACAAAGGGACTGGCTCAGGCCTCTACCACCAGAGGAACGAGAGGCAGCATGGTGGAAAGCCAGTTACCAGTGGCCTTGTTGAGAGCAAGGTCCCTACCAGAAAAACAAAGATGAGCAGTGAGGGCTGAAACACAGCCCAGATGTTGTGGTTTTAAAAACCACTGAAACAATAAGACAAGGGAGGCCAAACAAAGCACAGAGAGCAGCTGCTCAGACTGAGGAAGATGGAACTTGAGGTTAAGAGCATGGAGCAGGGGCTGGGGACACTTAGCAGCAGTAACATGGTGATCATAAATTGCAAGTGCTAAATAAATGAGTAGCTAAACACAAAAAGCAAAGACCAGGGAAAATATGAGAGCTGGGTACAGAGTTATGATGGGAGGTATAAATGTCTCTCTCTGATTCTGACAACACTAGAAGCTCAAATAACAAACAGGTACCCTTCTGGAGTAACTCAATCTAAAGGCCACTGGGCAGGTCCTTACACACACACAGAGACTAAGCAGAGTAAAAGCAGCAAGATCAAGAAAGCCTGGTTTCCCAAATCAGAGAAGGCAACTCACATAAGGGCTGCGGTGCAGAGCTGACTTGGAAGGTGAACAATATCATGTTCACCTATGGCTCCAGAAATAACCAGAGGTGGCAACTATTCACATATTCCCTAGCTCTGGCCAATGAGTGGCCCTGAGACAGCAATGCACTGCCTGGCTCCAAGGCCTTGTCTTCTCAACATCCCCAACACTAAAAGGAGCCAGCACTCCCTAGAGAAATGGCTGGGCAGAAGTGTGAGATAAGAAAGTGCTTGGAGCAGGTGAATGGTGTCAGAAGGACCCAGGCCCAGTCTGAAGCCCCTTTCGTGGTCATGGTTGGGACAACCTGAGTATCAAAAAACTGACCAATGAAATGTCACCTGTGAGACACAATGGAAATCAGAGGCTATGCTGACATGAATGGGGAGGAGAAGCTGGTCTTATGCAGATGCCAAAGGAAAAGTCAAGCAGTGACCCAATGGCCAGGACTTGCTCAGGCCCTGTCTGAGGTATTCAAACTGGCGGGGGAGAGTTCCGAGTAGCGGGAGTCACACATTCTCCTCTGGCCCAGAAGAAAACCCAAATTCAAATCGTAAAGTATAGTTTCTACTCCCTCAGTGCTGACTTTGCACCACTGTCCAATCATCGTGAGTCAGGGGCTGTCTGTATGGGACACTTGGGACACACACACCAAGGTCCACAGAGGGACATAGCAGAAGGGGGACTTCTCTTCACACCAAGCACATGGGAGAGCATAGTGCAAAGTTTTTTGGAAAGACCTGCTCACAGCCCTGGCGCACTGGTGAGGCAGGTATGTGCTGAGCTGCTTGCTGTGCCTGCTCTCTCAGTGGCCCTTGAGGCAGCCCTGCTGCTATCCCCTTGTCAGACCCAGAGGGAAGAGCAGAACACCAGCAAGAGCCCAGGTCTATCAACCTGTGCAGGAGCCTTAAAAACACACCAGCCCTACTCCACAGGCAAGGCAGGTCCACCAGCACCTGTGAGACACTGCTGTCCCAGAGAGCCAGAGAGGCTCATAAGCTGCTACAGAACACAGCTGACAAATGACACCGCAGGCCAGACAGGCTAACAGACGATTTAGGTGACCAAGTTTAAGAAAAACAGCAAAAACAAAACACCCACAAGTATTAAAAGCACACCAATCTCCTGCTCAGAACCTTCACCGGCTGCACTTTACTGGGTGTGGATCAAGAGTGAGACCCTGAGTTCAAACCCCAGTAATGCCTGCCCCCCAACAACAAAGACAGACTGAGAGAGAAAGCAGAAATGGGGTGCAAGTAAGGATCACCCTGCCCATGCCCCAGAGGCTTCAGATGCACAACCAAATCCCGTAGGCTCAGACACTCTAATGTGTGTGTGTGTGTGTGTGTGTGAGAAAAGCCAGGAATCCAAAGATTGCTGTGAAGAACCCTGCTGTGTAAACATCAGGTCCCTTTCTCCCAAGTCCCAAGCCTGCTGATGGCACCTCTGTGGGCTGAACCAGCCTCATTGAGCACATGGTGTAAAACCACTTCAGGAATCTCACCACCTACTGCAGAACACCAGTCTCATAGTTGGAAGTCGAAACAGCTCCCCCAATTAAAAAAATGTTCTAAGGGCCATTCATAGTGGTGCATGCCTGTAATTCCAGCTACTTAGGAGGTGGAAGGTAGAGATTGGGAAGATCACAGTCTGAGGCTGGCCACTGGTAAAAGTGTGAGACCCTATCTAAAAATAACTAAAGCAAAAAAGGGCTAGAGGTGTGGCTAAAGTGGTAGAGCACCTGCCTGGCAAACACAGGCTCTGACTTCAAACTCTAGTACAACATGCTAAAAACAACAAAAGCTTTAAAAAAAACTACGAGAAACATCACACTACAGGATGAAACAGTTCCAAGTTAGGCACAAGACAAAGCCACCAGCCCCCACCACTGCTGGTCACAGCACAGGGGGAGGGCAAGCAGGGCGAAAAGACACGTGTGGGGGGAGCAACCTGGGAAGGCGGCCCCACTCCATCACTGTGGGCTACAGGGCTTCTGCAAGGAAACAAAGCAAAGCCAATAAGGATTCACTGGAACTCTTACAAAACTAGAGCAAGCTAGGAATATACTTGAGGACAACTTACAAAAAAAGATGACCCCATCCTGGGGATACACTCAAAGGAATGCAACACAGGTTACTCCAGAGGCACCTGAACACCCATGTTTATTGCAGCACTATTCACAATAGCCAAGCTATGGAAACAGCCAAGATGCCCCACCACTGACAAATGGATTAAGAAAATGTGGTATCTATACACAATGGAATTTTATGCAGCCATGAAGAAGAACGAAATGTTATCATTCGCTGGTAAATGGATGGAATTGGAAAACATCATTCTGAGTGAGGTTAGCCTGGCCCAAAAGACCAAAAATCATATGTTCTCCCTCATATGTGGACATTAGATCAAGGGCAAACACAACAAGGGGATTGGACTTTGATCACACGATAAAAGCGAGAGCACACAAGGGAGGTATGAGGATAGGTAAGACACCTAAAAAACTAGATAGCATTTTTTGCCCTCAGCACAGAGAAACTAAAGCAGATACCTTAAAAGCAACTGAGGCCAACAGGAGAAGGGGACCAGGAACTAGAGAAAAGGTTAGTTCGAGAAGAATTAATTTAGAAGGTAACACACATGTACAGGAAAGCAATGTGAGTCAGCTCCCTGTATAGCTACCCTTATCTCAACTAGCAAAAACCCTTGGTCCTTCCTATTATTGCTTATACTCTCTCTTCAACAAAACTAGAAATAAGGGCAAAAATAGTTTCTGCCTGGTAACGGGATGTTAGCAGGGTAAGGGAAGGAGCAGGCGGGGGGCGGGGGAAGAAGGGGGGGGAAGGGGGAAGAAATGACCCAAACATGGTATGCACATATGAGTTAAAAAAAAAAAAAGACCCCAAGTGGTTGGAGGCACCAACCACTTTTTGTTATGGTACCTGGTAGATGAGTTCACAAGAGAAAACAAAACAAAGTTTTCAGAAAAAAAGAGTACAATCAATTGACTGGTCACTTGACTTGTCTGAGATACTGGAACTCACTACACAGTGACAAGCATGTATATGGTGCGGCACCGTGTGAGATGCACAGCTCCCTGGGACCGAGTCCAGAAATAAGCTGGAACACACAGATGTAACATCACAATGAAGTCACATTTCCCCAGAGCAGCAGGGAGTGACAGGCATATCAGTAACCACTGTGGGGACAACTCGTGTCCACTCACACCAACAGCAATTCCAGGTGGACTGCAGAGCTGCATTTTAAAAAGTCATAGAAGTATTGGAAAAAAATACAGGGTGCTTTTACAACCATAAGAGGGGAAGATTTTCCTAAGCAAAAGCCAGACTTAAAAAGTCCTAAAGGGAAATGCTGCAAGACTTAATTGATTAAAATTGTGAAATTTTGTGACCCAAAAGGTACCATCCTAAAAAGGAAACCTCAGTGATGGATGGAGAAAAACAGCTGCAGAGCACAGGCCAGACATGGCCTACACAATGGGGGATGGGAGGGCAGGGGAAGGTGGGGGAAGGTGGTGCACCTGTGGCGTAAGAGCAGTCATGTGTCCTGAGATGGAGTGAGTATGTAGAGGGGACAGTGGTTCCAGAAGAATATTCAGCTTCTGCTGCTAGGGCTCCTCATCTGCCAGAGCTGGCAGACACCTGCCTGGCTCCCCAGAAGGAGGATGTGGACATGGCCAAGGCTGAGTAAGGTTTGAGACCTTCAGCTTCCGACCTTCCTGCAGGAACCCTTACCCAGCATGTGTGCGTACACAGAGTGGCCAGTCAGGCACAGTAAGGACAACCTATGTCACATACCAGGGGCCAATGCACAGTCAAGTGGATGTAGAGCCAAGGTGATGTGGACCGGCTGTCAGTATGAGTCATGCTAGCCCTACCCTTCTAGAAGCTTGACCCTTCCCTGGGGAGGGTTCCTCTCTGAAGTGCAAGTTTAAAACAAGTAAATGTTTTGTACACAAAATGTTTAAATATTCATTTTAAAATAAGTAAACAATGGGCAAGCCCTCTCTGAGGACCAAACCACCCAGAGCATAAATCCTAAAAGAGATTTACCCCCAGGACCACCAGGACTGCATTGGGATAGCAGAAGTGAGGACAAGGGCCAGACTTGTGAGCCCAGGGAGTGACACCTTAGATCACGTAGGCTCCAGCTCAACATCCAGTTGTGCACCAAACAGACTAAGGCAACTTGTTTCTCATTACAGTGACCTCGCTGGTGTCTGAGGCAGCGCACACCATCTGCGCATCAGCCTGGGTTGTCTCTGGAGGAAATCTCCATCCTAAAGATGGACTGCAAGTGAGTCAACCTAGGGGCACTGTGTGTCCGAGGGGGCTGAGGTGTAGAGGCCATGGGGAGTGGTGACACAGCCACCCATGCCCTTGAGACCAGCATGGCCACCATGCCCTCTGAAGAGCTGGTGGCCATTGCAGATGAAGACCCCTTGGAGGTCATTTTGGCCTGCAGGTGCTGATGCTGGAGGGGCCCTGGGACAGTAAGTGGGACAAGACAGGAGAGTAAGACTGGAGCCCCAGGCCTGGCAGCCGGACATTCTTTCTCTGTGCGAGCAGAGGCTCTGGGGCCAACTCTGGGGCAAAGTGAGTGGGAGGCCAGCAGTCAGACAGAACATGGGTGTAAGTGAGCTCTCCAGAAGAGCATCCTAGGATCAAGCACAGCCAGGGAGGAGCAGGAAACCATGGGCTGGGGAACCTCTGTGCAATCTGTGCTGAAGTTCCATTACTGGCTGGGGGGCTCCAGGCAGGACTCTCCAGTCTCTCTGACCAGCTAATGGCCACACCTTCTCAGGTGCTGCCTGGCCAGAGCCCAGCTGCACCTGTTTTCTTAGGACCAGGACATATCTATCTCTTCACTGCCTAATCCCACCTGGACTAGAGCCTCCGGACAGCATGGTGACCAGGCTCAGAAAGGCTCTGCCACTCCATGCCATGGGACAGTCGTGGGCAGCACCTGGTCCCAGGGCAGGTCACTAACCTCTAGGGCTATGGTGGTACTGGTGTCAAAGCCATCACAGACGAGCACGGTGAGGGTGTCACCCACGCTGCGCAGCAACTGCACAGCCTCAGCGTGCGTGAGGCCTAGCAGGCTCTGTTGGTTCACCTCCAGCAGCCGCAGCCCCACACGCAGCCGGCCATCACGCCCAGCCGCCCCTGTGGGGCTCACCTGCAGGAAGACCAGGGTAAGACCCAGCCACCCACGCACCCACCCACAGCACCAAGGAGGAGGCTCTCACCTTGGAGATGAAGATACCCTCATCTGTGGGGTCGCAGGGATTGCCTGCATGGCCCTTGGCACCCCCACGGATGCTGATGCCTAGCTTCTCCCCGGGGGCCTTCTGGATGCAGAGCTCCCGCATGCCTGGGGGGGGCGGGTCCCTCCGCACCAGCAGTGACAACTCCAGGCAGGGTCGGAGCAGGGCACTGACTGCCTCTTGGTGCGTGGCCTCCCGTACATCCTGTCCGTTCACTGCCAGAATGCGATCCCCAACCCGAAGGCCACAGCGAGCAGCCAGGCCCCGCGGGAGCACCTGTTGGGGAGGAGAGCAGCATCCGGTGGGCTGGGGCTGTTATGACCCTTGTTCAGGGCGGCCAGGATGGGTCTTTCTTGCACAGAGCTGCCCGCCAGGCCTTCTACCTTGGAGATGAACACACCAGGCTCCTGGACACCAAACGGGTGGCTGGAGTGATCAGAGCCCCCGACGATGCTAAGCCCCAGTGGGCCCCCAGCCCTGGGCAGACGGACCTCCTGGAACATAGGACAGATCTCAGAGCAAGAAAGGAAGGGGTACGAAAGGGTGGGGCATTGGCCATGGGCTCTGCAAGGAGTGGTTATACCCTCAGGATGGGGCTGGGGTGCTGCTAGGGCCCTCCAGGCTGCTACAGTTCTGCTGCCCATCAACTCATGTGGCTGGAAGCCCTCACCCTCACTGAATGCAGCCACGTGAGGGGACAGGGCACCAGTGGGACGGTTGTGCTGGTGCAGGCAGGGGTCAAACCATGGACTGCAGAGCAGGCACACATGGCAAGATGATGCACTGCTTTCTGCCCAGAGTGGATGCCAGGCAGGCAGTGGGCAGGTGTCTCACCTCCACGGGGTATGGTCCTTCCAAGGCAGCAGCCAGCAGGCTGGGGGCCAGCCGGGGCAGCCCAGGCTCCCCAGGAGTGACAGTGGTCATGGTAGCAGCAGTGGCGGTGGGGATGGGGGAGGCATGCGGTGAGGGAGTCAGGGGGAGGGACCCCTCAGTCTCCCTTTCCAGTAGCAGGGCAATGGTGGGGGAGGCGGCAGTCAGTAGGGAGACAGCATGGTCGTGCCTGGCCTCAGTCATGTCCACTCCATTGATCTGTAGGGACACACTTGGGTCAGAGAGGGTGGGCAGGGTAGACAGAAGACACTGGGCGGGCCCACCTGCCCTCACTCACCGAGAGGACTCGGTCCCCGACTTGTAGAGTGCCTGCCCGGTGGGCAGCACCCCCCTCTGCAATGCGGGAGATAAAGATTCCCTGCAAGGGAGGGAGGAGCAACACTGTGAGGCCAGCAGGCCAGAATGGCAGCACAGCCTGTTCCTCTGGGAGTCCCCTCCAGGTGCCCCAGGCACATTGTCTTACCCCATCACCAGCCCGGTAGGGCGTGGAGCCTTTTCCACCAGCAATGCTGAAGCCCAGTCCCTTTTCACTGCGCACGAGGCAGGCTGCGTGGCGCTGGCGGAGGGGGCTGTGGGTCTCAGGCTGGAGCAAGGCCAAGCGTAGGCCACCACCCCGCCGCTCCCGAGGGCTGTAGTCATCCTCAGGCCGTAGAGGTGTGATGGTGACTGCATTCTCAGGCTCCACCATTCGTTCCCTCCACACTCGCATCTGCACAGCAGCGCCTGCCCCTCGCAGTGCCTCCACAGCCTCATGGTGCTCCGCATCCCGCAAAGCCACGCCATTCACCTTGGATAGTGGGGAGAGGTCAGGGCACATATCAGCACCCAGCCATAGTCACCCTGACAGCTGGGCACTGACAGGGTGCTACAAGCCCCCCATACGGCTAGGCAGACACCCTGTAGCCAGTCTACAATGGTGCCTCCACTCCAAGACATCTCCTGCTCCCTGCCCTCGTCTGAGGAGCCTGGCGGAGAACACCGGAGGCTACCGGGGTGACAATCCCATGCCCACTCATGGGCATGCACTCATGGGCAGCACTCATGGGCAGACATGACGAGAAACACACGGAGAGCTTCACCCTTGTCCCCACAGGAGTAACCCAACCTCCCCACGAGCTCCCCAACAGCCAGGTGCCCAGGCCAGGGCTCCTGGGCTCCAGTTCAGAGACCAGGTCCCCACAAAAGTCCCTGGCAAGCTCCACTGCTGCTGGTGGGGCTGGTGTCACTCATGCCTCCTGTCCAGACAGAGTGTCTCTGGGGGCAGGCAGTCAGGCTCCCTCGACCCTGGCTTATGAGTTCCACACCTGATGGGGACAGCCAAGGATTTGTGGACCTCAGATGGCACTGCTGCTCTTTGCTGAGCAGGGGTCATCACTCACCTCAAGGAGTTTGTCGCCCACTCGAACTCCAGCGCGGGCTGCAGGGCCCTCCTCAGACACCCGAGAGATGAAAATGCCCTAGAGAATAAGCAGGGACTGTCTACAGAGCCTGCCCTCCATTCTGCCCTTCTGGGAGGAGCCCGTGGTGGCTGTCAAAGGGTTAGAAGCTACCAGGCAGAGGGGAGACCCACTCTCTGCAGACTACAGCCCTGGCCCGCTCCCTGGAGAGGCTGCAAAGACCCCCAAGTTCAAGGGGAATAGTGGGCCTGGAGGGGGTCAGAGCAGACGGGCTCAGGTTACAGTGGAGTCCTGAGTCCAGGGAGCTAATAGCTACAGGTTAACCTAGGAAGAGGCTCTTGACCTCAAAGTGGGCACAGAACAGGAAAGGCCAGAGTATAGAAAGAGGGCAGCCTGGCCACCCTGCAAGCTGCTCTCAGATGCTAACATCCTATATGAACACATCCCTGGGTTCACTTGGCACCCTAGGGTGACCTGCACTGGACAATACATTCTCCTGGTAGAGGCCAAGTGCGCTCAAACATCTAGCAGACATGATTCAAGAGGTCCCCTCAGAGTGATGGGAAGACTCTGAGCAGCAGGTGCAGACAGGAGGGAGCTCAAGGGCAGTTGGGCCCAGTGAACAGCTGGGTAGCTACTCACCTCGTCGTCTCCCTTGTAGGGAGTGGAACCCTTGCCCCCTGCGATGCTGATGCCCAGGCCCCCTGTCTGCCGCACGATGGTGAGTGTCAGCTGGAAACAGAGCAGACATGGTTGTCTGGGAAGGCCTGGGCTACATGTGCTCACAGCAGCCGAAGGAGCTGGCTGTAGACAGCTTCATTCACCAGGTAGCAGAGACAGAACAAAGCAGTTGGGGAGGTTCCCAGGACTCTGGGAGCAGCAGGTGAGTAATGGGTGGTCCAGGGCTGAGTGGACGTCTTCCACTGAGTGGGGCCTGATCCTTCTTCTGTAGCCAAGGCTACCTCAAGATTCACGGTAGGAATACAGGAAACTGACCAGCACCTCCACTCATCCTGTGAGACAGGCTGCCCCAGGGTGAAGGTGTGCTGCTCTGACAGAGAGCACACCGTGGGGGGAATGGGGACAGGACCCCAACTATGGCAGCTGCCAGGAGCTCTTCTGTTAAAGAAGGAGGGTCTGCACTCGATCCATGAGGGAGGGGAGAGGTGAGAACCCGCAGCCCAAGAAGCAAGGTCAGCAGCCCAGACCCAGAGCAAAGAGCAGCAGCGAGCAGTACAGACCTCTTCCTCCTCAATGCGAGCAGGCTCTATCAGCAGGTTATTGGCCTGGTCAAACGACACCCCCTGTTAGGACAGGAGCAGCGAGGCATGCAGGTTAGCCACCGCTGGACACCACCACCACCTCACCCAGCCCTCACCACGAGCAGAGAGGACAGAAGAAAGACCCCATCAAGCTCCTATGGCCTGAGCCAGTACCTCCCTACCTGGGCTTGGCACAGTCCCAGGCATGGGTTGCCTATAGTCTGTAGGTGTGAGAGTGACCTGCAGACCTGCCAGATGAGTAGGGCAGGGCTGGCTGTGATAGAGGTTTCAAAGTAGATGGGACTCAGGCATGGCTATCCCTGACTTGACCCCCATGTCCCTGAAGCTGTCATGTGTCATCACCATGACACATGGTGTCAGGGTAGGGGTATTGTAGGCAGGAAGGGTGGTGCCTCTGGGCAGACTGGGGGGCCTGGGGCTTTCTCTAACATCTGATGGTTCCCAATGAGCAGACATATCCTTTTGTGAGCCATCAAGAGTAAAACCTGAGGGCCCTGAAGGGATACACCACTGCTCCTAGAGGTTTGCCTGAGCCTGGGGGCAGGTGTGGGGGGGTTCCAAGTGGCAGTGGTGGTGGCTGTCTGGTAAAGCAGAGGAGGGAGTGCTATGCCCACAAAATGAGCCACAGCTCTGCCAGGGAGGATCCTGGGAGAGCCAGCAACTCCTGGAGAGGAGGGGGCCTCCGTCTAGTCCCCCTGCACACAGATGGCCAAGGGTGCGGAGAGGCCCATGGCTTTTGTGGGCCCCTTTGGCCTACCAGTCCGTCATGGAGATGCTAACCCAGGGAGCTACTATGAGCTTTAACTAAGGTCAGTGTCCGCGGAACCCCGTGAGGGACCAAGGTGACAATACCACCAGTCACAGCACATCCACAACTCGTCTGGGTGGCCAGAGGGAGCCTGGGCCGGGCAAGTGAAACCCACCTTGACGGAGGGAGCAGAAGCCACAGCCTCCTCGTTGTCCTCCTCCTCCGTGGTGGCCTCGCCTTCCTCCTCAGCCCTGTCCTCCTCCTCTTCCTCCTCTTCCTCTTCTTCCTGGGCCCGAGGAGCCCAGGGTGTGTGGGGACCATTGTGCCAGCCCCCAGGCCCTGTGGGGACCTCCCCATCTGGCTGCATCCCCTGCAGCAGGGCCACGACAGCCTCGGGCTGTGGAAGCTTGGAGATCTTGAAGTGCTTCTTGTAGTGGGGCGTGTCCTTGCGGATGAGGCGCTGCCGCCCACCTGGCAGGGGCCAAGGGGCCTCAGGGTGCCCCTCCTCACTCTCACCATCTTCCCTGGATAGCAGCGTATCCTCTGCGAAGTGTACTGTGGGCTGTGCAGGTGTAAACATAAGGGGCAGCCTGGCTCTGACCCACTCTCCCTCCATCCAGGGCCAGGCTCTGTGTCTGCCTGCCACACTGGCTCAGGGAAGCCCTTTGGAGCCCTGCAGGTAATGGACAGAGGCTCTGTGCTGTGCCAAGGATGAGAACTTAGCCTGGGGAGACTTGGGCCACAGAACTCTTCCCAGAGAAATGTGGTGCTCCAAATAGAAATGCAGAGACAGGTAGAAGCCAGATGGGGAGGGGTAACGAATCCACTGGGGCCAGGAAATAAGGAAGGAGGAATGTCTAGGGGCAGTAAGCTTGTAGGTGGCACTGATGGCTGTGTGGAGACTATCACCCGGGTTCGGGGCATCACCCCTTCCAGGAATTTCCTAGGATCACTATCCCGTGCGTACCCATTGCCAAAGCTTTGTCCAGGTGAACCCCCTGTATGTACCCCCCTTGCTAGCCAGCACCCAGCATGGCCTAGTGGCCATCCACGTGGACACTAATAATCCCAACCACACACCTGATTGGGAGGGTGCAGGGTGGGTAGCCTGTACACTAGCAGGCCCTGCTCCTGGCCCCGTGGCCACCAAGACTTGGCCTCCTACCTTCTTCCTGCCTGTCCTCACCTCATCATAGTCCTCTTCCATAGCTTCCTCTTGACCAGGTGGTGTAGCTTCCTGCTGCTCCAGCCCTGGTACCTCAGCTAGTGGGGCCTCAGGATCACCCTCAGAGGCTGTGCTGTCAGACCGGCCAGAGCCTCCACTCAAGCCAGACTCTGTGCTCAGCCTCTTCTCCTGCAGCAGGCAGCAGTGTCACTGCATGGGAGCTGTGGCCCACAGGCTGCTCCCCTTCCTGGCTTCCCACTGCCCTAGCTGTGGCACCCCAGCAGGCTCACTTCTTGCAGCCAGTCCCTGTCCCAGACTCCAGGAAGCCACATTCTTTCCAGAGTCCTGGACACACTGCCATGGTCCTACAGTCTAGCCCCAGGAAAGCCCTCCCGAAAGCATGGAAAACAAGGGCCGCACTAGTTCCCGGGACAAAGTCCCCTCCCCAGTCAGTGGCAGGTAGCCATACATGACCAGCATGTATACTAGCACCCTAGCTTACTGGTCCTACTGCATCCAGAGGCCCCAAAATATCTTCTAGTCATGGTATCAGAAGCTTCATACGAGCAGCAGACCTGCCCAATTCTAGCGCTAAACCCCCTCCCAAGTGCTGAGGGACACTTGGACAGTCAACATAGACAACTGGGAGAAGATAGGCAGCATGGCCCCCTACCAGACCACCACCCCCTGCCACTAAGACATACCTGGCACGTGGCCCTGGACACACCGAACCCTGGCTGTGCCTGTTTTCCAAGCCCAAAGACATTGCTCGCATCCCACCTTCCCCCACCCTCACCCAGCGCAGCCCTCAGCTGCAGCTGTCCCTGTGTCCACCAGCTTGTCTCCTGCCCCCTTCTCCAGGCAGTCCCAGCTCTCACAGCCCACTCCCAAGACAGGTGAGACATCCCGCACTCCCATCCCTTCACACCCACCTCCTCCGAGGGTGAGGGTGGCCCGAGATCAGGCTTGCAGGTGTAGACCTCGTTCCGGCGCTCCTCAATGCCCCTCTTCATCACCTTGAGCTCACTGGGGTGAGGCGTAGCCCGACGCTGCAGGCCCTACAGTGGGGACAGGGATGAGGGACAGAGGCAAGGAAGGGGTCAGGCAGGGGTGGGGTGGAGGTGCACCTCCCAGCGTCCCCACCCCTCCATACCGGCTTCGTGGCAGCAGCCTCCTCAGTATCCTCGTCACCGTCTGGAGCCTCTAGGAACTGGATGACGCTAACACGACTCAGGGGGGCATCACTACAGCTCTCTGAGGGGCTACCCTGATGCCCTGGGTCCTCTGTGGGAGGCAAGGGGTCAGGGGCTTGGGTTCCTCCTCTGGCTCCATCGGAGGCCTTGCCCCTAGGTCAGGACTGCAGCCACCAGCAACCTACCAAAGTTGGGCAGGGGCTGCTGGGGCAGCAGGTAGCAGGTGAGCACCTTCTCGCCAGTCTGGGCATCGTCCTCAGTCTGGAACCGAAGCATGGGCTGTGCCTGGTTCTCGGCCAGCCACAGCGCCTTGAGGTTGAGGTGGGTGAGCGCAAACGGCAGACTCCGCAGCCTGGGGGTCAGGCAGGCATGGTCAGTGCATGCTGGGGACACGGCCAGGTCCCCAGGGGCCATGCAGATACTCACCGGTTCCCAGCCACATCAAGCACATGCAGCTCGGCTGTGTGGGCGAGTTCAGCAGGCAACACGGCCAGGCGGTTGTCCCTCAAGGAGAGAACGCTGAGCGCCACACAGCCTCCAATCTCAGGTGGCAACATCTCAAGGTGGTTCCGGTCCACATTAAGATTGGTCAGCTTGGTCAGCTTGCCCAGAGAGCGGGGCAGGGCCTAGCCAGGAGGAGGGATCAGAGGTTGGCAGAAGCCCCCTAGTGTGGGGAGGAGGACGAGGACAGCCCCTCAAGCAGATTAAGGGTGAGGGAGACCACAGCTTGCTCTGGTCAGGGCTCCCCACAGCCCTCAGAGACTAGGACTGGAGACCTGGACATGCAACTAGGGTACGTGGCTTTCTCTGTCCCCTCCTATTCCCAAGGCCACCAAACACCCTGTGGGGACAGCCAAGACCTCATCCTCACCATCTCTGGCTCTGTCCTGCAGGTATGGCTCAGACCTTCCTAGGCTGTGTGCTCAAGGACACACTGATGTCCCCACTGCCTCCGGCTCCTATCCACCCCTTTATCTCTAGGAATCCCTCTTCCCCCACCACTGTAACCACAGGCATCTCATGCAGGCACGTTCTATAGATGCCTGGCTTATAAGCAGAGCCTGTCTCCCAGTCTGAGGACTGGCATCACCATGGCCAGCCCAGTTTTGGTTCCACAGCCCTTGCTCTTGCTGGCCAGCACAGCAAGAGGGGCAGCTTGATTTCCCGCCCCTCAACTCATTCTCTCTGAAATGCAAACAGTTCTTATCCCTGAATTCCCTTCTTTCCTTCCTGCTGCCATCCCACATCTCACATACTGAGCTCTTAACACCAACTGGCAGGGCCCCACTTCATTTCCTACCAGTGAGCTCCCTTTCCTGACCCCAAGGGTGTCTCTCCTGAGCAGTTCCCATGGGTCAAGCCACCACCAGCACTTGTCAGTATGCAACACATACCACCACCAGCAGATATTCATTCTGGCGTTGCACACCTCGAAGTCCCTGTCCTCTGCCTCCCATACTGACTGTGAACACACCTCCTTGCCAGGGCCTGGTGCCTAAGGGCTGCCTTACCGTTAGCAGGTTCTCTGTGAGTATCAGCTCAGAGAGGTTCTCGCACTCCCCAATAGCTTCGGTTACCTCGCACAGCCGGTTCTGGTCCACCTTCAGGATAGACAGCTGCTTCAGCTGACCTGGCATCAAGGAGACATGGTGACCAAGCTGAGTTGAACCAAGGGCACACCCAAGTGTTTGACACACCCTTGTAGGGAAGATGGGTTTCCAGATCAGCCACATCCTCCCCCCATTTCTCTGGTGACTGTCATAGCTTCTCTGAGGACCCTGAGAGTCCCTGTGCCCATCCCTCCCACCCTTCTCACTACAGACCTGCAGGTCTGCCCACCCATCCACCCTTACAAACCCCTCATGATCCTGCTCTGGCAGAAGCTACCCCGGCCCCCTGGGCTATTACCTGGCCAAATGAGTACCAGATGCAGGCCGAGGCCTAACCTCCTGTCTTTAGGGTGCCTCCATCCTGGTCAAAGTCAGGCCCTCACCCAGGACCCCCCTCCCTCACACACCCAGTGGGCTGCCCCAAGCCTCTCAGTGCACTGACCAATGCCATCTGGCAGCCGCTGCAGCAAGTTCTGGGACAACAGAAGGTCTGTGAGCAGCGCCAGACCGCCCAGCTCCACAGGCAGCTCCTCTAGCCTGTTTTCTGACACATCCAAGCACACCAGACGCCGTAGGTTCCCTAGCTCCTGAGGACAGGCAGAGGGTCAGAGGGCAGCAGCTGGAGGTAGGAGGCCAGTCCCACCCTCACTCACCGGGGGCAGTGCCGACAGCTGGTTCCGGTCTAGCCACAGCTCCCGCAGGTTCGGCAGAGCCCCCAGAGTGTCAGGCTGCAAGAAGAGATGGGGACAGGAGGTAACAGTATGATGTCCTGCCCTCCAGGAGCAGCTGCCCCACACCCAACCTACCCTGCCCCGACAGTCCCCACTTACCAGCACCTCCAGATCATTGCCTCCCAGATCCAGCTGTTCCAGCTTAACCAGGAAAGACAGGGACCTGCAGAGGAAACAGTCTCGGTGTGGCCACGCAGCCAAGGCTCTAGCTCAGCTCCACCCCAGGCTGGGTGGAGGCCCCACACTCACGCAGGCAGAGACTTGAGCAGGTTCTCTCGGAGCTCCAGGGTCACCAAGTTGGCCAAGCTGAAAGAGACACCAGGGGCCAAGGTTGAAAAAGGCAGGCCCAAGCCAAATCCTCCCCAGACCCATTCACTAAGCGGGCACTCACTTGCCCACATCCCCAGGCAGTGCCTGCAGGGACACGTCATTCAGAGCCAGGTGAGCCAGGCTGCGCAGCTGCGTGAAGCCATCCGGGAGTCTGGGGGAAGAAGTTGGGGAACTCAAATGCCCAGAAAATGGTTGTAGACTTCCCATGGCCCAAGGCCAACTCCCACAGTGAGTGGCCACCCACCTGGACAAGGGGTTCCCGCTGAAGTCCGCGATCTCCAGAGCCTTACAGAACTTGATGCTCTCGGGAATCTCAGGGATATCTGGGGCAGGGGTGCCATGCATAGATGCTCATAGCCTCAGGGGCTCCCTGGACCCTTCAGCCACCTCCCAGCCCCTTCCCCTTCCTGACTGCCCACCATTTCGGGACACATCCAGTTCCACCAGCTGCATGAAGTTGGCCACTTCGGGTGGCAACCGCTGGATCTCATTGTCACTGAGGCCCAGCTTGCGCAGGTTCAGCAGTCGGAAGAAAGGCTGTGGGCAGGACGTGTGATCAGGGGGAGGCTCTGCAGCTGAGGCCCCTGAGGGCAGAGAAAGCCTCCTGGACATACAAGGTCATGGGTCACAGATCTCTGGACCTCTAACTGTCCCATATCACAGAGGGGCCTGGGGTCTAGCCTAACTCCCAGTTTGCTGTGAGGGACTCAAGGAAACATGCTGCACACCCCTTTTCCACACCTGATCGAATCTCCACTTGATGTCTTTGGTCCACCTTCCACACACACGGTCACTGTTGTACCATCAGTGCGATCAACCCCACCTAACACATATCATCAGCTCCTGAGGAGACCGAGCCCTGCCTCCTACTGTGTCACCATCAGAACTCCATCTGCCACCTGAGCTGCTTCTTCCATCCACAAGTGAGCCCTCCACGGGGCTACATGGGCTTTTGCTACTGCGCCCCAGCAATGAGCGTTAAGAACTCAGCGGAACTCAGTCAAGAAAACAGTAAGGACCCAATGTAACGCTGCAAACATGTGTAGTGCTATGACAGAGGACTACAAGGCACACGGGTGGGTCCTGGAGACAGGGTTATCAGCCTAGAATGGAGCCACACCCTCAGTATCACCAGCCCCCAAACATCAGGTCACTCGGCCCCCCATCTCAGAAAAGGAAATCTTTCATAACCTGCTTCCTCTGGTCTCCTTTCAGAAAAAAAAAACTGACCGGAAGGAACACGAGCAATGAGGCGGCCACTCAACACAGAAAGGAGGGCAGGGAACAAACCTCGCTCCAGTCACCTTAGGAGAGCCCCTCACCCAGTCCTGCGCAGGATGAAAGAGGAGCAGGGCAGGGAGAAGACCCATCTCCAGAGCAGCTCGCAATCTACCTATCGTCACCCCAGATCCGCCCTCCGCCCTGGTCCCATCCACCTGCCGCGCCCCCACGGGCATCTCTGTTCGGCTCCTCTTCTAGGCTCAGTGTCCATGCCGGCCCTAAGCGGGCACCCGGTGACCGCTGCCACCTGGTGCCAGCGCAAGCGGCTGGGGGAGGGTGGGGCTGGCCGGGGCGGGGCTCTGGCCAGTAGGAACCAGCAGGGCCGGCTGGAGGCTGCGGTGCCCGCCCGGGCAGCGCCTGCCGAAGGCCCGCTCACCGGCGGCCGCGGCGTCCAGACCCGCGGAGCGCGAGCCCGCGGGCGCGGGGCGGCAGGTGCGGCGGCCGCTCACCTTGGGCAGCTCGCGCAGCTGGTTAGCGTCGAGCAGCAGCTCCTCCAGGCTGCGGCTGTAGCGGTAGATCTCCTCCGGCACAGCCTGCAGCGAGCAGTGCCGCTTGTCCACCGACTCCACGTGCCGGTTGCAGCGCCAGAGCGGGATGCACTTGAGCATGGTGCGGGCGGGAGGCGCGCGCGGGCTCGGGCGGTGCTCGGCGGGCTCGGGCCGGGGGGCGGGGCTCGGCCCGCATGAGCGCCGGGCGCGGGCCGGGCGGTGCGCAGGGGGCGGGCCGCCGGGCCGGGGCGGGCCGCGGCAGTGAGCAGCGCGAGGCCCGGCCCTCACCGCGCGCGTAGACTGCGGCGCCCAGATGGGGGCGCAGCCCGGCGGCGCTCAGATTCTTAGGCGGCGGTTCCGCATTCCGCCCGGTCCACCCAGCTCGTCGCTCGTCCTCCCGCAGTACCGCAGCTGAAACCGCCGCCGCCGGCCGCGACCGCCCGCGACTACCGCCCGGCCGCGCAGCCCGCCGGGAAGCCGAGGCCCGCCCTCACCGCCCAGAACTGCAGCCCCCAGAAGGCCCCGCGGCACGGCACCTCCGAGGACCCGTAGCACCCGCTCGCACAGCCTGCCGGGACGCGGGGTACTGCCCGGGCGCAGGGCACCCTGGGAGCAGCGACGACAGAAACCCCGCCCACCGGAACGGGTCGCCCGGCCCCCCAAGATCGCCGGAGCTACACTCGCTTAATCCCAGCTTTAACGTGTCCGAGCCCGGTTATCTTGGGCACAGACCTCATCCAGTACTACCCGTGTGGATGACGACGGGGAGGGCGGCAAGACAGCTCCCCAAATGCTGAGTACAGCAGGACGCCGGCCCAGCGGCCAATGGGGAGAAGGGACGGGTCCTCCTCCCCAATTCTCCCACACCCTAAGGCTCCTCCCGCCTGCAGCAGTGTTAAGGCTGGAGACTCTCCTGCCAATGTTTCCTTGTCCTGCACCTCTAGAGGGACAGACGGACGGAGACACACAAACACCAAGGCTGGTAGAGGGACCGATGTTGGACACAGCGATGTGGAGGGCCAGCAGCACCTGCACCTTTATGCACACTACAGGTTGGGCTGGGCAGAATGCCTGGTCCCAGGGACACCACTGTTACCACTCTATAAAACCCAGAGGAAACAAGGAACAAGCGCAAGTCCAGGGAACCCGGCCAAGGTCACGCAGAGAGGTCGCTGTTATCAAAACGCTCCTGGTCATATACTTCAGCCACAACCTTGCGGCCAGCAAACCAGCGCCCATTCAGGGCCTGGATGGCCTTGTGAGTCTCTGAGGCCATGGAAAACTCCACAAAGATCTTGACGATGATTTCTGCGTCCTCCTCCTCACCCTGCTTCTCTTGGTATATGATGACACGATTCACAGCACCAAACTTGCCACATTCCTCTGTCACCTCCCCCTCCAGGTCATCATCGATGTCCTTGGGGTCCACCATGTTGCGGAGAACCATCACTGTGGACTGTGGGGAAGGGGACAGCTAAGCACGGTGGCCGACCTGGACCACCCCCCAACTCTACACCCTGAACAGCCCTACCCACATACCTCCTGCTTGCGGAGCAGCTTCTGCATGACCATGTGGCGGGCACTGCTGCCTGAGATGCTCATGTGCTCCTGCTCACTCAGCATCTCTGGCCGCTCAGACTCAGGAAACAGCTCCTCCTCTTCCTTCTCCTTCTTGGGTTCCAGGAGACCCAGTGTCGGGGGGCTGGCTAGGATAGGGTTCACCACTCCCACAGAGGGTATGGTGACCGGAATGGGAGGACGGGCTGGGGTCACACCTGCAGCAAAACCAACCAGGTGCAGCAGTCACTCCCCTCCCCCAAGTCCTTCTTGGGAAGCAGCAGAGCCAGGACTGGCCTGCCCTGGGCTCAAAGGGTTACAATTGACCAAGCATGAGTCATGAAGCAGAGAACAGTGAAGACAGAGAGCCTGGAGGTGAGGGAGCGGGAATGAGAGAGCCCTGACCCACTCACACTTACCTGTGATGACTCCAGGGGCCTGGGCAGCCATGACAGCCTGAGGCAATGCCCCTAAGGGCTGGGCCAGGGTCAGTGCTGGGGAAACCAGTCCAGGTGTGGCCAAGGTACCTAGCACCGCTGCTCCAGCCACTGCTTCCTACAACCCAAAAGGCCACCACGATCAGTCTCCAGTCTGACTACCTCCACCCAAAGCCACCCTGAGAGCCAGTCCCCAGAAGATGAGCAGGCCTGTCCACCCACTGTCAAACCCACACAACTGCATCAGCCCTCACCTGAGCTGTAATCTTGGCTGTGGCTGCGGCTGCGGCCACAGCGGCCGCAGGCGGGAGGCCTCCAGGTGTGGCAGGCGTCAGCAGGGGCATGGGGGGGGTGACGGCCTTGCCCACCCGCAAGTACTGGCCCCCCAGGTCAAAGAGGTTCATGGAGGACACCGCATCCTGGGACGACTGGGCCTTCTCGTACTCTGCAGGGCGGGAGCAGCAATGAGGGGCAGCCCCAGCACCAGGCCGGCCCGCCCTTCCTCAGCCCCAGCTCACCGATGAAGCCGTAGCCCTTGTGCTTGCCAGTTGTGGGATCCCGAGCCAGTGTGCAAGATTTGATTTTGCCAAAAGCCTCAAAAACACTCTTGATGTCGTCGTCCGATAGGTCCTGGTGCACAGAAGCCACATAGATGCGGTTGAAGGCTCGAGCCTCCTCAGCCAGCTGGTCTATAATGGGCTGGGCCTGCCCTATGTTGCTGGGCCGGCCCACCTAGGGAAGAGGCAGGAGACAAACGTACCATCAGCCCAGGTCATCGCTAAGGCTTCTGCGGGAGGCTCCACAGAGCACTCCACAGTCTCAGCTCAAGGCCTGCGACCGGACTTCCTCACCGTCGCCCTCACCTTGATGTTCCTGCCTCCCAGCATCACTGAGTTCATTTGCTCCAACGCCAGCTGGGCAGCTTCTGGGACCTCGTACTCCACGAAGGCAAAGCCCTAGACACAGGGAAGCGTGCCAGCGTCAGAAAGGCTGAAGAGGAGGACGGGCCTAGGGCACCTGAGGACCAGCAGCCTGCTCACCTTGTGCTTCATGGTGACAGAGTCCCAGGACATGTCAATGCTCTTGATGGGGCCAAAGGGAGCAAAGGCCTGGCGGATGGTGTCCTCCCCCAGCTCGTAGTAGATGGAGCCCACGTAGACCCGGCACATGATGGCCAGCGCCCGCTGCCGCTGAGCGGCCATCTGCAGCAGGACAGAAGGAGAGAGCCACTGGCTTGTCAGGAGGGCAGGTGGCTCAGCAGCCCTCTCCCCTCCTGGCCCACCCACCCAGCTCTGCTGTGGGGAGGGCTCCCCACGCAGCAGCAAGGTGCAGGCTCGGCCCCTGCAGTCAGGGCATGGGGGTCAACAGGACCCCACCCCGAGGAAGGAAGGCCAGGCCCAACAGCAGGACACAGACGCACCCCAGCCCGCCCAGGTCCCAGGCAGACTGGCAACGAAGCTGACAAGTGGTCAGGAGGCAGGACTAAATGCCCTACCACCCAGCCCACCCCTCCAGTTTGGGGGCCAGGTAGCCTGGGCTGGGCTGGGAGATCCTCCCACCATCCCAGCCAAGTTCTGTGACAGAAGAGGGAGGAGCTGTCCAAACCAGAGGGACCCACTGGTGTGGAGGCCAGAAGAGAGGGTAGGGTGGCAGAAGACAGGGCAGCCACTGCCCGGAAGAGACCCCAGGGGAGGAGTTCAGGAGCCCAGATGGGTTCCCTGGAGAGAACAAGGAGCAGTTGCTCATGCGGGGCTGACTTGACAAGGGCTCAGTGCTCTATACTCTCCTGTCCTAATAACCCCCGCTAAAAAGAGCTGCCTAGAGCCCATGCCAGCAGTGACAAGAGCTGGCCCCCAGGAGCTTATGAGGCAGCAGAGAACCCAATGGAGAAGCCTCAGGGTTCCTTGGGGGTGGGGTACTGATGGGCCTGGCAGGCCCAAGGCCTTGGTTGTGAGCAGGGCTACTTTAAGGTGGGACCTCCCCATTCCCTCAGAGACAGGCTCCCTCCCTCACAGAAGATGTGCCAGGCACGGGGTTCTAAAGCCACATGTTATAGGTTGCCAGGGCCCTACCCCTTTACACCAACAAGGGCTCCTCTCACCCTAACAAAGGTCCCAGGGGCCAAAGACCAGTTTAGTTCTTCTGACATTAGCAGGCCTAGTATAGGCCCAGCCCCACTGCAAAGTGGAGCCTAAAAGTAAGGTCTCTATCTCCCCAGCACAGGACTCCCCAAGGTGGGGCCTACCTTCCCTCAAACTAAGAACTCCCTGAAAACAGGACTGTTGCCTCTTCAAACTCCACTCCCAACAAGAGGACCCCTGAAGATAGAGCCATGTCCCCTTCTCATAGTGGACTTCCCAGACGTGACATTACATCTGTCCCTTATGTCAAAGAGAGCCATGTCTCTTCTTCTGGGCAAGGTTACCCAACTATAGGTGGACAAACAGCTCTCTTCCTGACCACATCTCCCACAGCCCAGGTCTCCTCCAAGGATTGATGGTTTCTTTTCGGACAGATGCTTCCCAGAGAGGACACCGAGTGTCTCCCTCATGAGAGCAACTCATCCAGGGATGTCCCCTTGAAGTAAAGGCCCCCAGAGAAAGGGGCCACATCTCCCCCTCAGGACCTCCCCATGACAGTGCCTGGCCTCCTCAGCCTGCCTCTGGGCAAGGGAGGGGCATCTCCTTCCCAGACTGCTCTGCTCACTATGACTATGGTCACATGACCTCTACCGTTTGCTGACAGGTCCATGGCTCAAGTCTTTGCCCTTCCCTCTCTTGCTTGCTTGGGTCCCCCCACTCCCCACCCCATCCATCCATCCTCCCTCCAGGGTCTGATGGGGCCACAAGTTATGACCCCTCTCTCCTCCAAGGCCTGACCCCAACCCAAGAGCCCAGGCAGCCTGAAGACTGATGGAGCTGGTGGCCCACAGGTGTGCCCCCTGCGTGGGGCAGCAAGGCGCAGACGAGCCTGGCACTGGCAGCTACCCTCCCTGGCTGGCTGCCGCGGCTGCCCTCCGCAGTTACCTGGCCGGTTAGTTTTAAGGCGGGCCCTCAGAGCAGATGGAGGCCTCCCCAGGGGCGGTCCCGGGGTGGGTGCCCACACCACTGGCCCCGCCATGCCTGGCGCTCTGCTGCGCTGTCCAGAGCTGGCGGGCAGGGCCGGCCAGGGGAGCAAGGTCCCCAGCAGTGGGCTGCACTGCCCCCCTCTAGCCCTGACTAAGGACATGAGCCCCGGAAGAAGTGAGCATTTCTATTGACCGATTGCAAAGGTGAGAGAGGATCTCCAAAGCCCATTGTCACTGCTGCCATCTGAAAGACAGTAAAGACAGAGTTCAGTCTGTTGGAGCCGAGCAGTCTCCCGCTCTCGTCAACACCTCACGCAGACAGCGGCAAGGCCCGGAGTCCCCGCCCTGCCAGGGAGGCCCGCCTGCCTTCCCACACAGCCAGCCACTCTGGCTGGCCGCCAGCACCTGCCCAGGGGGGCCTCAGAGCCCCAGGTGCCCCGCCCCGCAGCCTCTGCAGCAGGGCCAGCGAGGGCAGAAGGAAGGGAGGGAGGAGAGGGATGGACGGAACACAGTGAACAGCCAGGACATCTGGCAGCGTGAATGTGAGGGCTGGGCCTGGGGGAGGGGAGAGGCTCAAGGCCCAGGAACCTGTTGGCCTCACACAGGCCTCTTTCCAGATATAGCAGCCTCTGGCTCATAGTGGGGCCCAATGGAGGCACCCCTAGACTGTCCCCTCAGTGCTGGGTGCCAGCCCAGGTGGTCTGGACTCACGGCAGGGGTGGGGGCCTGACCACAGGGACAGGGAAGAACACACCCTTCTTGCCACCATAGCTGTGCACAGCCTGGGGGACAAGGATGTGGGGGAGACCCAGAGGCAACAGTGGGAAGACCAAGAAGGAAACAGGGGAGAGCTACAGAGAAGGAGCAGGGAAATGGGTGAAAAAGGGCCATAGCGATCAAGAAGTGGGAGAGGCTGGGCCGCATGTGCCTCAGTGAGGACCCTGGGGGTCCCAAGAATGAGTCTTGAGAGTCTGAGAGTCCTAACACCTTCTGGGGGCAGCCGGCCGCAGGCACAGGAGGAGGAAGAGAAGAGGAGGAGATGGTGGAGGTGGTGGGGAGGGGCAGTGGAGGCTTCCCAGCCCAGGTTGGGCAGACAGCCTCGAATGGAGCCAGCCCCGAGGTGGTGGCAGTGGAGTGCAGGAGGATGGAGGGCTCACCTGTAGATTGGTGAGCTGCTGCTGCTGGTGCGCGATGGTCTGCTTCACCAGCACACTCTTGATGCTCTGCTCCATGGCATACTTCTTGGCCTGCAAGAGACAGTGGTGAGGAGCACTGGGAGGCCCGGCCTTGAAGGGAGATGGCCTGCCCCCACAACCCCAGCTGACAAGTCATGCCCACAGGACTCAGGAGGGAGGCTCTCACCTTCTGGAGGGCCTCCTGCTGCTCAGGCGTCAGGGGAGGCAGCCCCAGCTTGGCGCCTGTGCTTTGCCCATTCTCCATCTTGATGGAATCTGTGCCCTGGAGTGGAGAGCAACGGAGTTGTTCAGCAACAAACTCAAGGTCTCCCTCATGTGTTCCCAAAAACCCCACCTATCTGGCTTAAATGTGGGTCTGCTCTTCTGACATTGCTGTTCCCATCCCAGGCTTCTGTCTGCTACAAGACCCATGGACACAGACTAAGGGAGGCAGGCACCTTGGGAACCTTGTGCCAATGTGAGGCAGTTGTGGAGCCCAGGCCATAATGGTCTCCTCAGGAGCCAAGACAGACAGCAAATGATAAGAGTCAGCCCCTTGTTGCCATCAGGATGCCAGAGTCTCCATTCCATGCTTTGTAAGAAAGCCAGCCTCAGCTGGCCCAGCCCCATCCAGACGGGATGCAAGACCAGGACTCTCTGGACATTCTGGGACTCTATACTCCTAAGCTGCATGGCACACCAGCCTCTTGGCTTCCTTGGAGTTCCAGGGGCCATCCACGGTACAAGTACAGACAAAGGGCCTCCCTCCTGACAGCACCCATCCCTAGCCCTGCAGACAGTGCACAGCTCCCACACACATGAGCCATACAGGGGAATCCAGCTTGCTTCCACCAAACTCTTGAATGGACTGTACAGTTCCTGGGAGACAGTACCCTAGCCAGGCGCCTGCAGAACAGGAGGTGTTGGGTAGGGGAGGGCTGGCCACAGAGGCTGCAGACCCAAGAGGATGCTAACAGGATGTTTACATTCCTTCTGTCAAAGCTGTTCCAAGGTTTTTGCAGACTGAAGAACACAGCCATATAAGTGGCGAGAAAAGCCCAAAATCAGAGCCAGCAGAGTATGTGGTTGGAGGGGAGACAGGGGTCACAGGTAACACCAGCTTGCCTAGCTACAGTTCAAAAGACCAACAGCAGCCCTTCTAGGCTTTCAGATGCAGCCTTGAGAGGAATGGCAAGAGGGGTCCCTGGCATAGGAGTGATGAACAAGGACTAAAGTACAAAGCCAGCAGGCAGTGGCCAGCTGACTCAAACCCTAGGAAGCCCTTTCTGGCCACCTGAGTGCTGAGTTTCTAGCCCAGGGTCAAAAGGCAGCAAGCCTACAAGGTCCCTCTCTGAGCAACCAGAGCTGCAGCCTGGTTCATACTATATATGTCCTCTGCCCTCCCTGCTGGCCCCAAGCCCATTCCTTCTTAGTGGGAAAGAGCGCAAGGTTGGGACGCCAGAGCAAATTGTCACCATGGAAATCAATGCCAGTTCCCCTCAGCCCCCTAGAAACTTTTCAATCTCCTCTTTGTCTTGAAGAACAAAAGGCCCTTCTCCCACCAACCAATGGCCAACCAGACAGGCCGGGAGCTTCAGCCCCCACAGCTTCCCAGATCTAGGCTGCATACCACATCCCTATCCCTCCCCCTGCGTGGCTGGGGAGCCAGGAGGACAGCCTAGCCCCAAGAGGTCATCAGGCCACCTTAGTGTAGCCTGCCAGACCTATGGAGGCAGACACTGTCATGGAGTAACACAAAGAATCGATGGCACAGTGACAAGAGAACCCAGCTTCTTGTCCCAGATGACTTGTTCTCTTGGGCAGGTGTCTGGAGTTGGGCACAACCCATCTGCACCCACCCCAGAGCCTGGAGTGAAGAAAAGGTGGAAGGTTGAGTCCCCACCACACCTGTACATTGACTCACATATTGTTTTATTTAAATCAAAGAGTAAAACAAAATTCTCCATTTCAGGCTCTCCACGTAACAGTGCCTGTTCTGGATCAGCATGCCCACCGTTCTGCACAATGCTGATGGCTAAGAATGGGCACAGCTGAGATCCCCAGTGCCCCTGCCTGGCCTGATCACTGTTAGGCTCTGCCTGGGGCCTCTAGCAGGATGGAACAAGGGGTAGGGAGACATTAAGGGGGTGGGCAGGGCTAGGCATGCAGTTCTACAGGCAGTGTCTGCCCAGAAGCTATAGAAGGGCTCCTCCCCACCTGCCCACAGACCCTTCTGGGCCCAGGACTCACAGGCAGGCGGGCAAGCCTGAGGGAGAAGATGTTTAAGGTCAGTACCTGTGGAGGTTTCCATTTGTCTCCCGCTGCCACCACTGCCGCCGCCGCTGCCGGCTCCGACCCCCCTCCTTGCTGGCCATTGACCTGCTGCAAGCAGGAAGGAGATGTTGTAACCAACAGTCACACAACCCCACCACCCAGGCCCTCTTCTCTTCCCAAGTCAAGTGCTGTGCTCCCCATGGTCAAGCAAGGGAGTTCAGGCAGGGTTATAAAAAGGCCCAGCTCCAGCTCGGCCTTCGAATATTCCCAGCATTACTCCCACCTTATATTACTCTCTCAAGTCTACTCACAGCTGCCCTGGGCCCAGACAGAAAGCAGAGCAGCATCTAGGGCAGGCCCAAGTTGGCAGCAGTCCCTGGGAAGGGACAGAGTGGAAAGAGTAAGAAAGCAAACAGTGCTCCAACCCCAGGTCAAGAAAAACCACCCTCTCCTGCTGATAGACTGTACCAGGCTAGATGACAAAGTGATCAGCTGGCTGTGTCCTCTAGCCCCCTCTTGAGAAAACAGGGGTGCCTGCCACCCAGTACCCTGAACACACCTGACCAGCCCTCCACTCACATTCTCCCAATGCTTCCACAGGCTCTGGTCATGCCCAAGCCTCCTTCCCCAGCAGCCAAACTGTCTATGGCTATCTAATTCCAAGGAGGGCAGCTGAGAGCTTCACTCTCTGTATTCAACAGTACCCATACCCAGAGGGCGTACAGAACACCGCTGTGCAAAGCCAGTTCCCAGGAGTAGTGGCTCCTGTCATGGCCCAGTGGGGAGGCAGGGGCAAAGACAGGCCTTAGGTGGAGGTGGACAACATGGGAGTAGGGGAGGACCAGGACATGGTAGAAGGACTCTGAGACCAATCCAGCCTTCTCAGAGGCTGCAACAGGAACAGAGAACAAATGCACTCACACTGCTCCCAGCAACCTTGAGCATCAAAGGACATGAAGGGACAGCTGTGACCACACTAGGAGCTGTACACAAAGCCTGAGGGTGACTGAGTTGGCCAGGGAATGTTCTCAGGTTCTCAGACCTCTGAAGGAGGAATATCAGCACAGGTCAGCATATTGCAGAGATTTAGGCAATGGGCCTGCGAGCTGTGGCCTGGCCTTGCCTAGAGTTGCTCCAAATGCTACCACTGTGAGCGTGCTCTATGGCCGAGCTCAGCCCCACTGCTGCTTAGAAAAAATGGCACACCAGAGAGAGGCAAAGGGATGGAGGCTCCTCTGACACAGCCCACCCATAGAGCACCACAGAAGGTGCTTCTCAACACCCACAGTGAAAGCATGCTTCAGGTACAGTGCGAGACACCTCAGAGCAAGGTGAACCTGGAGTGTGTAACTTCCTGCTCCCCCAAACTACTGTACTAGCCAACACATGAACCAGGACAGAGCTGAGAGCAGAACACAGTTCAGATGAGAAGTTACAGGAAAACTCAAGCCACTGGTGGACACTGCACAGCACATCCAAACCCATTCACCCCCACCAAACCAGTTACTAGGAAAGCCTGGAGAAAACTGTCACTTACTGCCACAACAGGTCATATGCTGTCACCCTCTGGCAGTGAAAATGGCAAGCTTTGTAGTCAAAATGCTCCCTAGCATCAGAGAGAGGTACCTCAAGGGATGGGAAGTCCTCTCTGAGGGGCAGTGCTGCTAAGGTACTCTGGGGTGCAAATGCCAGCTCTGTCCCTCAACAGCCCAGAACAAAAAGGATTATTTCCATTAGAAGACAAAAAAGTTAAGTAATTTGGTAAGCAAAAAACCTAAGCTATTAGGCCATAGGCTTCTTAGTCGTAAATGGGGGGGGGGGGAATGACCTGTCTCTAAGAAAGGTGCAAAACATGCACTGGATCAAGTACCTTAGGGAGTCAGTCCCTGCTCGTGGAAAGTAGCCACAGGTGGTAGAATTATTAACAGCGGCATCAGACCCCAAGCAAGGCTGACTGCGGAAAGCTGTATCCCATCTGGTCAGGCCCTCTGACACGGTGTGGTGCTGCTTAATGCATAGCCAGGCTCTGTGCTGAGCACTGTAGATGCAGCAAAAACAAAGCAGACAGACAACTCTCTTGGGAATCTCACCATCGACTGCTGGCAGACAAAGAATGTTCCAACTGTCACCTAAGATGGTCTCTGCAGTTTGCAAGCACTATGACGAAATAAAGCACAGGACAAGAGAATGACTGAAGCACACCACACTGTGGCAGCCAGGGAGGACCTCTTCATGAGGTGATATGAATGGGGCCTTCAGGAGAGAAGGAAGAGGAGCTCAAGGATAAGGGCCACAAGCGCGAGCAGCTGGGCAGTCAGAGAAGCGAAGCAGTGCACCAGAGATCATGAAGACTGAACCTCTGCTGTCAAGGGGCTGTTGAGCTATTTCTGCAGCCACCCAGCAAGAGAAACAGAGAGAAATCATTCCTTCACCTTCCTGAATGGTTCTCCACCAGACCTGTGTCAGCCAGATTCAGCCACTCCATTCGCCCTTCCACAAGAGCTGAAGCACCATGGCATGGGGAACAGGCTCTTGTTATGCCCACCAGGACAGTGGGGACCTGAAAGCCCTTCTAAAGACCTGTCCACTCAAAAGATTGGGGTTAGGATGCAGCTCAGTGGTAAGGCATGTTCAGTGTGTAACAGGCTCTGGGTTCATCCTCAGCACTGCCAAAAAAGAAAAAGCAATGTGTCAGGCCTCTCCGAGCCAGCGGCAACAGGCCTGGGCCTTGGCTGTCAAAGAGCAGGTACTAACCTTGACAAGATTGGGATGCAACAAATACCCCATGAAAAACTCCTGCTTCCCCGGTCAGACTTACTGTCCATATTCATCTCACCCATGACACCACCTCTCTGGCATCATGCCACAACAGAGCTGCGCTCACCCCTCAGTCTGCATGACCATCAAGAGTTGCTCAGTGGGTCATCAAGAAATGAGGCATCTACTACCTTACTACACCTTCCCAAATGTCTGGTCCTTCTCTCTGAGCTTCCATCTCATCAATTCTGACTGCCGCCTGGAGGGTCATCAGGTCCTCAACTTTCTGGCTTTCTCCTCACAATGGTCATTTCCTCCTCTGGCTTCAAGAAGCAGCAAGGGGTAGAGAAGTGGCTCAAGTGGTAGAATGCCTGACTAGCAAAAATAAAGCCCTCAGTTCAAACCCCAGTTTCACTTTAAAAAACAAAACAAAAAACAGCAGCAGTAGAAAAAGTTTGCCATGATGTGAGGGCTACACACTGGCCTTGTCCCTCACAATCTGGAGCATCTTGTGCAAGTGACCCCCATTGTTTCTGCCTTAGTGGGGCAGGGTGCAGCTCCCAGCTCAAGTCCTGGCAATGGCAGCCCACGTGCACTCCCTGACCAACTGCCCAAATCTTCTTAGACAGACTTTATCCCATTCCTGTGGGCGCCGGCTCAGGGAGGGTGGCAGGTAAAGGGATGAATGCAGCAGGGAAAGGTCCAGGAGGGAAGCTGATCCCTAAATTAAGTGGGGAGAAGACCAGCGGGGATTATGCACAGGCGTGCCGCCTGTCCGGGGAGGTGGGTGAGGAGCACAGCAGGGAGAGGCTCCCTCTTCCAGGTGCTCACACTATCTCGAGCACCACACCTCGGCTCCCGGCACAAGGCACAGGGGTAGGAAGCCTATGGTGCTCACCAGACCCCCGACCACGGCAGAGACTGCCTCCATCTGGTTCCCCCCCGTGCCTCAAGGCCCTCCCAGAGCTTGCAGCAGAGCAACTGCTCAAAAGACATGTGAGAAAAGAGGACGTCCTTCCCGTCCTGAGTGGAGTAACAGGAGGGAGTAACTGCTTTCCTGCAAAGCACTAGCGGAGAGCGGATCACAACCGTGGGCACGAGGAATGAAAGCCACCGGGCCCTCACTGCGTGAGGCAAGGCCCGCCCCTTCCGCAACCCCAACCCGAAGCCCACTCCGGCAGGCAGTGGAGCAAACGCCATCACTCCCAGGACGCGGCCTGCCGCCGGGACCGCCCCGCCGGGAATACAGCTCCGCCACGGCGGACCAACCCACCCCACCCGGCCGCCGGAAGCTGGAGTCCGCGAGCCGGAAGCTGTGGCTGCGGGCCCGCTGCCCGCGAGCCCCCGCCCCGCCCCCGCCCCGCACGCCCAAGGCTGCGGGAGAGACCGCACGGAGCCTGGGAAGACCGCCGCGCCCCCAAAGAGCTTCCGCGCCCTGGTCTGGCCGACGACCCGCTCCCGTCAGCAAAGGGCTGCCTGCGACCGTGGCGGGGGAGGGGGGGTCACTTACGAGAGCTATGGTCGCCGTCGCCATCTTGCGTCCGTCGCGGCCGCCGCGCGCGCCACACGCTCCTACTTCCTTTGCAGTCTCGCGCGATCTGGGTGCCGGCCGAGGAACTCTCGCGATAAAAGGCCTTTCGCCAGCGACGTGGAAGGATAGAGGAACGCGCTTCCGGGGCGGGGAGAAGCAGTTAACGCCCCCGGCAGCGGCTCGGCCGGATCGGGGCGTGGCCAATGTGGGAGGGCGGGGCCAAAGGCGGCTCAGGCGCGCGGAGCAAGTCTAGCGAGGCTACCTGCGTCCCTGGGGGCGCACGCTTGCGTCATCTCCCGCTGTGCTATGGCCACCGCTCCATCTCTCTGCCTGCCTTGCAGGTACACTTATCCCAGGCATGTGCACTCGCTGGAGGCAGCGATTAGGAGGCAGGGAGAAGGGAAGCGGATCCCTCCTGGCTGAGGGAGTCTGCGCAGACAGGCGACAAAAGGACTGATGTATCGTTTTGCCTCGTTAACATCTCTGACGTCGCGAGTCCTCATTTAACCGGCAGTATGTTCTCCTGTCTACTAATTCGCAAAACACTACTGTCTGTACTGAACATACAGTCCGGTGGACCGGCAGCCCTGGAGACGGCTTGTGAGCCATTCCCCTGGGAATAGCGTGCATTAGGTCACCTAAGCTCTGCTGTGTTTAAAGGCTCCGGGTGTTCATCCGTGCTGTGAAGGAGCTGCCCTGGCATCGGCCACAGGCTGCACCCAACATGTGAAAGGGACCACGATGTGTAAACTCAGGCATCTTCAGCTGCCTGAGACCACAGTGTCTTCCCTCGATGGGGAGTCTCCTTTCAACTCTGAAAAAGTACCGAATTGAATATAGACACCTGTAGTAAAATATGGCAGATATCTCCCTTCTGAAGTCCTCTAATATGACAGGAAAGGAGCTTACAAAGGCAAAGCCTGCGTGCAGAGAAATGGAATGTTGCAGAGCTGGGGAGGGTGGACAGCAGAGCTGCTTCAGCCAGCTGGGCTGTAGAGGCTCTGTCTGAGGGATTTGCATGGAAGCAAAGATGAACAAAGTAGGAGACCGTAGACCTCTATCCCACAGCTGGTGCCAACAGGCACTGTCCTGCTGACTATGGCTGGGAGTGAGCTCTGCGAGAGGAGCACTGAGGTCTGGCTTCCCACATGTGCCCCCAACCTCCTCTTAGAGGTCTCCTCTCTGCAGCAACTCCCAGCTCAGAAGAAAAGACTGGCAGCTGGGGGAGGAGGGGTGTCTAGTAGAAGAGCCCAGCCAGACCTCTGACCTCCAAGCTCACCAGTGAAAAGCCCTAGCCATGACTTCTATCTCTGTCTTAACCAGAACTGGACAGCCCAGAATCACCAGGCATAGGAGAGTAAGAAAATGAGACTCAGAAGGAACTATGGAGTCAGGCACAGTGGCTCATACCTTTATCCCAACTACTTGGGAGGCAGAGAGGCATGACTGCAGTCTGAGGCCATCTCAGGCAAAAGACACAAGACCCTATCTGGAAAATAACTAAAGCAAAAGGGCTAGAGGCATGACTCAAGTGGTAGAGTATTTGCCTAGCAAGTGCAAGGCCCTAAGTTCAAAACTCCAGTACTTTCAAACAAACAAACAAAAGCCACAAGGCAATAATGGAAGCCAAGGAAGGAAAAAAAAAAAAAAAAAGAAAAGGACTGAGCAACACACTTGGCTATGTCAGAGATGTTGTATCCAAAATACAAGAACAGGGAGCTGTAGAGAAAGAATAATCATCAAATGAGTTTTTTCAAATGAAAAATCTGAGAGGAAAATGAGCAATTAAATAGGCTTGACAGATAAAGTTGAAACCTTCCAGAATGCATAACAATAGCTAGAACACCAGTCAATACTCTCCAGTTTAGAACCAACCTGGCCCACCACAGCCTCTGCAGTGGAGGGGCCTGTGAGGGGGTGGGCAGGATGGGTCTCACCACCACACCACCAGCAGGGGGAGCCCCAAGCACCACCCTCTGGTGACAGCTATGTTGATAAAGACCTGGGTCTCTGCAGTGCCAAGCGCTGCCCTTACTCCTCACACCAAGCTCACACCACCCTTTACAGAAACCCTCTGCAGAGGGTTCTACCTCACTGCACCAGAAGAGGAGGTGTAGGCACAACTAATGTCACTCTTCTGGGAGCAGCAGATCAACTCTGGAGCCTGGGCTCTGACCCCCATGATGACACTTCTCAAAAGACAAATCCAACAGCTCAAGGAATTGTTCAGAAAACAAAGAAGGGAGATAAATCAGTAAAGAAACAATTTAAGAAAATTTCCATTTCTGGACAAGGGATGAAAGAGCACTGAGAATTTCCAACCCTCTATGAGATTAAGAAAAGAGCTCACAGAAAGGGTTAGAATTCAGAAACATGACAGTTTTTGGAAGTAGCAGGACATGACATAACATCCTCAAAATCCTGATGAGAAATGGTTATCAACTGAGCCAGACTTCTTGTACCTAGTTACACTTTCAAGATATGAGGTTAAAATAAAGACCAACAGGCTTGTAGGATGTTCCTCCTCAAGGGGGGCGAGTGGAAGAAGAGGAATACATGACATCTGGTTACAACAGAAAGGGAGGACGCTGGTGAAGGGTGAAGCAGGATTACAGCTGGGCACAGTATAAGAACAAGCAGCCCAGGCACAAGGCTCATAGGTGAGGCTCTAGGAAAACAAGAAACTGCTTAATGAAGAGAGGAGAGCCACACTTCTGCACGGGAATCTAGAGATGAATTAATGGCAGACATACAGGAAGCAAAGCAAAAAAAAAATTTATTATTAACTCCAGGGAAAACAAAAAGTTGTGCAAGAAAGAGAATACAGCCTAGGACAACTTGTCCTCTGTTGGGCCTATGGTAATGAAGCTGTCATAATACCCAGACAACTATGATGCCCATCACACTGAGATGATGTCGGGTTGGGGGGAGGCATATGAAACCACTCTCCCAGAGGATGCCACCTGGGTATACCTACTGTAGCAAACCCAATAAACAGAACTAAAAGCATGCATGTGGTTTAAATAAATGTAGATTCTAAATGCCTGAAGAACACAACTAAGAGAATTGAATTTGGGGAAGATCAGGATAGGAGATTGCCTTTAACTATTGCCCTCCCCCAAACTATCCCACTTTTAAAACACCTACCTCTGCAAAGATAAAACTTAAAATGGAAAACTCAAGCATGATTAAGTGCACCAACAGTAGCATTGATACTTTCAAGTTCAGTTTAATCACTGGCACAATCTGTTATGCACTTGTCACTCAAACTTGGTTAAGACCATGCACAATCAGCTTAGGGCAGGGTTGCCCCCCTAGAATGTGAAAGTTATTTGAGACCTGCAATGTCAAATTGAAAAGTATGAGAATCTGAAAAATTTTGTAAATAGTATTGGAATATTTAAGATAACTTGAGATTCACTATATTGTTCATTTAACTTCTTTGATATGCCCTGGCAAATTTGTTTTGTTTTGGTTTTTGGCTTTTGGTAAAGTTGGTGTGGTAGGCAGAATGCCCTCCTCCCTCCACCCCACACACACTCTCGTCTATTCCCTAACCACTGGAACCAGTGAATGTTAGTGTACATGGCAAAAGATACTTTGCAGACGTGGTTAATCTTACAGACCTTGAGAGGAACAATTATCCAGGTTTGTCTGGGTGGGCTAACCTCATCACAGGAGTCCTCATGGAGAACCTTCCCAGCTGTAGAGAACCAGACAGTTGGTTCATGATGAAGGGTTAACTTTCTACTGCTGGCCTTAAAGGTGGAGGGAAAGCTAAGGAAGAGGGGGTGGCCTCTAGAAACTGAGAATGGCCCTTAGTTGACAGCTGCTAAAAAAAATGGGGACATTGGCGCTACCACTGCAAGGAAGTGAATTCTGCCAACAGCCTGAAGGAGCAGGAAATAGATTCTCCCCAGAACCTCCAAAAAGGAATGTAGCCTGCTAACACCTTCATTTCAGTCCAGTGAGATCCTGAATCAAACTTCTGACCTACAGAATTATAATAAATGTGTGTTGTCTTGCGTCACTAAGGTTGCAATGTTACAGCAGTAATATAGAATACAGCAATGAGCCTTCGTGGTTTGACATTTGAAATGCTTAAAAAGAAACTTGAATGCATTAAATTTTTACATACAATTTAAAAATGTTTAAGACTATATGACTAAATTTGAAATTGGAAAAGAGGCAGTCCAACAACCAAGAGGTCAGGGATATGGTGGGGGTCAGAATCCATAGGGGTATTGAAACCTCTAAAATTGAGGCAGGATGTAAGTGGGAGACAGACAGGAGCCCACATCTGCACAGGGACACAGTTGCCCCTGAGAGGAGGTGTGGAGGATTCCTGACCTCTGACCTCTGATGCTACCAGGGAATGCAGAAGAGAAACATCCTGTTGAAGGTGCATGGGAGTGGGGGGTGGGGGCCACAGATCCTGGTCTCAAGTGCACGGAAGGTCAGAGAGAGGGCTCAGAGCTGGTCTGCATGGGACCAAGGGATTTGCTGGTCATGACCTCAACTCCAGGCTATGTACCCTGTTTCTCCTGCCAGCTTGCCCTGCTGGGTGCCCAGTGCTGTATCTGGCACCTGTAGGCTCCATCACAGCTTGAGATCCAGGTTCCTTGCCTGGATCTGCCGCAGTGTGTGGATGCTCTCCCCCACCAGATGGAGCAGCTTCCCTGGTAGAGGTCTGTCCAAGGTCTGACCCCCACCCTCCACCCATACCCAGATGCCCTCAGCCCCAGATAGGCTCCCCCGCCACCCCAGGGCCCCACACTGCTAGAGGAAGTGAGGAGTCCTCACTAGCAGCCCCATGTTCATCGAATGCCAGAAAAGCAAGTAGAGGGCAGCTTTCAGTGGGGCCAGGCTCTTCCCCACGTGGACTGCCCTGAGCCTCCAGGGCTGGATGGGTCAGGCCTGGGTCCCACGGTACTTGAGGAAGGTGGTCTCCAGGAAGGCGGCCAGCTTCATCCGGTCATCCTGCAATGGGGTAGAAAGGCATGGGGAGACGAAGAGGCCAGGCCCACCCTGTCCCCTCCCAGACTGGCTGCACATACTGCCCACCTCATGCAGGAAGCCATAGTGCACCAGCTCTGCGGCGAGGTCCTGGGCACTGTCAGCTGCACCAAGGATGTGGGGTGATGCATGAGGCTATGGCACCACCTGCTGCCAAGGCCCCAGACTGCCACCCGGATCCCCAACCAGCCTACTTGGGAGCAGGTCGTAGGTCAGCTGCCGATGCAGCCTGTCCTCCAGCACCAAAAGCAGCGTAAGCTAGAGCCAGGAGAGTGTGGTTGGGAAGGCACGTGGAAGAGGCCCCACTCTGACTTCACCAACCCCACTCAGGGCCCTGCTCACATGCCAGCGGGCCTTGTCCTCACTTCTTTCCAGGTTGCACTGCATCTGGACCACCTGGGGACAGGGAGGTGATGTCACCCACAAGGGATGGAACTCAGCAAAGAAGCCCCGAAGGAACAGCAGAGATTGGAAGGGAAACAGCTCCAAGGGGGACCCAGAGAACACATCTCACTGCTAGGGGCTTGGTGCCTTAGGGAAAACTTCCTGGAGCAGGCATTGGGCCTGGGTGCAGAAGCATGAATAAGAGCTTTCACTTGTGGAAAGAACACCTTGAAATGGGGGGGATCCATGGGAAGCAGGAGAAAAAGGTTAGCCGGGATGTGGCAGTGCAGAAGTGCAGGACACTAGGTCAACTGCAGGACCAGGCCTCAAGAGCCTGGAGCTAGGGCTGAAAACTCCCACAAGCTCTCTCTCTGGAAAGCCAGAAGCCAGGATGCTTTGACTGTTTTGCTATGAACTCAGGATGCATTGTAGAAGGAAGGAAACCAGGAGGAAGGAGGCCAGGCTGGAACAGGTGCAGCAACCAGGTGAGGAATGGAGGTAGCTTGGATCAGGGCTATGGCTACGGGACATAACCAAGGTCAGAGCCTCTGAGCCCAGTGGGTGTGGACATGACCAGGATGAGGAGGGGGCAAGTCTGACCAGGAGGCATCCTTGCAGGAGAAAGGTTTAGGGAAATGTGGGTTCTGAGGGCCTTGGGGAAAACCCCAGGACAAGTAGTAGGAATTAGCAAGCCAAGGGGGTAGAATCTGAGAGCTGGGTGGATAAGATTCCCAGAGGAAGGCTGTTTGGACCAAAGAGGGATCAGGATTGGCAGCAGAGTAGGGAAAGTTTTGCAGGAGCAAGGAATCCTTGTCCCAGGAAGAGGGGTATCTCAGTTTGATCTACAGCCCCAAGCTTCCATAAAGAGGTCATTGTAAATCTGGTCTCTGGCAGCCTGGAGGAGAGCTGGGATTGGAAGAGGCAGATTCCCAGAGAAAAGTACCTGCTATTGGGGTATGAACATGTCTGAGAGTCAGGACAGTACAGCAGGAGTAGGGACTCACCTTCCTGGTTTCTGAGTCAAAGGGTTCTGGCGTTGGGGTCTTTGCCTTCTGGGCCTCCTCGGGGGGTGGAGCCAACACACGAGGCAGCCCCAGGGGCCGAGCAGCCGCAAAATTCATCAATGGGTAGATCCCATTCCTGGGGACACACCAGGGGACGGGTGGGGGGTCAGGCCTGACAGAGCCCATTCCCAACCTCACTCTAGCACTCACCTGACATCCTCTAGGAATTTGTCCAGCTCCAAGAAGGAGACTTCTGAGTACCTGGCATGGGGTGGGAGGCAGATTGAGGGGTGGCTCATTGGGGACCAGATAGGAAGCTAAGAGGAGAGGTCTCTGGGTACCCACTGCTCACCGCCACTGCATCGGGGGCCCATGGGGCTGGGGCATCTCTGCCAAGACTGCATGCAGGTCCATCGCCTTGGTCTTTTCCTCCACCACATTTTCAGGCATGAGGTCTGTGGGCCACAGGAGTGCTCAGGGCAGTGGGACTGAACTGCACGTCCTGCAGCACGTCCCCACCCAAAGCACCTGGCCCACCCTGGCCTGCCTGCCCCTCACACTGGTGCTGGATGAAGCAGTGGGCTGCCAGCAGCTTCAGCGAGTGCACCTCGAAGAGCACGCGGTGGAAGAGGAGGTTGTGGGCAGAGGGCCTGCGGGCTGGGTCCCGGGCCAGGCAGGAGAGGATGAACTCCTGGGGTGTGGAGAGAAGAGGCAGGTGGTGGGTTGGTGGAGGCTCTCTGCTCTAGCCCCACCGTGGGAGGAGAGGAGGTGCCTTGAAGCCCCTAGACTCCAGAGGTTCAATCCCCACACTCTTCCTCTTCAGGGATGCAGAGAAACTTCCTCAGAAATGCACAGAGGGGAAGACATCCCATCAGCAGCCAGGTCAGAACCTGACGCCATGAACTGGAGAGCAGCCAGGCTCTGGGCTTCGAACACTCACGCATTATTTCCCTTGATCCCCATGGAAAGCATGAGCCCCCAGCGGGGTATTCCTTTCAGGAGGCCTTGGTGCAGTGGCTGGTACACCCTCCACTGCACTAATGGTAATTCACTGGCTTGTCTAGAGCATCTCTATGGCCACCTTGGGTACAGTCCCATGGCAAGCTGCTCACCCTCATGTTGGGGTCAGTCAGTGAGTGCCTGGCTCGAGCAATAGCCTCTTCTGTGACCCGAGTATCTCCATTGGCCTGGATCTCCAGTACAGCCATCTGAGGTGCAGGGCCAGGTTGGATATAGGGAGGGGACAAGGCAGATGAGAAAGGGTAGAGCCCATCTAGGAAGGGGCTAACAGGAGTGTGCCCAGTACCTCCAGCGCACACATCCCAAAGGAGAAGATGTCCACGGCAGTCCCATCATTGACCTCTGAAAGGGGGAGAACAAGGCAGGATGGGTAGGACAGATGGACCAGCAGGGTGCCGCAAGCCACTCAGGAACTCACCGCCATACTCTGGTGGGAAGAAGTGCAGGTTCCGCAGTTCCTCACGCTCAGCGCGTATGGGGCTCCGGAGATCATCAGGGAGTGCTAAGGTGGAACAGCAGACTGAGTAGACCGGCCTTTCCAAGGCCCCCACCTCCCCTCCAGAAGCCACACGCACCATTGGAGAAAATGCGGTACCACACTGCGCAGTCCATGGAGGAAAGAGTGAGCATTAGTGCGCCTCTGCTCCCAGCAGATTTCCCAGACCCGCCCCCGCCCCCGGCCCCGCCCCACCCCGCCAGCACCAGAGCCGATCTTGATGAGGCCGTTGTGCTGAATGAAGATGGTGTCGCTGGTCAGATTCCCGTGGATGATAGGGGGGCTGCAGGCGTGCAGGAAACTGCAGACGTGGGGGAAGGGAGGGCAGGAGGAGCCGGGTCAGAGGGCGTGGGAGAGGTGGGGCGCAGCGGGGCGAGCGCACGGACTAGCCCAGGCCCTCACCTGAGCGCGGACAGGATCTGCGTGCACCAGCGCTTCCAGGCCTGGCGGCGGACGCATGACTCCGTCGGGTGGGCGCGGAGAGGCGGCTGGGCCTGTGAAGCCCGCCCGCCTCCCAGCCCCTGTCCCGAGGCTGCCCTGAGAACCTCCGCCCGTCCCATCCCTGTGCGTAGGGCTCCCGGAACCCCTCCTGTCCCCAGCCCACTCCCCATACCCGGGCGTTCATGGCTTTGTGGTTCTTTTTGGTCTTTTTGAGGAACTGCTTGAGGCTGCCCGACGACACGTATTCTGTGATGAAGATGACCTGCGAGGCGGGCGGGCGGGCTCGGGGGCTCCGCCATTGCGGGTGGGTTCCCACTGCTGCCCGCCCGGCCTGTGGCTTCACCCCGCCCTACACCGCGCCTCTGGCTCACCCTTGCGCGGGCCTCAGAGGCATCCAGCCAGTACTTGTGCAGCTTGACGATGTTGGGGTGGTCCACCAGCGCCAGCTGCTCAAACATGGTCTGGATCTTCTCCTGGGGAGGGGGGACGGTCACAGGCGGTCACAGGATGGGACTAGTGGGGACAGGGGACGGACCTCACCTCATGGGCCGCGAAGGCCTTCCTGTCTCCGAAGTGGAGCTCGTTCCACACCACTTCTACCCCCTCCTCGGTATCCATGGCCAGAAAGGTGCTCTGGATCCCTGGCATATTCCCCTGGTTCACCTGGGGAAGGGGGGGTGTGCCCTGGTATGTGTAGGGGCGAGGGTGAGGACTTGATCCCAGCCCACACCCTTCCTGCGGGGCCAGGCGTGCGCCGCAGGCCTGAACCCGCTCTGTGGGAAAGCTGGGGGCCTGGCCCCCAGGAGCAGAGGGGTGGTATCCTGGGACTGGCCAAGGTTTCAGGGTTCGAGGTGATCCCCAAGGGGCTAGCGGCAGATCTCAGAGAAATGCGTAGGTGGTCCCAGGAACAGACTGGTCCTTAGGGAATGGGGGTTTCTTACCAAGGCATAGGTGCAGGGCCAAAGGGGTCCAAGAGTCGGCCAAGACGTGGGCTTCCAGAAAGAGGACACCAGGCTTCCCCAGAGCCCCCACGGCCCCGCGTGGCCTCCCGCCTTTAGGCTCCCGGGGGGGCGGCGACACCGCGACCCGCGCCCACCTGCTCCCTCCGCTTTTGCCAGCGGCCGCACGGGCTCTCCTCCAGGATGTCGCTCTCGTCTTCGCTCTCGTCCTCCCGCTCCCGCTCCCGGCCCCGCCTCGGCGTCGGCTCCGGGGCCGCCATGGCTCGGCGGGCCCAGGCCGCCGCCCTCCCCGCGATCCGCCGCCCGGCGCCGCCCGGCTCCCGACCGCCCTGGCCCCGCGCCCGGCCGCCCAGCCCAGAGCCCAGCGGAGCCGCCGCCTCCAGCGCCTACTCGGCTCCGGGAATTGGGAGGTGCGGGAGCGCGGCGGGCCGGCTGCGGGCCCGGGGGTGGAGCTGGCCCGCCCCTCCGGAGCCGCCTCTGCGGGCGGGAGTGGCGGTGCAGCTCCCCAGAGAGCGGCCTAGCCCCGCCCCCTCGCCCAGGCCCCGCCCCGGCACAGGGCCCCGCCCCCGACGAGCCCCGCCCACTCCCGCAGAGGCCCCGCCCCTCGGGGCGACTGGATCCCAGGGACCCGCCCGAGCTCCCCTAGTCTGCAGCCACTTTCAGAGCCCTGAGCCAGCCTGCGCGGAGTGCTTCTGCACCTCCCTGGGCTCACGGTGCTCACCTCTCCGCGGCCCAGACGGGAGGCTCTGGGACCCGCCGGTTCTTCCTGCACCACCTTCCCACCACACTCCTGCCACACATCCCGTAGCCCGGCCTGGGGTGGGCCCGCTGTAGAAACGGCTTTGCTCTCTGTTGGCCCCCCGAGGGTCTGGGGTAGGGGTGGGGGCCGGGGTCAGGGCATCTAGGGGCCATTCCAGCTGCAGGAGGCCCCAAGTGGGGCCAGCTTTCCCCGCCAGTACCCAAGGAAACAGGGAGCCGTGGTGAGAGGGCCACTGAAGGTGGCAGATAAACACAGCAGGCTGCCAGAGTGGGCTTTAATTCATGACTACAAATCTCTCACTGGCCCAGAATTCTGTGCTTCCCTTTCAGAGTGGAAGCTCACCTTCCCACCTTCCAGGATGTCAATTTTCTATCTTTTCTCTCCAAGCATACCCCTCTTCTCCCCACTGTGGGGTCCCTGCCAGCAGTGGAACAAACAGGAGGGAGCTCCCTTCATGTGCAGTCCCCCTCACCACACCCTGCAGGGTTCTCACCTAAAATCCCTCTGGACTGCACCCCTGCCCACAGCCCCTCCATCTCACACCTGTCTGGTCCTTCCTCACCTTCACCTCTGCTCTCCAAAGACCCTCAAACTTCAACCCCACAGAACCATAGTGGTTCTGTGGAGTGCTCTCCACTTCCACCCTGCATAGGGGCTCTACTCAGAACCCACTGACCTTGCAAGGTCACTCATCCTAGGTTAGGAGGGTTTAAACCCTGCACCTTCCAGAGACTGGTGCTTGGGGGACAATCTCCAAGACCCTAACATATCCTGTGTGATTTGTGTTTTACTGGAGCCTGGGTCACACCAGATGATCTATGCTACCAATGTGGTGAGTGGGGGGGGGGCATTGGGCCATGCAGTGACAGCTTGACCTCTGGAAGGGCTGGAGCCTGAGGTCTGCCACTCAGGTGATCAACTGACCTATGTGACAGAACCCAAAAAAACCCATGACACCAAAGCTGGCAGCACTCAAATGCAAGGTTGTGCCCTCCACCTGGAATACCTTCTCACTGTCCTACGGGTCCATTTCCTTTGGGTTTTGACTTACATGTCACCTCTCAGACAGGCCTGCCCTGGTCACCCATCTTAGCCTCACAGCCTCCCCCACCCCCCAGCCTCATTTGTCTTTTTCTGTGGCATTTACCACCTGATCTGCCTGTGTCACTGCTTTATCCTGCCCTGGAGGGACTCGAACTCCAGAAGGACAGGATGTCTGCTCTTTCTTGGTGCTAAGGACAGTACCTGGCCTGCAGCTGGCCCTCAGCAAACATGTCAGATAGCTGTGCAAGTGTGCAGAGTGCAGGGTTAGGTGGGTGATCTGAGGAGGTAAAACCCTAACCCTTGGTACCTCGGAACACAGCCTTATTTGAAATGACCTCCTTTTGCATTTAGGGTGGCCCTAAATCCAGCATCTGACATCCGCACAAGGGAAAATGAGGCAGCTATGCCACACAGCAGAGATGGAGGGAGGCGGTGTGGGTGTAGGACTTCCTGGATTGCCAGTCACTGGCGGGGAGGGGAGGGGCCTTGGGCGATTCCCTGGGGGAGCCTGCTACACCTCCAGAGCTGTGAAAGAAGAAAATTGTACTATTTAAGCCGCCCCATTTGTTGCAGCAGCCCTAAACTAATGAAGCTCCAATTGTGAGCAGGAAGAGCAATATCACACGTGAATGACGTAACCACGTGCAGGTGCAGGACGGCACACACTTACCCCTGCAACCCAGGGGGTGCTGCAAGTGCCACCAGCTCACAGCTTGTGGAGGCTGAGTGAGGTGAAGCTTACGTCCTCAGTGACTTCCTCAGCTGGTGCTCCAAATCCTGACCGTCCTCCTGCCCCTGCCTTGTTTCCGTCCACCCCACATTCTGCCAGGCCCTCTACTGTTTACCAGACATTCCCTGGGGGCGCCCTTTCACTCAGGTGTCACCATCAGCTCTCTGAACAGCCACCTGCAGTTTTACCACTCATGGCCTCCCTCCTCTCCCATCCTGCAACCTTCTGGGATTCTTTGGGTGTTCCTTAGGGTCTTTCTAAGCCTCTCCCTCTGGTGGGACATGCAGGTAACGCTCTCTGAATTCCTATTTCCTTCCCCAGGCTGGTGGAAGATAAACTGGCTCTCAGGACTTGGACAAGTGTCCTGGATCGCAGGAATCCCTGGGTGAGAGAAAGCTAGGTGGTAAGAGGAGCCCAGGAAGCCCCCCGGGTCTGCACAATGGACTTGGAGGCTTGCTAGAACACAGCTGTGAAGAGGGGCGGGCCCCTCTGAGATGGGTGACAACACTGTGGCTTCCGTTCTCAGTTCAAGGAAGCCAGTGCTGATGTTGTGAGCTGCCCTGGGGAGTCCATGCGGCAAAGAACTGCTCTTTCCAGACAAGAGTCAGTGAGAACTCTGACTAGGCAGCCATCTAAAAGCCTTGTAAGTTTGGAGGTAGATTAAAGAGATGTGTGTGTGTGTGTGTGTGTGTGTAGTGTTTAGAAGCACTAATTGGAAATAAAAGAGCAACTGTTTCAAGAGAGATTTCAGAGAGATTAGCAATATATTTAATCATGAATTAATCATGAGAAATAGATACACGAGGCAGCAATATCTAAACAGAAGATAATTGATGCCTGCAACAAGCTTTTCCTCAGTGTATAGGCCCTCAGTAAGGAACGTGTCACCACATTCATCAAATTGTCTAAAGGTTCTGTTGGACATTACAGTTTTAGTCATTCCAAAAACTTGTCAAAAAGACCAAATTGCAGCTGGGCACCAGTAGCTCATGCCTGTAATCCTAATTACTTGGGAGGCTGAGATCGAGCGGATCAAGGTTGGAGGTTAGCCTGGACAGATAGTTCTTGAGACTTCCATCTCCAAGATAACCAGAGCAAAATGGACTGGAGGTGTGGCTTAAATGTAGAGCACCTGCTTTACAAGCAGGAAGCCCTGAGTTCAAACCCCAGACCCACCCCAAAGAGAGAGAGAAAACCACACTGCTTGATGCTGAATCTTGCATACGTTGGGCTGAGCTACGAGCAGACCCGACTAGAATTAACCATGACTACTTAGCATTCAATGTGCAGGAACTTGCCAGGGTGAAGATGGGTTTAGATGAGGAAAAGAAAGCTGGGCAGGTGGTGCAAACCTGTAATCCCAGCACTTGAGAATTTGGGAGGCTGAGGCAGAAGGACTGCATATTCTAGGGCAGCCTGGGCTATATAGTGACAGCCTGTCTCAAAAAAACAAAACAAAAAGCAACAACAGCAAAAAGATGAAGAAAAGAAACCAACACAGTAACTTGGATGGAAAAACATGGCTGTTTCTCCTGTTGCGATGGTTTACAATAGATGCTACAATTTTTTTCTGATAGCACTGGGATTTGAACCCAGGGCCTCATGCTTGTAAGGGAGGCACTCTACAGCCCTGTTTCATGTTGGGTATTTTCTAGCTAGGGTGTCAAGAACTATGTGCCTGGACTGGCCTCTAACTGCTATGCTCCTGATCTCTGCCTCCTGAATAGCTAGGATTACAGGTGTGAGCCACTGGTCTCCAGCCAAGTTTTATTCATTTTTCGATAGTGACTACAAATGGATGGAACACAACTTATATAATAATTGACAAAATGTAATATTTTTCTTCTCATTTTATTTATTTATTTTTTTATTTGTTGGAGGTACCGGGGTTTGAACTCATGGCTGTGTGCTTGGAGGAGAAGCTCCCTATCACTTAAAACACCCCCCTCCCATCCCTTTTCTCATTTTAAAAATAGTTACTGTATTTTTTTGTTTGGCCTATCATGATAGATACCATGGACTGGATGACTTAAGTGGCAGAAATTAATTTTCTCACAGCCCAAAGCTGGACATTCAAGATCAATGTTAGGCAGGGCTGTTTCTTCCAGAGGCCTCTCTGCTTGGCATGGAGACATCTTCTCCCCGTGTCCTCACACGGTCAACCCTCTGTGTGTCTGTGTCCCGATCTCTTCTTACAAAGACACAGGTCAGACTGGATCAGGGTCCACCCTAGTGACCTCACTGTACCTTAATCTCCTCAGAAAACCCCCCCCCAAACACAGTCACATTTTGAGGTACCAAGGATTAGGACTTTAATATTTGTTTTTTTTTTTCTTTTGTAGTTCTGGGGTTTGAACTCAGGGCCTTGACCATGATAGACAGGCCCTGTACCCCTTGAGCCATGTCCCCAGTCATATTTAAATTTTTGAGGGACAGAGTTCAGCCCTTAACAGTTACTTAAAACTATTGTCGATAGTGGATTATTACTTAGAAGGATCTTTAAAATTTAGAACATAGAATTGTTTCTTTTAATTCTGACAAAAATGAAATCAACACTAAATCCCTATCAAGATAGGAGATCTTCCTTCTTTCAGAGAAATAAAAGAAAACCACACCTGTCAATGATTGCGGCAGTCCCTTGGCCAGGTGTGGGTTGGATAGAAAATGCATCAGCCTGTGCCCAAGTTTACAAGGCAGCTGTAGGACGTCATTGTCAGGCTTACCAGCCTGTGGTGACACCATCGAGCAGGTTATGCTCTTCCAACATCAGGACCTCCCTACTCATCCCTTGTGCAGGGTACAGAACCTCACGGCCTGCAAATCTCCCCAAATGCTGTAAGAACATGTGATATATTTCTAATAAGAACAAACGCCACAGAACCTAAGAGTAGGTGAGGGCAGCTTGTGAGATGGAATCCAGGAAGTTGTTCTGGGTCCATCGTAAATGGGCCCCTGCTGCCCAGGCCCACTTGCTGCGGCTAGCTAGGGCTTCCTTCCACCCACCCCCTCTTCCCCACCCAGTCTTCTTTCTCCAGCTCCTGACAAATGTAGAGCACAGGAACAGAAAGACTTTTGGAGTCAACCTGGCTTTATTCCCAAGTCTCACTCTAGACTAGTGGGCACAGATGTCAGATTTGGCCAAGTTCCTTGTAATAATTGGAGCAAGCACTGATGGGTGAGCCCAGCATCACCAGATGGAGGGTTGGACCTGTTAGATGGCTCCGTATCACAACACCCCCTTGCAGAGTCCATATTCGGCTCTCTGTGGAGCCCCTCTGTCTCCTCTGAGGAACTCGGTGTGTGTCGGTCCACCTCTTGCTCCCCTGAGGCAGCTTGACTTTCTCTCTGGCTACCTTTTAGAGCTGTTCTTGGTTTGGGATGGCTTGGCTAGGGTCTTGGGAACTTTTGGATCCTGGACATTGTTATCTTTGATCAGATCTGGAAGATTCAGGCTATTATCCATGCCCATCTTCCATTTGCCTCCTTCCTTTGAGGAACCTGGTTGGCTCATTGGAGACCCTCCTGTCTGCTTTGCCTCCTCCTCCATGTTTCACAACTCTCTCCCTGGCACCTGTGACTGGTTCACCCTGCTCCTAGCCATGTTTCTGACTTGCTGGTAATCCTGTGAGTGGAGTTCTTAGTTCTAGTTATTGCTGTTGCCCGTTCGAGAATTTCTCTTAGTGTAGTTGCCAGTTCCCTGGTGACATTTCCAGGCTTGCCTCAAGGACATGGTGACCAGGGCTGTTTCAAGGTCACCGTGGATCTGTACCTGTTGCTTGCTCTGTTGACTGTTCTGTTGATTCTGGGGGCTCTAGCCTCTCTGCTTATGTGCTAGGGCCTACTTAATTTTGTTTGTTTGCACAGGCTGGTCTTGCCCAAGGAGCTGGAACCACAGCCCGGGGCCACTGTGCCTGGCCAGCACCAATTTGAGAAGTATTTATAGGAGTAAACTGAAGGTGCCAGGGCACATGTAGATTTCATCCGCATGTGACATTGTTGGGTGTCACTGGTCTGGAACTGCCTTAGCCTAAACTTAAGGCCCTAGGCTCTGAGACAACCCCCCAACCCTGGCCGGTGTCTGGGTGGGGGCTGGTTTTTCCCCCTAACCCTCACCCCTCAAGATCTTTTTGTTTGTTTGTTTGACAGTATTGGGGTTTGAACTCAGGATCTTGTACTTTCTAGGCAGGCGTTCTACCTTTCGAGCCTCAGCCCTTTTTGCTTTAGTTATTTTTCAGATAGGGTCTTATGACTGTCCCTGGACTGCAAGTAAACTACCTATGCCTCCGGGCATAGCTGGGATTACAGAGTGCACTGCTATACCCAGCCAGGATCTTTTTTAAAGTAGGAGGATCTCTCTCTTGAGTGTCCCACCTTTGGTGAACCTGGGTGGTCTGACATCCCAGAAGCTCCAGATTCCCTTTTGTCCAGGATGAAGTACTATTGTCCACCAGCCACTGCAGTTGAAGTTGTCTCAGATGTGACTCAGACAGCACTGCTTATGATTCAGGTGCTTCCTGACTCTCAGAGTCTCTGCTCTGGTGTGAGCTGGTACCTATATGTCTGCTGGTACCTACTGGGGGCCCTATGACAGGTGTGTCAGCTCCTACCCCAGCCTCCACAAGTGGGAACTTGGAGGGGCTCACGCAGTTGGAGAATATGCTTTTCTTTCTCTCTCACCCTGTTGGCACAGGTGTGCCCTGTCCTGGGTGGTTCCACCTGCTGGTTTGGAAAATAACCTCCCAGCCTTGGAGTTGGTAGGGGAAAGGCAGACTAGGTACCAGACCCCCACAACGTCTGTCTTCTCATTGTCCTCCTTCAGCAAGAAGCTAAAGCCCATGAGGAGGCTGAAGACAAAATCACACCTGGCCTACAAGGAACAAGGGCATGAGCATGCCTGCTGCCTTGCTGTGAAGTCACCTTGAGCGTAAACAACGGTGAATTAACAAGGTTGTTCCTTTTGCGCTCTTTCTATAGCAACTCTAATTTCCTTTCAGTTAGGAGGATGCCCTGGCCTGACTTGGGGGGATATTACATTCAGATAGGAAGACCACATGCACATTGCAAACACTGCTTCCCTTGGAACCATCACTGCAGATATTTTTGGAACACCTCCAGGATGCTCCTCATGCATTGTTTTATTTGTATTTACAACCGCTTCTGACTCAGGTGCTGTTATTAAGCCCATTTGAGAAAAAAAGGAGATGGAAGAAGGGAGAAATGAAGCAGCTTCGCACAGGGTATGTAGTGGTTCAGGGGCGGTGCTAGGCTCCAAATGCAGTAGCTTGATCCTGGGCCTGTCCCGCCCTTCACAGAGCCTCCTATGGTTCTTTTAGTTCAGGTGCCCAAGACTGGGAAGAAATTTTGTACAGGGATCCCAAGGATCTCAAAATCTACTTTCACTGGAAATTCAAGCTGGTGAGTAGCAGGAGTGTGGAGACTGACAGGCACAAAGGAAGCTGTACCAGAGCCGGTTGGTGAGATGGTGCCACTGGCACCTGTTTCCTACATTGATCTGCTGCGGTCGGTCCTGCTGTGCCTCTCGACAGTTGTTCCCCCCATTTCAGATGTACAGCAAGGAGCTGACATTCTCGTGCTCCCATCCAGGCACCCCAGGACACCTCCGGCCCACTTCCAGTGCATTCAGAAGCTATTTGGCCCACGGAGCAGAGTGGGCTTTGGGTGTGAACTGCACTGCTGGGTATGGGAACTATGTTGCCCCCTGCCCTGTGTTTCTCAGCCCACAGTGGAGCTAGTGTCATTCTCACAGTGACTGGGTGAGGATGCAGCTGGGAGTTGGTGCTTGGAGTTCCCAGCCTATCATGGGGACCTTGGTTCATTAACCGCCTGGGATTCAGCTCATCACGGTCAAGGCAGGACAGTAATCCCTGAGACCGCTGTGCTGAGATGGAGCAAGGCACCTCAGCCTGGCTCTCCCCAGTCACAGCTCATCTCTTTGGCTAGAATACAAACAGTTGCCCCCAGAGGACCGGAAGGTTCGTCATGACACCTGGACTTGGGGGTCAGAGCTAGGAGAACAACTGGTCCCTTGTGTTTGCTGGGTTGTTCTTTCCCTGCTGTGTATGGCTTTAACCTGAGGATAGGCGGCATATCAGCATTGAACAGAGAACCAAACGGCCAAGACAAACTCTCTTTCCCTTTGTAAGCTGGACCATGTGGGAGAAATCCCCACTGCCCCTCTTTTCTCTCAACCCTGTCTGGGGCCTGCCTGATGGTGGCAGCATAGGTGCCCTTGTGGCCCCTAAGATCCCCGAGAGCACTCAGCTTTGGGGACAGAGGAGCTGGGTGCACAGTGTGTGCACAGTGTGTGCACAGGGCCCTGACATTTTCCTTTTTTTTTTTTTCCTTTGGGCTGCTTTGCCCCGAGCAAGGCTCTGGCTGTGTGGAATTGCCTGACAACACAGGGAACTAGAATATGGAGAAAATCCCTGGTATTCTAACTGGAGGGCCAGGAAAGGGTCTGTGGGTACTAGAGTGTGTGTCCCATGGTGTCCTGAGCTGCACGAGGGTCCTTCTGCTCTGCACACAGACCATCCAAAGCTTGGGCTTGCTCCTGGACTGAGAGATGCCTGTGGGGGATGTCACACTCAACAGGGCAAAAGCTTAGAAACAGAACTGGCACTGAGACCACTGCCACAGAAGGTGGGCACCACTTGTGATCCACAGGGACCAGAAACACAGTTGGCATTCGCAGGGGGCTTTTAACAGGGCCAGTGCACACTAGAAGATCAAGGAAAATACACAGAATCCTCAACCAAAAATAATGCAACGGTCCAAGTCTCAAGGGAAAAGACAATCTACAAATGTCAATGCTGTGATGGCCAGGTGCGGGATTAGCAGGGAAACTGAGGTCGTGACTCTCACTGTGCTCCAGGTGGTAAAAGAGAACACTCTAGAAATGAATGGAAGGCATTCAAACAGTGAAATAGAAAACGTTAAAAAAAAAAAAAAGCCCACATGGAAATGTTACAAGTAAAAACTGATGGATGTGAAATAAAAAATTCCCTGCACATCTCAACAATAAAATGGAGGTCATTGCTGATAGATACAGAAAACCTGAAACAAATTATGAAAAGTTAGTGACATAGCCCAAGTGCAGAGCCGTTAGCATGGGAAAAGAGCCCTAGTGCCACACACGGTCCCACTGTCGCACTAGTGCACACGCGTGCTCACACACAACCCATATAAAGGTCATCGAATAGTACCAGAGCAGGAGGACCAACGGGGGGGGGCTGCTCCGATAAACTCAGAGGGCAGAGGGACTGTCCATGAAATAAAAATGGTATCCGTACAGAGGCTTAGAGAGAAAGAACCACATCTGGAGATGATGACCAATCATAAAAGAATATAAACTGTACTAATCAAATAATGGAACAATGACAATAATACCATCAAAAAGTCTCAGGAGGTGACACAGGAACATCCATTCAGGCCTCAGACAGAGAGAGAAACAACAGCCCAGTCTCTGCATCCACCGTGGCTCTCTGTATCAGCTGCACGTACGTCAGGTTCTCGTGGGTGTTGGGGTCGAAGAAGCCCTTGGTGTCGTCGCTGGGGTCGGCCAGGACGCGGTTCATCTCCTCGTCGAAGTAGCCACGCTGGTAGGCCACGTCCACGGGCACACGGTGACTGTGTACTGGATCGATGATGCCGCCCGTGGCGATCTGGGCCTCCAGCAGGCGGATGCCGTGGTCCCTGACGAGCAGGTCCCTCTGCATGGCCTGGAAGAGGGAGATCTGCTCCCCGGAGTAGGGGTCCGTGTAGCCGGTGACGGCACGCTCGGCCGACAGCAGCTTCTCCCGGATCTCGCCCCCCACCACGCCCGCGGCCACGGCCTCTTCCACGGACAGCCTGCGGTTGTTCACGGGTCGATGACAAATCGGTGGCGGCCTGCGCCTCCAGGAGCACCAGGGCCGTGCCGGGCCGCAGCACGCCTTCCACATCGCCTGGTAGATGCTCATTTTCTCCTGGCGGCCGGGCTGTCCCCGGACAGGCACCAGGACGCCCGCGATGCAGCCGGTGCCCTCCAGGTAGCGCTTGACCGAGTCCATCTCTGTCACCTCCTGCAGGGTCTTGGTGCCCTGGGCCAGGTCCCGCAGGGTCTCGGGGCCCAGGATGCCGGATTTGCCCAGCTCGGACGGACACCTGGCGCCTCAGTCCCCGGAAGGACACCTTGCTGAGCCGCTCCTCGGTCTCCTCGATGATCTGGAGCAGGATGGTGACGAGGTCGGGCAGCCTCAGTGTGCCGGCTGCGTGCTGGGCCAGGAGCTCGTTTCTGCGGGTCTCGCTCAGGTAGGACGAGAAGAGGACGTCCCACACGGACACCGGCTGGCCCTGGAACTGACCCGACTGCACCTCCATGGCGGCGGCACGCAGCACCTGCTCCTGCTCGCGGCCAGCAGCCTCCGCCTGAGTCTCTCCTGCAGAGGACCCTGAGCCGCGGCTGGCCTCGTGCCCGGGTGGCGAAGTCGGCTCGCGCTGGCCAGTCGTGGCAGCACCACTGGGCTCTGGCCGGGCCTCTTGGGCCTCCTCAGCCTCCTCGATGATGCTGGTCAGCTTGCGGGTCAGCGCTGGCAGGGGCAGGGTCCCGAGCTGAACTGGGCCAGCAGCTCCTCCCGGGCAGCCCCACCGACATAGCTAGACACCAGCACATCCACACGGCACCGCACGTCCCCGGAGGGGGCCCACCCTGACCTCCATGGTGGCCACGCTCAGGATGTCCTGAGAGTCTGCACGTGGGCTCCCTTCCCGGGCCGGGCCAACAGCGAGGTGAGGGTGGTGATCACGTCCTGCACGGTCAGCGCGCCCTCCTGGTACCGGCGCAGCAGGTCCTGGCGCAGGCTCTCGGGCACCTCGCGGTAGAAGAGCAGATCCCAGACAGAGACGCTCTGGCCCTGGAACGCAGCTGAGCCCAGCGTGACCTGGGTTTCCCGCAGGGTGCCACGCAGCTCCTTGCTCAGCTGGTGCACCGGGGAGTCCTTGCCGGCCAGCTGCAACACGTACAGCCCGGTGTCCGGGTCACGCACACAACGGCGGAGCAGCTGCACGTACGTCAGGTTCTCGTGGGTGTTGGGGTCGAAGAAGCCCTTGGTGTCGTCGCTGGGGTCGGCCAGGACGCGGTTCATCTCCTCGTCGAAGTAGCCACGCTGGTAGGCCACGTCCACGGGCACACGGTGACTGTGTACTGGATCGATGATGCCGCCCGTGGCGATCTGGGCCTCCAGCAGGCGGATGCCGTGGTCCCTGACGAGCAGGTCCCTCTGCATGGCCTGGAAGAGGGAGATCTGCTCCCCGGAGTAGGGGTCCGTGTAGCCGGTGACGGCACGCTCGGCCGACAGCAGCTTCTCCCGGATCTCGCCCCCCACCACGCCCGCGGCCACGGCCTCTTCCACGGACAGCCTGCGGTTGTTCACGGGGTCGATGACAAATCCGGTGGCGGCCTGCACCTCCAGGAGCACCAGGGCCGTGCCGGGCCGCAGCACGCCCTTCCACATCGCCTGGTAGATGCTCATTTTCTCCTGGCGGCCGGGCTGTCCCCGGACAGGCACCAGGACGCCCGCGATGCAGCCGGTGCCCTCCAGGTAGCGCTTGACCGAGTCCATCTCTGTCACCTCCTGCAGGGTCTTGGTGCCCTGGGCCAGGTCCCGCAGGGTCTCGGGGCCCAGGATGCCGGATTTGCCCAGCTCGGACACGGACACCTGGCGCCTCAGTCCCCGGAAGGACACCTTGCTGAGCCGCTCCTCGGTCTCCTCGATGATCTGGAGCAGGATGGTGACGAGGTCGGGCAGCCTCAGTGTGCCGGCTGCGTGCTGGGCCAGGAGCTCGTTTCTGCGGGTCTCGCTCAGGTAGGACGAGAAGAGGACGTCCCACACGGACACCGGCTGGCCCTGGAACTGACCCGACTGCACCTCCATGGCGGCGGCACGCAGCACCTGCTCCTGCTCGCGGCCAGCAGCCTCCGCCTGAGTCTCTCCTGCAGAGGACCCTGAGCCGCGGCTGGCCTCGTGCCCGGGTGGCGAAGTCGGCTCGCGCTGGCCAGTCGTGGCAGCACCACTGGGCTCTGGCCGGGCCTCTTGGGCCTCCTCAGCCTCCTCGATGATGCTGGTCAGCTTGCGGGTCAGCGCTGGCAGGGGCAGGGTCCCCGAGCTGAACTGGGCCAGCAGCTCCTCCCGGGCAGCCCCACCGACATAGCTAGACACCAGCACATCCCACACGGGCACCGCACGTCCCCGGAGGGGGCCCACCCTGACCTCCATGGTGGCCACGCTCAGGATGTCCTGAGAGTCTGCACGTGGGCTCCCTTCCCGGGCCCGGGCCAACAGCGAGGTGAGGGTGGTGATCACGTCCTGCACGGTCAGCGCGCCCTCCTGGTACCGGCGCAGCAGGTCCTGGCGCAGGCTCTCGGGCACCTCGCGGTAGAAGAGCAGATCCCAGACAGAGACGCTCTGGCCCTGGAACGCAGCTGAGCCCAGCGTGACCTGGGTTTCCCGCAGGGTGCCACGCAGCTCCTTGCTCAGCTGGTGCACCGGGGAGTCCTTGCCGGCCAGCTGCAACACGTACAGCCCGGTGTCCGGGTCACGCACACAACGGCGGAGCAGCTGCACGTACGTCAGGTTCTCGTGGGTGTTGGGGTCGAAGAAGCCCTTGGTGTCGTCGCTGGGGTCGGCCAGGACGCGGTTCATCTCCTCGTCGAAGTAGCCACGCTGGTAGGCCACGTCCACGGGCACACGGTGACTGTGTACTGGATCGATGATGCCGCCCGTGGCGATCTGGGCCTCCAGCAGGCGGATGCCGTGGTCCCTGACGAGCAGGTCCCTCTGCATGGCCTGGAAGAGGGAGATCTGCTCCCCGGAGTAGGGGTCCGTGTAGCCGGTGACGGCACGCTCGGCCGACAGCAGCTTCTCCCGGATCTCGCCCCCCACCACGCCCGCGGCCACGGCCTCTTCCACGGACAGCCTGCGGTTGTTCACGGGGTCGATGACAAATCCGGTGGCGGCCTGCGCCTCCAGGAGCACCAGGGCCGTGCCGGGCCGCAGCACGCCCTTCCACATCGCCTGGTAGATGCTCATTTTCTCCTGGCGGCCGGGCTGTCCCCGGACAGGCACCAGGACGCCCGCGATGCAGCCGGTGCCCTCCAGGTAGCGCTTGACCGAGTCCATCTCTGTCACCTCCTGCAGGGTCTTGGTGCCCTGGGCCAGGTCCCGCAGGGTCTCGGGGCCCAGGATGCCGGATTTGCCCAGCTCGGACACGGACACCTGGCGCCTCAGTCCCCGGAAGGACACCTTGCTGAGCCGCTCCTCGGTCTCCTCGATGATCTGGAGCAGGATGGTGACGAGGTCGGGCAGCCTCAGTGTGCCGGCTGCGTGCTGGGCCAGGAGCTCGTTTCTGCGGGTCTCGCTCAGGTAGGACGAGAAGAGGATGTCCCACACGGACACCGGCTGGCCCTGGAACTGACCCGACTGCACCTCCATGGCGGCGGCACGCAGCACCTGCTCCTGCTCGCGGCCAGCAGCCTCCGCCTGAGTCTCTCCTGCAGAGGACCCTGAGCCGCGGCTGGCCTCGTGCCCGGGTGGCGAAGTCGGCTCGCGCTGGCCAGTCGTGGCAGCACCACTGGGCTCTGGCCGGGCCTCTTGGGCCTCCTCAGCCTCCTCGATGATGCTGGTCAGCTTGCGGGTCAGCGCTGGCAGGGGCAGGGTCCCCGAGCTGAACTGGGCCAGCAGCTCCTCCCGGGCAGCCCCACCGACATAGCTAGACACCAGCACATCCCACACGGGCACCGCACGTCCCCGGAGGGGGCCCACCCTGACCTCCATGGTGGCCACGCTCAGGATGTCCTGAGAGTCTGCACGTGGGCTCCCTTCCCGGGCCCGGGCCAACAGCGAGGTGAGGGTGGTGATCACGTCCTGCACGGTCAGCGCGCCCTCCTGGTACCGGCGCAGCAGGTCCTGGCGCAGGCTCTCGGGCACCTCGCGGTAGAAGAGCAGATCCCAGACAGAGACGCTCTGGCCCTGGAACGCAGCTGAGCCCAGCGTGACCTGGGTTTCCCGCAGGGTGCCACGCAGCTCCTTGCTCAGCTGGTGCACCGGGGAGTCCTTGCCGGCCAGCTGCAACACGTACAGCCCGGTGTCCGGGTCACGCACACAACGGCGGAGCAGCTGCACGTACGTCAGGTTCTCGTGGGTGTTGGGGTCGAAGAAGCCCTTGGTGTCGTCGCTGGGGTCGGCCAGGACGCGGTTCATCTCCTCGTCGAAGTAGCCACGCTGGTAGGCCACGTCCACGGGCACACGGTGACTGTGTACTGGATCGATGATGCCGCCCGTGGCGATCTGGGCCTCCAGCAGGCGGATGCCGTGGTCCCTGACGAGCAGGTCCCTCTGCATGGCCTGGAAGAGGGAGATCTGCTCCCCGGAGTAGGGGTCCGTGTAGCCGGTGACGGCACGCTCGGCCGACAGCAGCTTCTCCCGGATCTCGCCCCCCACCACGCCCGCGGCCACGGCCTCTTCCACGGACAGCCTGCGGTTGTTCACGGGGTCGATGACAAATCCGGTGGCGGCCTGCGCCTCCAGGAGCACCAGGGCCGTGCCGGGCCGCAGCACGCCCTTCCACATCGCCTGGTAGATGCTCATTTTCTCCTGGCGGCCAGGCTGTCCCCGGACAGGCACCAGGACGCCCGCGATGCAGCCGGTGCCCTCCAGGTATCTTTTCACGTCTTCATTTCCTTCTATGTTTTCCACTGTGGTCCTGCCCTCCTCTAAGTCTGTGAAAGTCTCTCTTGTGATGATGGCTGATTTGAGGAGTTCGGTGGCTGCGACTTGTGTTCTGATACCTCTGAACCACAGCTGCTTTCCCCTCTTTTCCTTGTCTGCAATCATTTGTAGGATTACTTGTACCACCTTCTCCAGTGCTCGTACAGTGTCTTCTTTGTACATCCTAACTAATTCCAGCTTCTTGTCCTCTGTCACGTACTCTGAGTTCAATAGCTGCCACACAGATAGCCTCTGGCCTGTGTACCTACCAACGTTTATTTCTACCTCCTCTGCTTCAAGGGCCTTTTTTGTTGTTTCATCAACATACTCTGCTTCCTTGAGGTCCTTGACCACTGGAAACAAAGCCCAGCCAGACTTCTCCTCCCGCTGGCACCTGTCCTGCAGCTGCCGGTATGTGACCTTCTCCTGTGTGTTGGGATCCATGAACCTTTTCTTCATGTGCTTCTGATCGGCAATGAGCCCAAACATGTCCTCCTGTAGATAGCCACGCCTGTAGGCAGTTGCTAGTGGGACCCTGTGGTGGTGCAGTGGGTCAATGATGCCCCCAGTGGCTAACTGCACTTCCAACAGCCTCAGCGCCTCCTCTTGTTTGACTAACTTCTTTTTCATGGCCTGGAATAAAGGGATTGTCTCCCCTGTGTCTGGGTCTTTGTAGCCCTTTGCAGCTTTCTCAGCATTCACAAGCCTCTCCTGCAACTCTTGGGCCACCAAGCCTTGCACCACAGCCTCGTCCACAGGCAGCCTCTGGTGGGTGTGGGGCTCCATTAGGAACCCAGTGGCTGCCTGGGCCTCTAGCAGCTGAGCTGCAAAGCCTGCAGGGATGAGTTGTTCCCTGCTGGCCTCTTCAAAGCTCATGACCTCTTGGGTGAGGGGTACAGTCACCCCAGCAATGCAGCCACTGCCTTCCAGGTAGATGTTCACATGGTCCAGCTGGCCGAGTGCCTGGCATGCGTCCTCTTGGCTGTGAAGGGCATCCACGGTCTTCTTATCAAGGATTCCAGAGTTGAATAGTTCTGCAGCAGTCACATCCCCGTGGATGGCTGCCACCTTGATGACTTGGTTTTGCTTTTCCATTTCTTCAACTGTGGTGGTGATGACCTCCAACAGTTTCTCCAGGTCTATGTTCTGGGCTCTGTACTGCCGAACGAGCTCTCTCCTCCTTCCGTCCGTAAAGTACTGAGAAGACAGCAGTTCCCAGACAGATACCATCTGACCCGCAAACCTCCCCACGTGCATTTTCACAGTCCTGGATCGCAGAGCTTGCCTCATGGCCTCATCAATGTATGTGTAGGTTTGTCCTTTCTTTACAATTTCTAACATGTACAGGCCCGTCTCGGGGTCCTCCACGCAGCGCTCCAGCAGCTGCAGGTACGTCAGGTTCTCGTGGGTGTTGGGGTCGAAGAAGCCCTTGGTGTCGTCGCTGGGGTCGGCCAGGACGCGGTTCATCTCCTCGTCGAAGTAGCCACGCTGGTAGGCCACGTCCACGGGCACACGGTGACTGTGTACTGGGTCGATGATGCCACCCGTGGCGATCTGGGCCTCCAGCAGGCGGATGCCGTGGTCCCTGACGAGCAGGTCCCTCTGCATGGCCTGGAAGAGGGAGATCTGCTCCCCGGAGTAGGGGTCCGTGTAGCCGGTGACGGCACGCTCGGCCGACAGCAGCTTCATGTAGGTTTCCTTGCCAAACATCCCTTCCTTGAATGCCTGCTCCACAGTCAGCTTCCGGTTCTCCACAGGGTCAATGATGAAGCCGGTGGCTGCCTGTGCCTCCAGCAGCACCAGGGCCGTGCCGGGCCGTAGGATGTGCCTTCTCAGGGCCTCTGGGATGCTCATCTTCTCCCTTGTGTCCTGGATGAGGACCCCGGCAATGAAGTTGTCACCTTCCAGGGCCCGCCTCACACTTTCCATCTCTGTCACCTCCTGCACTGTCCTTTTCCCCCGATTCAGCTCATCCAGCGTCTGCTTGTTGATCAGCTGGGACCTGAACAGGTCCCCAGCTGACACCTGCTTCCGCAGTCCTCTGAAGGTGGCCTGGGGGGCCTCCTTCTCTGCAGCTTCCACTAGGGCAATGACCACACTGACCACCTGCTGCAGGGCTGTGGCGCGCCCAGAGCGACAGAGCGCTGCCAGCTCCCGTCGCTTCTCTGAACCAACGTACTCAGAACGTAGCAAGTCCCAGAGCGACACGCTGTGCCCTTGGAACCTCCCCATGCTGACGGGTACCTTCATGGCCCTCAGGGCCACTGCGGTATGGTCATCTACTTCAAGCACAGCATCTTGAGGGAGCGGCAGCAGCCACAGGCCAGTGTCAGCGTCTAGCACGCAGAGTTCCCTGAGTTGTTGGTATGTCACCTTGTTCCGGGAATTGGGGTCAAAGAAGAATTTGTTGTTCTCCTTGGTGGCAGTCAACACCTGGCTTGTCTGCTCATCCAGGAGGCCGAGTCTGCACGCTGTTGCCTGGGGCAGGTGAACCCCATGGACGGGATCCACCACACCTCCTGTGGCCAGCTGTGCCTGCAGGAGGGGGAAGCCCTCATTCTGAGGCATGAGACCCTTTTCCATGGCCTGCCACAGACAGAGGGAGCCCCCTGAGTAGGGGTCTGTGTACCCAGTCACGGCCTTCTCAGCCTGCCTAAGTTGATCACTCAGTTCTCTGCCTACCAGGCCAGACTTCACTGCATCCTCCACTGACAGTCTCTGGTTGGTCAGTGGGTTGACAAGGGAGCCAGATGCCACCTGGGCCTCTAATAGCCTCTGGCCCAGACCTGTGGGCAGGAGGCCATCCTTCATGGCCTGGGCAATGCTGACTTTGGTCCCTGAGGGCTGCAGCAGCACGCCGGCCACACAGCCCGTACCCCAGAGGCAGGCCTTCACCGTGGGCTGCTCAACCACCTCAGCTGGTGACTGTGTGCCCTGAGCCAGTGCTTCCAATGTGTCTTGGGTGATGATGCCAGCATCCCGCAGCCAGGCAGCAGGGACCTCCCCCCGAGGGCCTGGCACCATGATGCGGGCTTGGGCCAAGAGCTGTGCCCTCTGCACCCAGCAGCACACAGTGTCCTGTAACTGTGGCACTGAGGTCTTCCCCACCTGCACCTCCTCCAGGAGGCCCCTGCGCTGCTCCTCAGTGAAGTGGCAGGAGGTGAGCAAGTCCCAAAGGGTCATGCCATCCTCAGTCCCCGGCGTATCCCGTAGGGTCTGCTGAATCTCTGCATCAGTGGGGACTGAAGGGGCACCTTCAGGCAGGGGCAGGAGGTGAAGGCCAGAGGCCTTGTCCCGAGGACACTGCTGCAGAAGCTGGGCATAGCTGGTGCGCCCTTGGCCATCCGGTGTAGGAAAGGTCTCAGGGGATCTGGACAAGGCCACCTCCATCTCCTGGTCTATGCAGCCACGCTGAACAGCCACAGGCATGGGAAGGTGGTGGCGGCCTGTGGGATCAATGACCCCTCCCGTGGATACCTGGGCCTCTAGAAGGCGGGTGGCTTGTTCCACGGGGACCAAGCCCTTCTTCATGGCCCTGAATAGAGACACTCTCTTTCCAGAGAAGGGGTCTCTGAAACCAGTGACGGCATCCTCAGCCCTTCTCAGCCTGAGGTACACCTCTGGCCCCACCACTCCCCTGCGCACAGCCTCATCCACTGACAGGCTCTCTAGATTGCAGGGGTCCTTGATGGCCCCAATGGCTGCCTGGGCCTCCAGCAGGGCCAGGGCTACACTGGGTGCCAGCAGCTTCTGCTTCATGGCCTGGTAGAGGCTGAGTGTTTTGTTGGAGGGCTGCAGCAACACACCGCCCACCACACCGGAGCCCTGCAGGTACCTTCGGACACTGTCCATGTGGAGGAGGGAATCTGGGCTGACTGCCCCTACAAGCACCTGGTCCAGGAGCTCCTGGTTGATGATTTGGGCCTCCAGGAGCTGGTAGACAGTGACCCGGCCCTGCAGCACGGGCAGTGTGATGTCTGCCCACCTCCTCGACTCCTTCTCCAGCAGCTGAGCGACCCTCTCCAGGGTGACCGCACGCTGCTGATAACGGCGGAGCAGCTGCCTCCGCCAATTCTCACTGAAGTATTCTGAGTTGATCAACTCCCATGCAGAAACCCTCTGTCCCCGGAACCGGCCATACCGCACAGGTAGCAGCAGGTTCCGGAAGGTCTGCCGGATGGCACCATCCACCAGCTGGGGCCGAGGGCTGCTGAGTGGAAGGAGGTACAGGCCCGTCTCGGGGTCACGCACACAGCGTTCCATCAGTTGCAGGTAGGTCAGGTTCTCGTGGGTGTTGGGGTCGAAGAAGCCCTTGGTGTCATCAGAGGGGTCCAAAAGGATCAAGTTCAGCATCTGGTCAAAGTAGCCACGCTGGTAGGCCACGTCCACGGGCACACGGTGACTGTGTACTGGATCGATGATGCCGCCCGTGGCGATCTGGGCCTCCAGCAGGCGGATGCCGTGGTCCCTGACGAGCAGGTCCCTCTGCATGGCCTGGAAGAGGGAGATCTGCTCCCCGGAGTAGGGGTCCTTGTAGCCGGTGACGGCTCGTTCAGCTGACAGCAGCTTCATATACACATCAGGCCCGATGACGCCAGCTCGCAGTGCCTCCTCCACGGAGTGTCTCTTGTTTTCTTTTGGGTCAATGATGAAACCCGTGGCAGCCTGGGCCTCAAGCAGGATGAGGGCGGTGCCGGGCCTGAGAAGCCCTCTTTTGCGGGCCTCATAGATGTTGAGGCGCTCCTGGGAATCCGGCAGCAGTAGGCCTGCAATGCAGCCTGTCCCCTGCAGGTACCTCTGCACGGAGTCCAGGCTGCCCACGTCCTGGACTGAGGTCTGCCCACGTTCCAATTGCTCATACAGCTCCTGGTCGATGATTTCAGCTTTCAGCAGCTCTCCTGGTGTCACTGTGTCTCTTAGCCCAACAAAGGTGACCTTGGCAGTGGCTGCAGCCTGCTCAATAATGGCTTTCAGCTCAGCTCCCAGGTCCTCCACTGATAGGGCCCTTTCCTGGTACCGCTGGGCCAGCATTGCCCTCTGCTTCACAGGCACTGCCTCGGAGAAAAGCAGCTCCCAGAGGGACACGGGATGGCCCTGGAACCTCCCCACAGAGATGGAGGTCACGGCTGTGCTCAGGGCCTGCCGAGTGTGGTGCTCAATGAATACCGGTCCCTGGGGCTCCTCTCCACCAGGTGCCCCTGAGAGGGGCAGGAAGGCGAGCCCTGTCTCGGGGTCAGTGACAGAGCGGGCCAGCAGCTGCTCGTAGTGCAGATCGTCATGCGTGCTGGGGTCTGAGAAGCCTGCAGCCTGTGAGACATGCTGCTGCGTCTCTTCATCCAGGCAGCCAAAGCACAGGGCAGCCTCTAGGGGCAGCCGGAACCTGCGGGCTGGGCAAACCAGCCCACCTGTGGCCAACTGGGCATCCAGGAGGCGCAGAGCCAATGGCTGGTCTACCAGCTCTTTCTTCATGGCCTGAAAGAGGGAGATCCGGGAATTGCTGAAGGGGTCGTGGTACCCAGTCACTGCCTGCTCTGCCACCATCAACTGCTCATAGAGCTCCGGGCCAACCAGGCCGGCCCTGACTGCCTCTTCCACCCATAGCCGTTGGCCTGTGGCTGGGTCCACCAGGGTGTGGGTGGCAGCCTGAGCCTCCAGGAGCTGGAGCGCAGTACCCCTCGGGAGCAAGTGTTCAGTGGTAGCCTGGTAGAAGCTCTTCTTGTGGCCTTCAGGTAGTAGGACAACCCCCGCCAAACTGCCAATGCCCTCCAGATAGCGTTGCACCTCAGGGCGCGTGCTCACATCTGACACCACCAGCGTGCCCTCCTGCAGGCCCCGGACAACCCCCTCCTCCAGGACCCCTGCCTCCAGCAGCTCAGCTGCACTGGCTGCCCCACCCAGGGTGTGGAAGGTGGTCTTGAGAGGCAGCAGAGCCAGCCCCGAGCTGGGGGCCTGCACGCACCTGCCCAGCAGTGTGTGGTATGGCAGCCGCTGCAGGGTGTTGGGGTCAAGAAAACCCGAGGAAACCACACTGGGCTCCGGCTCTGCCAGGCCAAGCCAGGTCTCCTGGTCCAGGAGGCCCTGCTGGCAGGCTAGCTCAGGGGCCACTCGCACACCCTGGACAGGGTCCATCAGGCCTCCAGTGGCCAGCTGGGCCTCCAGCCAGTTCCACCCCAGGGTCCTGTCTACAACTTCCTTCCTGATGGCTTGGAAGAGGGACAGTTTCCCGTCCCCATAGGGGTCAGGATAGCCAGTGACTGCACGTTCAGCGGCCAGTAGCTTCTCCTTCAGTTCCAGCCCCACCAGGCCCTGCCTCAGGGCCTCAGACACGGGGAGCAGCTGGCCCTGGGTGGGGTCCACAATGCCCCCAGTGGCTGCCTGGGCCTCCAGCAAAGCCAGCCCGAGCCCAGTGGGCAGGAGGCCCTGCTTCATGGCAGTGTAGACACTCTGGATCTGCCCTGAGGTCTCCACATAAATCCCAGCAATACTCCTGGCTGTGGTGGGAGGAGCTGCCTCTGCCTGGGGCCTGGGTGGGGTGCCAACTCCTAGCTCAGCCCTCATACTTTTAGGGACAGTGGACTGTTCAGTGCCGTTGGTGACCAAGGCATCAAGAGGAGGAGAGGTTTGACCATTCATCGCACACTGCCGGTTGTGTAGAACTTGCTCGAGGTCTACCTGTGTCCTGTAGGGGACAGAAAGGCTCAGTCAGAGACCCTGAGTCACTGGGTAGGTGGGGAAGACATGATAAGGAGTTAGACTTAGACCCTTCCGAGTCAGCTGAGCTCTGGATCCACCTCCAGAAGCCTGGGTTTGTGTCCCTGACCAGCTACGTCTGCTCATGGTAGAGGAGGACCTGGATGCAGCCTTTTGGGGGTGCAGGCACCTGCCATTGGGGGGCCCTCCCCTGCCCTGCAGGGTCCCTGAGGTGATGAAGACTGGCCAGCAAGCTCAGAAGAGGCAAGGTGTAGGGAGACACTAGAACCCAGGGCTGGCTAGTGGCCACCTCTTAGGATTCAAAGGCTCTGTTTTTCCTGTGGATCATTCACTGGCCTTCATTCCAGCCCCACAGGGTCCTAGGGCAGGGGATCTGGGGCCTTCCTGGGTACCCCTCTGCCTCAGCCTGCTGGAGGGTGAGGCCTGCCATGGCCCATCTGCCCCCCCACCCCCGCCCCAGGGTGCTGGTTCCACATCCCTGCCTGTCCCTGGTCATTTGGCTGTAGGCCCCAATGTTCCACTGGCTACCTTTGCCCAGACCTGTCCCATTCTGAGCTGGGTTGAATTGATTGCCCAAAAAGATAGTTCAAAGTCCTAACATGCAGAACCTGTGAATATGGCCTTATCTGGAAACAGGATCTTGGTGGATGTAATTAAGGTGAGATCATACTGGAGCAGTGCTGGCCACAATCCAGTAAACCTGGTGTCCTTGACAGATGAGACACACAGAAGATGGCCATGTGACAGCTTGGAGCCATCAGGAGCTGGAAGAGGCAGGAAGGGTCCTTCCTAGGTAGAGGGAGTGCAGCCCTGCAACACCTTGACCTTGGACTCCACCTCTGTTGTTGTAAACCCCACCCTGCACTTGCCCCACCTGGCCAGAACAGCCCAACGCTGCTGGAACTTTCCCTCTGCTCAGAAGCCCATCCAGGCCTCCCATTGCCTCCCTTCACATAGGATCTGAGAGAGGCGCTTGCCCTCCCCACCTCTACATACAGCTCCACCGCTAAAGTCAACAAAAACACTTTGAACTTGACAGTTGTGGACATGGGAACGCCTGCCCTGTGGCAGCATTCTGTTGGGCCCCGCTGTACCCAGTGAATCAGAGCACTCCTGGGCCTTCCGACACCTGCAGCTTGTGCCAGCCTGCTCTGCAGGCTGTGTCCTCCTGGACAGAGGCCACCTGGCATTCCCGGGCACCTTACACCTGCTCATGTCCTGGTCCTGGAAGGCTCTGGGTCCTCCCCCACATCGGGTCCTCAGGGGCACAGCTGCCCGCTGGCTGTTCACCAGTCCGCCTCACGCCTACCTGAACCCTCACCGCTCTGCCTCAGTGCCTCACGGCCAGCCTTCCTGCTCCTGTCACCCAGGCCTCCATACCATGTGGTGTGGGACTCCTCTCTGACCATCCTCAGTCACCCTTGAGGCCTCTCGCCAACAGCCATGCCATGTGTGGAGTGTGCAGGTCAGGTGAATGGGGGGCAGTGGGATGGCTGGTGGCATGACCAAGGCAGGTTCAGACCCTACCCTGCGTGTGATAAGCCAGGGCTTTCTGTGTCACACCACCTGGTGGTGGACAGACGCTATCCTAACGGATGGCTGTGGGAAGACTATCCCTTTAGGAATTGTTCCACTTCAGGGAGTCCCCTCTGGACAGCCAGCAAAAGACTCAGCCCCTTGACACAACTTGGTGGTGACTCTGAGGGCCTTCCATCACAGTTTCCAAATACCCTAAGGACCACTATTGAGACCAAGTCCCCACTTGTCACCTTGGTGAAATCCTGGCTTCCCTTCCCTTCCACAGACTGGTCCTGGTCCTTCCTGGCATCCTACCATTGATGTGCCGCTCAGAATCTCAGACACTGGATTAGGCAGACACCTGGGTGGCCAGCAGGGTCCACCACATCCCGCTGGTGAAGCAGGCAGAGCCCAGGCTGGAGGAAGCAGTGCTGTTGCTTGGCTCTTCCAAGGCTGGTGGGCTTAGGATGCAGTATAGGGCAGTGGAGAAGTTGAAAAGGAGGACAGTGGAATGGGGGGCTGTTGCTAAGCAACCAAGCTTTGGAGAAAGACTGGGAGTGACCAGCTGGACAGCTATGTGGCTCTTATATCCACAGGGCAGGGCAGGCGCAGGCAGCTCCTTTGTGAGAAAGTCCAAAACCAGAAGGATGGGCCTCAACATGGCCAGGTCCCTTTGCCCAGCATAAGGCCCAGGTGAGGTGTCTGGGTCAATGTGCCCCAAATTTTGAGTCCCCAGGTTCCCCTAAAGTCCTTGTACCTGAAGAATTGTCCCTTCTTGGGACTGCTTCTCCTCTTGTAAAATCCACTGCCTCCTGTCCCTCACATCCCAGCCCCAGGGACTGCAAAGAGGTCAGTGACCCAACTCAGGGTGCTTCAGGTTACAGGACCCCTGAGCACATGACAGCACCAGAAGCTGCTGGCCCAATAGGGTGTTAGGGCAATTACAGAAGACACATCTAGGGCACCAGCTCCCAGGCTGGGCACCATCCCCAGGAGTTGTGACTTCTGATCTGGAACATGGCTTTACCACAGTGTCCAGTCCCAGGAGGGCCACACAGGCCCAGGAACCAAGGCCTGGGAGTAGCAGCCTACCTACCATCCCTGTACCCACTGGAAGATTGGGCTCCAGGGTCCCTAGAGGAAGAACCACCTGAGAGGCAGGCCTGACCACCAGGGGGATTCGTGTGTAGGGCTGATGGCCATGCATCTGTCAGCAAATGGAACATGAAGCTACCCTGGCTGGAGACAGGACCCTCTGGTCATGCCCCAGTGAGCTCCAGCCAGCAGACATGCAGAGGTCAAGGGTTCTGTTCTGGATGGCCCAGGAGAGGCAGTGGGTGGCCAGTATGAACCGACACCCAATACGATAAAGGGTCTGGTCCATCCCACAAACCCTGTGCACTTCCTCAGGAAGGGGCACAGTGGCATCCTGAAGCATTGCCCATCCCTGCCTGCTTTTAGGGACCAAGATGACAGCATGGCAGGCCAGCGTCTCCCTCTTCCTCCTTCCTTCCACAGAGGCATCCTAAGACTATTCCCTAATGACCATCTCAAACTGCTTCCCAAACCCGCCTGGGCATCCTTGTTGCCCACCTGCACAGCAATGCCTTCCCAGGCCTGTGAGCCCAAAGGAACCGTTCATGGCACTGTCCACCCAGGCCGGGTCCCCTGACATCTGGCCCTGATGAGGGCAGGAAGCAGGATGAGAGGGAATTGGAGCCACGGCGAGGGCAGCCAGGTGGGCTTAGCCTTGTATGGTCCTTGACCTGGACATGGGCAGCCAGCCCAGGCAGGCTGTGTGCTGTGGAGAAGGGCAACGCCTGGCGAGAAACCAGTGAGAGCCAACATGAGCTCAAGTTCCCCAAACAAAGAGGAGATTCAGGGAGGGAAGCTGCTGACGGGCAGCCAGAGAGCAGGGAATTTGGGGCAGGGGTGGGGCCTTGGGCAACTGTGAATTCTGGTGTTTGAGATGTGGCCTGTGACTGGCAGTGCCACTCCCTGTTGGTTTGTGGGTGACCTTGGGCCTGATGTGAGTCTCCCTGGGCCCTGCCTCTTCCTAGGCTCCCACCAGGAAAGTATGGGAGTGGACATGGGGTGTCTGCGGTGTGTGCCCAAGGAGGCAGCCAGAAGGAGGGGTCTGAATGTGGGAGAGAGACAGACTGGGGTTCTCAAGGTGTGTTCCTAGCAGGCTCCATCAGAGAGTGGAAAGGCAGCTGGGGAGGGGCAGGAGACCGAGGCAAAGCCAAGGGAAGACAAAGGATCCCCAGAGAGGGAGCCACCAGCATAAGTGAGCTTGTGAAGAGCTGGTGGCCTTTGTGGCTGGGGAAGGAAGGTGGAGCAAATTCCCCTGGCAAAGGTGGCTGAGGGAAAGGAGGTCCCTCCTGCTTTCCTGGAGCCCCAGCAACAAGGGGCAGGAGGGCCATTCCTGAGGAGTGTGGGCCACCATCTGTCACCACACTGAAGGGTAGCACTCCTCCCCACCCCCGACTCCAGCCTGGGACAAGGGTGGGTGCAAGGGCCAGCTGTTGGTTGCCCTGAGCCAAGTCATAACAGAACCAGAGGGCCAGGCAGACTCAGCCCACACAGGAAGGCAGAGCCTGGCCTCTGCCCCAATGTGGGCAGCTAGTGGAAGGACACCACCCACTTGTGCCCTGTCCAGACAGACAGAAATCAATGGCCCTGATACAAGGCTGGCATGTTAGCCAGATGGGAGCAGGGAACAAGGGCCCCTCCTCCTGCCTCTGCCTCCCAAGGGTCATGAGATGACCAGGAGTGGTTGTCCCTGTGACCACTCACCCTGGACAATGGGTAGCTTGTCCCTGGGTCAGCCCCACCTCCCTCACCCCAGCAGGCTATGAGGAGTCTCTGGCCTCTTAATTTGTCAGCCTGATTGCCTCTGCCATAGGTGCCTGGGCCAGCTCTGCAGACATGTCCTTCCTGAAAGGTGGGGACAGGGAGGAACCTCACCTGCAGGGCGGTGAGAGGGACACACTCGTCCTGCTGGGGACCACTGGACTGGGGAGACTCCTGGGCAGGGCGGGGAAGGGTCTCAGCCTCCCTCTCAAGTCTGGAGGCTGAGGGGCCCCCACCCTGGGCCCAGAGCTCAGACTGCCAACAACCAGAAACCAATCTTGCTAGATCCCAGAGCTTCTGGGCACTGAAGTGCACTGCCCTGGTTCCTCCACCTAGGGGGCTCTGGCCTCCTGCTCCTGCAGGTGTTTAGGTTTCCTTCCTCCCCACCTGCCCCCAGGTCCCACCTGCCCTCACGATGCCAGCGCTGGGTCCTCAATCCTGCTGCTTGCTCTCTTGCGCAGAACCTGGACCTCCCTCCTTTAAATCCCGCCACCTGCCCTACATAGGGGAAGTGGGCGGGAGGTGTGGCCAGCAGGTGCTGGAACTCTGAGTGGTGTTCACCCTGCCTGTGAGCACCCTAGTTGAGGAGGAGCCCGATGAGCAGCAGGGACCCTCCCCTCCTCCCTCCCCACTGGAGTCACACTGAAAGAATGTGGAGGGTGGGGAAAGAGGGAGGGAGGGAGCAACCTTCGCCCAGCCAGCCACAGAGGCTTTTGAATGAAGTTTGCAAGGGAAACGCAGACCCATCAGGTTTTAGTTTCCCAAACTCAACTTTATTATGGAGACTGAGAGCAGGCCAAGAGGCCCGGTGTCTGTGTTGGCTAGGTCCTGCTCAGTTCCTTAGAGTGCTGTCTTGTGTCTGCCGGGTGTGGGATCTCACAGGCTCTCCTCCGTGGGCCCCTCCAGGGCCTTGACCTTGTAAGAGCTGGGGTCTCTGTGTACCTGGGTGGATGGCAGCCCTGTCTGGGAGGGATGGCCATGTCTCTCCCCATAGTCCAGTCCCTCCACCTGGGCTCAGAGAACTCCTCTGTCTACCCAGGAGTAACCACTTCACCTCTCTGAATTCCTTCCCAACACTCACCTTTCGGGGCAGGGGTCTGCTGGAGGCGATGTGGATGGAGGCCCAGAGCCTCAGGGTGATGACCTCAGGGGCTGGCCTACTGGGAGCCCCTGCCCAGCACAGGAACCTCTCGTGGATCTTTTGGCTGGTCCTCCCCTTTGCTGCCCAGAGATTCCCAGGGAACAGGGCCAAGATGGGTGCCCTTCTCCCCCGGGGCAGGGCCCAAGGCACTTCCTGCTCTTCCTCCCCCAGGCCCTGAGGGCTAGCCATGCTCCCTCCTTCCCCACCAAGCCCCCATCCCTGGTCATCACCTCTGCCTGGGTCATTCTTGACCAGAAACTCATCCAACGCCACCCAGCCACCTCCAACACGCACCATCAGGGACCCGTAGCCTGCACACCACAGGAAGAGGTCAGGCTTCCCTCCCATGGAGGGGATTAGGGACAACTCCAGAGGTTCTGCCTCATTCCCACCACCAGGCCCATACTCACACTTGCTCACCGAGGCTCCTTGGACCTTGGGCCTGCCTCTGGACACTTGTGTCCACGTTCCTTCCACGTCCCCTGCTCTGGCCATGTTATATGGCTGCTGCTGGTTATTGGTAGTGAACTTGGGGATGGCCCCACATTTCCTCCAGGGGCAGCCAGGCCAGACTTGTCCATCCCTTCCCTGCTCACCAGCTGCCAGGATGCTGGCTGTAAGGCTCTGTTGGGAAGGGTGGCAATGCTGACTGTGGCCTGGAACGTGGAGTGCACTCCCACCCCCAAGCCACTTATTTCTATGGCCAAGGCAATGTAGTTAGTGTCACCTCCAGGCCACAAAAGCCAGATGCATGCTTGCCCCTTGCTGAGCAGAACCTCTCTTGTATGTTCAGGGGACGGGCAGTGTGCCCATCAGTCCTCACCTGCTCTGGGTAGCCCTGCTCCAGCTGCACGCATTGGTCCTTGTCCTCCTGGCTCCTCTCTCTGGGCTCTGACTTCATCCAGCTCCTGCTTCCCAAGGTGGTCTCTGCCCATTGTGGCCTCCAGCTCATCTCTTCTGGGGACTGCCCCAAGAGGCAAGCCTGAGCTCTGCTCCCTAGGTCCCTGGGCCGCCCCTGGTCAGGGCCCCTCAATGCCAGCGCCTCTCCTGGGGCTCCAATCCAGTGTTTCATCCCAGCAGCCCCCAGGACCCCAGGCAGCTCCTCCAGCACCCAGCTCTGGGCCTGCACAACCTATGCAGCAGGGAGGGGTGTCAGGAAATTGAGAAGGGATGGACCCCCATACTTGATACTGTGCACTGCTCCACCTGCCACCCTTGGAGCCCCACAGGCCACTTGGCTCCTGCTCTGGATCAGAAGTGTTCTCAGAGCACATAGCCCAAGGACTGGGACCCCAGGGAACCCTAGAGTACTGTCACCATGCTGACCCTGTGCTGGTCCACAAAGTCACTGTGCAGGCCTTTGGCTAGAGCCCTGTTGGAGCGTGTGAAGAGCTCCTCCATCAGGTGGCCCACAGGCATCAGCATTGCCTCCAGAGTGTGCAGTCTAGAGAAGAGATGTGGCAGGCATAGGCAGGATGGAGGGCCAATGGGAGCGGGGCGGGGATGGCCAAGAGGTAGGCTGACCTCTCCTTGGCAGCCTGGCAGTCCAGCAGCTCCATCAGCAAGCCCAGGTAGCAGGTACCCTCACAGGTGACCCCTCCTCTCAGGGCTAGGCCCCTCCACGGCCAAGAGACCACCAGGGTCTGTTTTCCCCATGGAAACTCCTGCCAACAGAGAAGCCTGGTATCTAGCCTGCCCTCCAGGTGGGGAGGGCTGAAGTGGGAGCTGGACCTTGTTTCCTCTACGCCCCCCACATCCCAAATCTTAGTCCTCACTACTTCTACCATATACCTCACACTGTACCCAGGTAACACAGCCTGGCCAGTCCGTCCTGCCCCTGGTCTCAGGGTTAAGGTGAGGAAGGCCAGGGTTTGAGTTGTGTCCCCAGGATTCCTATGTTGAAGTCTAACCCTTAGTGTCCTCAGAAGGTGACTTGACTTAGAAGGACATTGCAGATGTAATTGGGTAAGGATGAGGTCACAGTGGAGCGAGGGCCACCAGTATGCCTGGTGTCCTTAAAAGGAGGGACATTTGGATGCAGACATGCACAGGGGGCACAGGAAGAAGGTTGTCAACAAACCAAGGACAGAGGTGGCCCCGGAAGGAGCCAGCCCTGTCAACTGACTCGTGCAAGTCAGTGTGTTGCTGTGGTCTGGGCCTCCCAGTTGATGAGAGCTGGTTGTAACAGCCCAGGAAAACAATACAGCCCTAAGCATGAGAACTAAACCTGGGAGAGGGAAAAAGTTAGAATTTCAGGGCAGAAGGCACATCCTTGCTCAACCTATCCTCTCCCATTTTACAGAAAAGGGGCCAAGCTAGGGCAGAGCCCACTCTTGCTTCTAGGTTGCATTAAATGCTGGAGACACAGTACAGTACACAACTTGTACTTCAGAGGTACATTTCTTTCTATCTTGCTCTAAATATATTTTTTTCCATCTGCTACATAAATGGGAACCATTTGTGGCAATGCTAGGACCTTAATTAGGAACTCTATTTGCCAGCAAAGGGGGAAAGGTAAGCCCAGATACCTCAGCCCTCTGTCCCACTCCATACAGCCTAAAGGCTGGGCAGTGCTGTCCCAAGAGGAGATGTCCTTGCCTGGCAGATAGGTCCTACCCAGACTTCTACCCCTGACCCCACTGGGACAGCAGAATGGCTGTGTCTTGAGGGACTTGAGGCCATCAGAAGCACGGGAGCCAAGTTAAGAAGTTGCCAGAAGTCCCTCCAGCCAGCCCTGCAGTCCCTACTTCCCTCCCCACTGCCATGTCCTCGCCATTTCCTAAGAATCCTTCCTGCCAGCCCCAGTATCCCTGTTAACCTACCTCCGTGGGGTTGCCTCTCCTCCCAAGGGTTTCTGGGGTGACGCCCTTCCTTCCCCTAGCCTTCCCAGGCACCTGCAAGGCAGGGATCTGGCTGCCCGCAGGCTGCAGCCCCTCCTCAAGAGCTGTGCGCTCTGCCAGGCCACACCAGATCCATTCTGCTGGTCCCCATGCAGACGGCTCCCACACAGCCTTCAGTTTACTGTCCTGCTCCTGAGCCTCAGACCAGTGCCCACCCAGGGACTCCATCTCTGCCCGTAGCACAGCTGGGGAGAGACACAACCACTTGAGAATTCAGCCTTGGCACGACACAGCCCTCACCCTCACCCCACCTGGCCCTGGCTTCCTGTGCACCTGGGCCTGAGCCCACCTCTCGGGCCTCACTGTGCACTGTGTCTGCCACAGGGCCTTGAGAACCCCAGGATACCTGGTGAGAGGCACTGTTCACAGATGGACATTGTGGGAACTGCTGCCTGGCCAGGGGCTTCTGCCCTCTGTGCTAGCTGCTCAAGTCGCTCTGCCAGGTGGGTCAGCTGGATACTCAGCTAGGGGAGGAAACCAACATTGTCCCAGGCAGCTCTGGCTGAGGACAGAAAGCCCTCAGGGATTACTCCCGGCCACCCCTGCTGCCTGGGGCAGAGGATTGCAACTTCTTTACAGGGCATGGGGCAGTGTGAGGGCTTCTCCCCGGGGAAGGCCAAGGGACCACAAACACCTGCATCTGGTCCTTGAGCCCTGGATGCTTTGAGGGTGGTCCTTCCAGGTCAAGATGGGTCTCCAGGCTTGCTGGGGGTGAGGGCTCAGCAGACTCTGTCCCCACAGCATGCAGCAGCTTCCACTGGGCACGGGCAACACCGGATATGGTCAGCCTCACACGCTCCTGGAGCTGCTCCAGCTGCTGTATCACCAGCTGAGCTTGGTCCTCTGCAGTCCGCGCCCCAGGGAAGAGGCCAAGGGCAAAGACATGGCATTGGAGGGGAACTGGGGGCCTGAGAGATGTCCCTGAGAAATGGCACAGGTGTCTGCACCAGGAGACCTGGTGTACGAGGGGGTAAGGGTAGGCTTTGCAATGGCTCCCCAAATGTAAGCATGGTGGATGTCTTGGCAGGGCTAACTGGCCAGCTGAGTGACCAGGCTGAGGTCCACTCACCCGTGAGCAGCTCAGCCAGCCTCTGGCCAGTCTCCAGAGCCCTGTCCAGGTCCTTGGCGTGTGCCGCAGCCGCCTCGCACACATGCTGCAGATACACGCGGCTGAGCCTGCGCCAGCCCGCTGGCCCCCGCCCCAGGCCTAGACTGTACCTGCAGGCGCTGTGCGGCCCCCTCCCGGCCCTCGGGCCCCGGCTGGTCCTGCCACAGCTCAGCCAGGAGCTTCTCACCCGGGCTCAACTGGGCTAGGAGAGTGTCACAGGCTGTTTCAAAACTCTGTGCTGCTGGGACAAGTCGCTCCAGAAGCCCCCACCTGGGGACCAAGAGGGGGGGCTGGCAGTGTCCTTCTGCCCTGGCACCTCCCTCTCCCAGTCCGAGACCTCACCTGGCCTCTGCCCGCTGCACCAGGCAGTGCCATTGTGTGTGCAGCTCTGCTGGGCTCCCTGCCTCCTGAAGCCTTGGTTCCACCTGTGGTGCTCGCTCCCTCAGCAGGCGCTGGAGCAGCTGCCGGGGGTGCAAGGTCAAGAGCTCGAATAGGGTTCTGGTGGCCCTGCCCCATCCTCCCACTACTGCCCCTCTGGTGGTCACTGACCAAAGGAACATTGACAGGAATCTGCATTCAGTCCCTGCCCCACCCCCAGGGGTGGAATCCACTGTGGTCAGGCACCGGGCAGGCATAAATTTTGTGCCAGTAGCTTAACCAGAGACAAGATGCCCCCACCTAGTCCTGCCTCTCATGTCCTGTACCTCCTGTTCCCGCAGCTGGGCGGCAGCCACAGTAGCATCAGCGGCCAGGGGCCCCTGGGAGGCCTGCAGCTCCTCCATGCCATCTAGCCAGCTGCGCAGGGTGTCCAACGGTGCTGGGGACACCTGCAAGAGAGACACAGTCAGCCTGCCCGGCCTCCCCCAACCTCTGGGGCCGTCCTGCCACACCTGGGCTGGCTGCCCTTCTTGACAGCAGAACCCCACCTCCATAGCCTCTGTCACCACTGTCTCTGTCACCACTGTCTCTGTCACCTCTGTCACCTGGATGGCACGGGGACCCCACCAGGCCCAGATGATCCTTGGTGGGAGGGGGCCCCGGGGCGCTGAAGGCGGGGAGGGGACCCTTTGGGACCTGGCCCGGGCCCCTGAGTGGCTCTTCTTCTCCCCCAGGCAGCCCAGCCTCGAAGCCCGGTTTCCCATGGTAAACACCGCACAGGCTGCAGGGTGGCCAGGACACTGACAGCAGCCCTACAGAGGCAGGACAACAACACACATTAGGACCAGGGAGCCACAGGCCTGTCTGGCATCCCACACCCTTGTGCACAGGCTGGTACTGGGGACCCCTAGGACTTACCACCTGGGGTCTCTGCTCCTGGTCCTGTCCTGGGCAGCTGGAGTAGGCCTGGGGGGCTGGAGGGACCCTGGCACCCACCTTTGCCCACTTCCCTGTACCTGGTCTTCCCTCCAGCCACTGCTCAGCCAGCCCTAACTGTGGGTCCAGCCAGTCTGGCCTCAGCACTTTCCTTTCCTTCTTAGACGTTTCCTGGGAAACCTGTGCCTGTCCTCAGCCATGCGGGTGGGGGAGGGCTAAGGAAGGGGCTTGGGTTGGAGCTTCTCACCCCTCCCCCTCAGTTCCCTATACAGTGGGGGACTAAAGTGGACTGTATACGTTTCAGAGAGCTCACTCCCCTCCCAGGCCCTGTCCAGGCCACCCACACTGCAATGGGCTGAGTTCCCCATCTGGTTAGGAAGCCAGGGAGGAGGGGGATGCTGGTGATGGGAGCCAGGCCTGCGCTAGGGATAGCTGGGGGTCAGAGGAAGTGGTGTCACCACACACACTCCTAGGAACAGGGGTTGGGGAGCCACAGGTGAGTTTTGCCCAGCCATGCAGCCTCCAGGAATCCCTGAGCTACACCCCCTCCCACACACATGGTCTTCAACACCTCTCCACCTTCCTCCAGTTGCTCCACACTTGGGGCTTGGACACCTCCCACCCAAGGCTTCCTGGTACCCCAGCCTGGTCAGCTCTTGCTTCCAGGAACCACAGACCTGGCCACACCTTCCCCCGCCCAGGCCTGGAATGAACCACCATTTTCTAGCCTGGAAACCCCCTCCTCCAAGGCAGGCCTGCTGGACAAGGGAGCTAGGTGACTCCACAGGATGATCAGGATCCCTGTATGGTGTGTTTTGTGGGCCATGGGTGCCAGCGTGGACCCATCCACCCCCCCTTCTACTCATCCATCATTCACTGCTCTTGACAGTGACAAGCAAAGAACTCTCCCCGGCCCACTGCCATGCCAGCCCCAGGCCCTCCCAGCAGCCATTCCTGTCTAGGTAGGGAGGGGCTGGGCAGCCTGAGGTGTGGAACTGTCCCTTGCTGCTGACAGTGAGTCCCTGGGGCCTGAAGCCAGCGCCACCCTCCCCACGCAACCCCCAGCATGTGATCCCCCAGACCCAGCCCCGCCCGGACTTTGTGATGGTTTATGCTGCTGTTGCCCTGGGAACTTTGCATTGGAAAATGTGGGCGAGGTGGGCAGGCAGACAGGCTAGGGCAGGCTGCAGACGCTGTGGGTGGAGGGGTGGTGGACGCCTCTCCCAGGAGGGCTTGTCTGTCCCACACCCTAGGATGGTCCACCCCGTCCTGCCTGCTCCTTGTTCTCAGCCCCCACCCCAGCTCAGGGAGCCTCAGTGGGCTGAAAGGGTGTGTTCCTCTCAGGCCTGCCCAATCCCAGCACACTGACTTCGTCCCCTTGTGCCCACCCAGCTGTCAGGATGTCCTTGAAGGGGTCAGAGTTCTCAGGACCAGCCATGCCATCTGACCTCTGGGCCTTTGCCAGGGCAGGTGCTCAGCCTGGAATGCCCCTCTACCCTGCTCCCCACTCATCCTTGGGGCTCCCTCCCCTGCCCTGACATCTGGTCCCTGGTTTGCCCCCCTGGTCAAATTTCTGTCCAAGCCTCGGTAGGGCTAAGCCCTACCATGACAGAAGTGAAGGCCCAATGGCCTAAGAAGGCTGTGGAGCAAACCCAACACAGCCTCCAGCTTTCCACCAGGGTCCTGTCCTGTGCTGAGCCTGCTGCTCCTGGACAAGACTGAGGACACCCACGCAGCAGGACCCTCCAGTCCTGTCACACCTTCACCCTGCCCCAGGGGCTTTGGTGGCCACACCAAGCAGCTCAGCCAGTCACGTGGCCCCTTTCCACATGGGGGCTTCTGCATTACAGCAGGTGAATGAGGCAACCAGAAGGGAGAAGTGCTGGCCCCAGGCCATCCACACTCCTGCCCCTCCATGCAGGGGCAGTTGGCAAGCAGGACCCCACACCTGTGTGACTTGGGGCTGATCCTCCATGCTGCTCTCGGGCCTTCACCTGTGCAGGCCTCTCTTCCTGGACCCCTCTCCACAACTCCTCCTTAAACACTCGTGCTGATGCCTGGGCACTCGGAGGCCCCGTGACCTAGTGCCCCCCACGCACCGTTCTCAGCTCCCAAATGGCTATAGCCTGCTGCACCAGGGCAGCAGTTTACAGCCAAGCACACAAGGATGAACAGGAGGGCCTGCTGCTTGCTGGGCCTGGAAGTAGGGACAGACAGTTCCAGACTGCAGAGGAGTGCAGGCTGGAGGAATTCCACATATGCAGCCAAACAGGTCCTGGTGGGGGTGAGTCTCATCAGTGGACATGCCCGGCATGTCTCACAGAGATGCCAGCCAGAGCTGATGTGGCAGGGCTGCAGCACACTGGTGTCATCCTGGAGCCAGGCAGCAGTGCCAGGCCTGTAGCCCTGCTGGTGAGGAGGCTGAGGAGGCCAGGGAAACAAGGATCCTGGGGCTGGGGTCCATGGATGGACTGGCAGACACAGCCACTCTCGGGCATCAGGTTCCTTTTTCTCAGAGGCTCTGAGCCTGGGGGAGGGTCAGCATGGGGTGAGTCCTGGGGGCTTTCTTTGCAAGATACAAAGCTTTTAATAAGTGGTAGTTTCTGCACTTAGCAGTGCATCTTTGTGGTAGAAACGCCCAGAGAGTTTAGAGAACTGAGTCTGAGGAACCCACACTGGTCCAGGTGGTGAAGGCGCCCGAGTCTGCTGGAGATAGAGGGAGAGCAGGTCTGAGGAGCTGCTGCACCTGGGGGACCAGGCAGAACCTGGACTTGGACCAATTACCAGAAAATTAACTCAAACAGGGTTAGAAAATAAAGGCGGGGGGAGGCTGAGCGTGGCCCTCGGGGCCCTTGGGCTGGCCTCGAGTCTGGTGAGCTGGAAGTCAAGTGAGCCACAGGCCCAGACTGAAGGTGAAGCCCCACAGTGCAGGACACCACTAGCCTCTCTCTCAGAAGGTCTAGAAAAATCACATTGGCTCTCACTGGCTCTGACTGGGCCACTGCTATTAGGGGTTGAATTCTGACCCCCTAAAAGCTGTGCTCAAAGTCCTAATTCTAAGACCTGTGAATGCAACCTTTTATGGAAATGGGGTTTTTGCAGATGTCATCGAGTTAAGATGAGGTCATTAGCATGGGCCCTCATCCAATATGACCGGCATCCTGATCCTCATGGGAGAGTGCCACGTGAAGACTGGGGCATGGGGAAGAAGCTGTGTGACCTGGAGGCACAAACTGGAGAGCCACAGCTATGAGCGGAGGGAGCCTGACGTTTGGCCACAGCTACCGCACGTGGAAGGAGCTGGCAGGGCTGGGGAGCACAGGCCACTGACCCCTTCAGTTCAGGCTTCTGCCCCCAGAACTGAGAGAATACATTTCTACTGTTTTAAGACCCATCTTGTGGTCCTTTGTATGGCAGCCCCAGGACACCCACCTGCCTGCACAGCTAGTCAGCACCACCAAGCACGCAATACCACGTTGGCTGAGTCTAAGTTTCATCCCTGGAAACCTTGGAGCATGAGTGGTTTCAACATCATCTGACACACCTGGCCTGCAGGTGGGGGAGTAGTTCCCAGAGAAAGTCAAGTAGCATGGGTAACAGGTACCCAGACCCCTGACAGGCCAGGGTTCATCCCTCCAGTCAGGGCCAGCAGACAGACTGGTCAATGATAAGAGGAGTTGGGGACAGAGGAGTTGATGAATGTGACCCTCTTGTCTCTGACCATTGGTAGTGGAGGACTATAGTTTCCAGCGAACCTTCCCCTTGCAAGCCTCTCTCATTTTTCTAGAAACCATGGCAGCCATAGTTCTGAAGAGTCAGTGGCGTGAACCTAATGTGAGGATCGAGTGGATCCAAGGGCTGGCAGAGACACGGCAGATGTGGTCAGGGCACCCCTGCATCCGTGCACACTGGCCCTTGGTGCACCTGCCCCTGCAGATGCCCTCAGGCTCTGGGGACCTGCTGGGCCTGTGAACATAGACAGATGAAAGCGTCTGTAAATTTAACTCCTTTTGGAGGCTGAGGGTGTAGCTCAGTAGGAGAGTGCTTGCCTAGCAAGCTCAAAGCCCTGGGTTTTATCCCCAGCACTGAATGAAAAGACAAAAAACGTGTTTGTAAGTCCTGGGGCAGGTGGTAATTGGTGACTGGCAACTATGAGGTCTCTTGGACAGAGACCCCCGATTTAGCAGGATTTCTCTAAGCGGCCCCTCCTTCCCTTTTTCTCCCTATCCCTCTGTCCCACAGCTCTACTGCTTCTCTGGTTTCATTTCCACCAAAGTTCAAGCCAAGACCCAGGTCTCTTGCCCACACCTCACCCTCAGGTGGCCCCAGGTGTGCGGGGCCACTTGCAGGGAGGCACCTTTGCCCTGGTTGTGCAATGCTTTGGCTAAAGCATGGCTCCCCGCTGCAAGACAAAGCCAGGCCCACAGTAAGCACACAACAATGTTGAATTAATCAGTGGATCCAATCCAGGTGTGCAAGCACCTGGGTAAAATGGCCTTTGGTCAGCTTCAAAGGGGCCCCTGGGAGGTAGCCCTCCAGGAGCATCCATCACCTTTAGACTCCTTGGCCCTGGGTTCTGTATCCCAGGAGCTCTTCCACTGTGTGTGCTGGTGGCCACCAGCTCCACAGCCCCCATGCCAGTGTTAGCCTTTCATGGATCCAAACCCAGTCCGGGATGCTGCCTGTAGAGGCCATGGTCCAGCGGGGGCCAGCCAAAGGCTGTCAGTGGCATGGGGCCCGGAGGTGGCATGGAGGGGGTTCTGGCTACCGTTTGTTCCTGTTTCCCTAGGCTTCTGCATTTCCTCTGATTCTTAGGGCCCCAGGCTGG